GTGTACTCCCCGTCAACTTTCGGTAAGAAATGGGACCCTGAAGGCCTATTCATTCGGAAGTATGTGCCGGCGCTAAGCAAGATGCCAGTCAAGTATATCTATGAGCCGTGGAGGGCGCCCATGACGGTGCAGCATGCTGCTGGCTGCCTCATCGGCAAGGACTACCCGTTCCCCATTGTAGACCACAAGATCGCTATGCGCCGATGTATGGCCGGTATGAAGAAGTCATACGCCATCGGACAGTACGGCACCCCACCGGTTCCTAGGCCCCCCACGAGCCCCCGCTTCAAACGTCCGCGTGAAAACTCGGCGAGCTCGTCAGAAACGTCAGAAGACTCGACGCAGTAGTGGTGTCGTTACTGAGAGCCAATGGACTGTGTGTATTGTGTCGCGGTATCTTGCTAGTTTTGAGCGATGGTAGCAGATAAGTCTACATTCGCGAGACGAGCAGGAAGTGAATAGCGATTGATGGGCAATGGACATTCGAGAAGGTTCCTTGGTTCGCCTCAGATACCGATTCGTGTGCTCTCCAGCAAGTTATGCCCAACAACAATAGCTCGGGTACGCGGTACTGCCTCCTTCGACTTCTGGTAATGGTCGGCACAACACTTGGAGTGGCGTTGGTGGTCATGGCTATCACTAGGGCACGTAGCAGCCCCAGTTCCCGCCGCGCTTTATCTGTGCTCGATGGACGGAACGGGAGTCTCCAGGGTGCGCGTTATGCAATGCCTGAGGGGCCTCCTGGTCCACGCTTTCAACGTGGATGGTCTCCTCATAGAGACGAGTGGGGGCACCACGAGCATCATGGTGACCACGAGCACCACGACGAAGACAATGACGACGATGAGGATTCGAAGGATGACAACGACGACGACGAAGATGACAGTGACAGCAGTCAAAGCAGCAGCGCGAGCAATAGCAAGGCCGAGTCTGCAGCCATCCAGTCGAGTGTCGTCACGAACCTGGACGGTATCAACATCGGCAACACCATCACGATCATCAACATCGGCACAGGCAGCCAGGGCAACAGCAGTGGATCGGCCGACGACTATGGGTACGCTTGGAATGAGAAGACTCCTAGCGATGACGACTCGCTCCCAGTGAGTGATTCGGATCGCTCCGCTATCACCTCCGCAGCCGTTCGTGCATTCTGCGAGTCTATCGACTGCAGCCGCTCCAAAAGCTTCAAGGACACGGCGACGGCGGGGGGTCCTGCACCGATGATGCCGGCGTTTAGTGCTGGCAACCGAGAGGTAGGCACCGATGTGCAGCATGAGACGCCAGCGGCGAAGAGCTCCTGTAGCGCAATGAACGCGAACCTGGCCAGGTGGCTGGTTATCATCGCGATAATTATCCAACTCCGCTGACTATCGATGGAGTTTGCTTTCATTAGGATGGCCTTCGATCATTTACGAATACACTTAACTAGGAGAATCGAATCCGCTAACCCGCTTTACGCGGTAGCCCGCACTCTCTTGACGACACCCCTTATATTTTCCGGGGCATCCGATGTAGTAGTCTCCCTTCTTCGGCGTTTGCCATGGCAGCTCGTGGATGTGTCGGCTGATGAACCGTTGGCGTGAACCATGGCCACACTGACTTGGCACGGTTGTGGCCGCTTCATGAATGGCGATATCCGGGCCATGGTGATCTTCACTGCGGCACGCAGCGTCTCGTCACCGACTGAGCGGCTCAGTAGTTCTGACGACGTGAGACCGTCGTGCTCTGGCGGCAAAACCAGCGTCGACTGCACGGCCGCAATGGCGAATGTGCCCGCGTACGCCTTTGGTAGCTGGAAGCGACACAATGGACACGTGCTCCGGCGTGTGAGCCACGACTGCGCGCAGCCACAGTGGAAGCGGTGGCCGCACGGCAACTGCAGCGTGGAGGTGGCCAAATTGGACAGCGGCGAGCTGGCCATGCAGATAGAGCACGTGATCTCCTGTCCAGCGGGTGGGCCGATTCTTTCGGCGTCGCGCACCATCTTGGTGAGCGCTTTGGGGTCGGTGGGCGAGATCCGCTTGAGCTGGGGCACCACCTGTCTCAATACGAGCCTCACCCACGTGGGGCTCTCGAAGTGCCGCAGGACGTCGCCAACGCATTCGGAGCGCTGCGGCGTGTAGCGGGCGGTCACGTTCAGCTGCAGCTCCATGGCGTCCTGTGTGCTAGAGTCTTTGATATGTAGCTGTTCCTGTAGCTGATTCCTGTTGTGCTGTTCCTGCCCCGCCGCGAATCCTGAAATGTGGCGATCCGAAGCGAACCAAGGCGGCTGCGAGGATACTGCGGCGTTGAAGACGGCGCAGTGGGTCCAGTTAAAGCAAGCGGCGGGGTGCGGAAGGTGGGAGCGCGCGGGCAGTCTATCGCATGCAAGCTGCCTTGACATCCTGGTGTTCGCCGCATCTTAATCGCTTGCTGAAGTTTGCGCCAAGTCGTTGACGTTTTGGTCCGACGCCGCCGGACGATTCACGTGACGACGCCATCGGGCCGAGATAGCGTGGGCTGCGCGGACGAGCAGTGCCAGGCCGGGTGTATCCTTGCAGCAGCTTGGCCGCGAGGTACGGGATCCGATGCGTCACCAGGAACGGGGCAGAGCGCTCCGGCCGTCACGGGTGGTGATGCATTCACTGCCCCGGATAAACTTCGTCGTCGACAATGCGGGGCGGCGCGGTGTACAGCTGCTTCCGTCGAGATCCCTTTTGTCTGGTCGGGCAGCTTTTAGCTCCGATGCAGCCTCGCTGCGGGGCCAGGGATCGACAATGTGTGGCCCCATCGGGCGGTGAAAAGGTTGACACGGATACATGCGCTGTCTTTCTCGAGAGCGCAAGGATCCCGGCGCGAGCAGTGTCGGGACGAGCGGACCAGTTGCTGGCTGGGGCAGCGGCACCGCTTTGGCGTTGCTTTCAACCGTGTGTGTACTCAATCGTTTCTTACCGCATCTGAACTACGTACAGTGTACTACTTCTCGATGCCGACTCGTTGCCGTTTGCTCACCTCGGCTTGCTGCTTTCGTCGACAGCAGCGCCGCTTTCTGCCCGTCTCCCTCGGCGCCACGCGCGACGAGGAAAGCCCGTCGCTGACCTTGGCCGCGTCCATCGTGGCAAATCGGGTGGACGCGATCCGGTTGCTGAGGACACTAGTGTCCACCTCGGTAAACGTTTCGCCGCTGGCCTCGTCCATGAGGAGGGCGGCCAACTCGCACGGTTGGCTCGGCACCGCAACCGCCTTCTCGAGCGTGAGAAGCACCTCAACACGCACCGAGTGGCCCCCGACCGGGGCTAACGCGATGTGGGAGCGCGGCCACGAGCGGACGGGCTGCGGGAGTACCGCAGTCGACTGCACGCGACGCACGATGAACCTGCCGGCGAACTCCTTTGGGAACTGCCACCTGCAAATGGGGCACGTGCTCTGCAGCTCCAGCCACGAGCGAATGCAGCGGCGGTGGAAGTTGTGTCCGCAGGGTAGCTGCACGACCCAGTTCCTGGAGCGGTGCCGACTAGTACCGTCCTGCTCGGCGTCCTCGCTGCTGGCGTCCATACAGATCACGCAGTCCACGGACTTGCTGCTGCTGCTGCATGCATCGTATCGGCCGGTTGCCCGCCACTGGCGGTCGAGGGCTTCCAGCGCGGACGCGTCCACGGGCGAGACCTTCTCGAGCCGGGGCCCGATGTGCCTGGCCATGAAGGCCGCCCACGTGCACGAGCGCAGCAGTCGCAGCACGTCGCCGAGAACTGTATCTGGCGGCGTGCAGTAGTGTACCTCGACCCGCACCGTCACCTCCATTCGTTGCCGCGTTGCCTGGTCCGAGATTTGCTTGGTGCTAGTCCAGTCTGAGCGAGCGAGCGCGCGAAAAGCAGAAATGAGCAGAATGCGGCCGCGAACGACCAAGCGGCCGGTTCGTAAGCTCCGACTTTTTCCCCTTAGGGCGTGCCTGCGGTGACTGCCTGCGTAGTGCTCGTTACCCCAGCGCGGTGTCGCGGGCTGCTTCAAATGAGTAACACGGGCGTAATGTCATCTGCGGAGGTGATCTCAGCTCGGCACTAACGCCTTTGGCGCGCTGGCCCGAGCGTTGGCCGCTTGGCCGGGGCCACCGTATCACCGAGATGACACGGCCAGCGCTCCGGAAATGTCCGCCGCCGCGGGCCGAGACGCGGCCAGCTGCTGGATGGCGGGCCCCTTCTCTGCTGGACCATTTTCTAATCGACGCCCCGATCTGATCTCTTGGCGATCTCTGCGCGAAGCTGCTGGTGAAAGCAAACTGCAACTCGTTGCACTGTCCGAGGGCCCAGCTCAACTTGGATCGCGCGCGCCGGTCTCTTGGACGCCGAGCAGCTCCGAGTCGTCCCACGGTGATCATTACTCACTAGCCAGGCGTAGGACGACCCAGCGCTCGTTGACTCCGCGCGGCCGAGCCAGGAACTGCCCGGGAGGCCCCAACACGAATGCCAGCGCCGCGCTGTCAGCGGAGACCACGCGACCGACCAAGCAGCGCCGGCGGTCACCTCGCAGGCAGGTGCGGGCCCCGCAGGCCGCGGAAGATTTGTCTCGGATGGCTTTCGGGCCGCATGACAAGCTCTGGTTGAAGTTGCCCGCTCGACGGGCGTCATCCCGGCGGCAGCGGCGGCGGGCGAGATCATGACTCATGCTTGCTAGCTATGTAGCACCATGCAATCGCCCGGAATAATTCACTGTGCATGTAGAAGAGTTTTTCTTCTCTACTGTATTTGGCTCGCGCTTGCGGTCGCGTTAGTGCGGCCGAGCATTACCAGTAAGCATGAGCTCAAGACGCGGGCGCTAGCGCCCATGCGTGAGGGCTTGAGACGACCGGCCCTCTCAAGCTGAGAGCAAAGTCTCCCGAAGGCCACGCGTGACAAGCAAGCTGCGCCCGTGACCGCCAGCATGACAGCCGGCGGCGCAGAACGCGGCCAGCCGCGCCATTTTCGAGCCGACGCCGCTGTCTCCGCTCCGCCGAGGCTGGCAGGCTAGCAAGCTGGCGAAGCGCAGCTCCTCGGCCAAGCTCTGCAGGCCTAGCGGCGTGAGAATGCGCTGCGGCCGGCCGGCCTGCAAGTGTAGGTTGCCTCGGCCCGATAAGAAGGGCGTCCCACTCTGGCGCGGCGCCTGCGTGGTTAAAAGCCCGCTTCTTTCGAAACTGCTCGGGCCCGGCCATAGACAGACGGCAGGAAAGAGGTGCGGAGGAGGCTCTCTCGCTCGGGCGGCGGCTGCTGGCGCTGGGCGCTGGAGAGTGCTTACGTACACAGTCTTTTTTGATGGGGGTCGAGGGGGGGGTGAATGTGATATAGAAGAGGACCAACGGAGGCTCGCGGTTGCGAGGAGCGTAGCCGCAGCAAACCCGCGCGGGGTGCCCGCGTACAGGGCCGCGCGGTATTTGCGGAGGCGGGCCCAGCGACGAGCATTCCAGCGAGCCGAGCACTGTTCTCGCCAGGTGAGAGAATCTTTTTATCGCAGGAGCGCAGCGACTGCCTTTGCGGAGCGCAGCGGAGCAAAGCCATTTCCCGCGGATGACATCCGTCCTGCGGGAAGGTCGTCACATTGTGGGGTGATGGGCTGCCTATACAAACTCCAAGATATCACCGAAAATAGACTGTGTACGTAAGTCCTGCCCTGGGCGCTGCTGGGTGTGCTGCCGTGTCTGCCTGCCTATCGCCCAGGCTCACTTTCGCTTTTCCGCGCCGGAGAGAGTCGAGACCTCGCCGGTCGACGCCGCCACCTTAGCAACCACGAGCGAGCCACAGCCGGACACCGCTTCCCTGCCCATGAACATCTCGGTCCGCGTCGAAGTCCAGTACCACGCGCCGGCGGGCGCCGTCACGCGCGACGTGCTCGAGATGTTCCGGTCCACGACGTGGGTGCGCTTCATGATGCGCTACATCTCGCCGCGGCTGAAGAGCTCGTCGCCCGCGGACCAGGCCATCCTGGACGAGCTCGAGAGCCAGGAGGCCGCCGAGGTGCACGAGGGCGAGGAGTGCGTCATCTGCATGAGCGAGAACCCGTGCGACGGCCACGTCGCGCTGCCCTGCGGCCACTCGTTCCACTACCCGTGCATCTCGTCCTGGCTGCAGAGCCAGAGCACGTGCCCCGTGTGCCGCTTCCAGTTCCCCAAGGCCTTCACGGGCAAGTACGCCGTGCAGAAGCTCAAGTCCGCCATGGTGCTCTCCGAGGAGCAGGCCAAGATGCCGCGCGCCGAGCTGCTCGCGCTCGACATCGGCAAGCAGGTCGTGCGCGCCGTCGTCAACGTCACGCTCGTCAAGGTCGCGGCCGAGGGCGACGACGAGGAGTTCCCGTGCGAGCTCAGCGCCTGGATGATGGACCCGGCCTCGGGCGAGACCTTCTCCGAGCTGGACTGTATATGATCCAGCGCCGCCAGCACCAGCAGTATCAGTTAGACAAGAGACCAACACACACACTATCATACGCCTAGGAGCACGACGACGGCAGGGATCCGAGCGACGGTAGCTGCCGGATCCAATTCCCCCTCGAAGCGAAAGGAGGGGACACACGTAGGTATTTATCGAGGAAGAAAAGAGGACGTTTGGACGGAAAATGAACCCACACATTGTAAAGCACACACGCACACACACATACGGCCTCCCTTCCATCCATTTATCTATCCGTTTATCCAAAGCCGCATTGCTAGAGGATCGCCATTTGAGCCACAGCGATCGAGTTGAAGTTACCTTGACTCAGCAGTGCCAGACGTAGCGTTGACAAGCGTTCAATTGCCATGACCCCAACTGGACTCTTCTTGACCGAATTGATAACGCGGACGGTCTCGTCACGTGGTAAACAGATCGATCCGCGCCAGCGCCAGCGACGACGAGATCTACCAAACTGCAGCTACCAACCCACAGGAGCCGGCAGCAGCAGCAGCTTGTCTTCCGTGCCTTCGGCGTCGCCGCGGCCGCCCGCCTGCAATGACAGCCACTTGAAGGCGGCGAGGCCGGACCGGCGACTGCCTCGCAGAGGAGCGCGGTCGCAGTTGCGACGGCCTGCGTCAGCCCTGGAAACTGCTCGACGCCAAAGATGGGTGCGTGCTACGCGAAGGTCTCGGCGCGCGACAGCCCGAGCAGGCAGCGGAGCTCCTCGCGGCATCCCTTGACCCTGTCTCTCCCGGTGTACGCACCCTGCAGCAGCGCGCAGTCTCCTGCGGAGATGCCACTCCGGGCCATTACACCGGAGCTGGTCGGCCAGCGAAATGAGGTGGCCGCAACTCCCTCGTCAACACTCGGACCTTGCTTTCCGTTCATGCCAGCTTTGGTCGTCGGTCGCCTCCAGTTGAAGACTGCCGCACCAGGACCGCGCAGGTGACCACCTCGGTGGTCGTCTTTGTCGACGATGAGGGGAGGCCTCACCTCACGGAGGACGCTGCAGCGATGACGTCATGGTTGGTCAGTGGTGCACTCGATGCCCGACCAGGTCGGGGCTCCCGACCGGGAGGGAACAAGAATGCGTCTTGGTCTGTAAGACCGATAGCCACAACAATATTCAATTGCCCAGACCGGACACTTCGGCATCTCGAGAAACATCACCGTTCTTTCGACGTTACTCCTTCGGTTGAAAAGGCTGGATGCGAAGGCTTGATGTGGACGTGAGTATGTAAGCTGAATCAATCGATTGGATCTCATCTGTGAAATTGCCGAAAAAAAGCATTGACTTGCCGCAGCTTTAGAATAATTAATCTCGCGCTGCAATCTCGTCGTCAGAGTGCTCATCTAGCGATGCTTTCGTCGACAGGAAATGCCGGCGGAATATCCTACCCGGTTCGTACCTTCGACCCGCAGTTGTAAAGACATCGGTGCGACATACCTCCATGAGCCAAATGCTTCGGCAACATTACCTCAGCCAGCAACCCTGCACGTCTGCTGTGGCTTGTTGCTCGACCAGGGCGATAAGCTCCCAAAAGAAGGCGAAGGGCCCATGAAAGTTGAATTCGTGGCGAGCTCGGGCTGGGATGGCTGTTGGACTGTGGAGGTGGGGTTACAGCAGGTCGCTGCTGATATCGATGGCTTTAGGGTGCTTGGCTTGCCGAGCAGTACGAGGTCGTCACGACTGAATTAGGGGAGGGGGGTCTTCATGCTTCATGCCCCCCCCTCCCTCCTCCGAGACCCTCGTTGTCTTGTGCTTTGGCATCGGGGAAACTGGTGGTCCGGTCTACTGGGGAAGCACGATGCCGAGTCGCAGGCCAGCAGAAGGTAGTCCCGACTGAGGAGAGCTGGAAGCATAGGGGTTGGTGCTTTGGCTGAGGAGGCCGCATGGACAAGTACCAAGATCCGTCGACGTAACACGAGGCGGTGCGCCAAGTGGGGCCCATTTCCCAAGTTATTGTCCTTGGAGGAGAAGGCCTACCTGGTCCGCTTCCCCGTTAATCATTGGGCACTGCTGCTCGGGCCCGCTGTTAGCTAATGATAAGCTCGTGGAGGCGCTGCTCAGGCAGCTTCCAGTCGCGCAACGGTGCTTCATTCTTCGTGGACGTTGAAGGTACTGTACATGGCGCCGGTCATGAACGCGGCGACGAGCATGGGCGCGATGGACTCGGGCACCGCGTGCATTAGCTACGGGTTGAGCAGGGGGTAGTCATCGACAACGTTCACACTCGCCTGCAACGCGGCGCGAACAGCGCGAACACCAGTGTGACCGCGTAGTCGGCGCATACTGCTGGGAGGTGGTGGTGGGAGGGGGGGGGACGATGACAAGATCCTATGGTTTTGAGGGCGCTCAGCCAGTGGACGTCCGAGTCGCAGCAATCGTGTCGCCCTTGTGTCGCCGGCCGAGCCGCCCACGGTCTCCGCCAGCGTCACGTACACCCCGGCGATAATGGGTAGTCGTCCGCGAAGTTAGGGTCGTTCTTGCCGATACCCAGCAGCACACCAGCCTGCTGTCTGCCGAGATCTCTGCACAACCTTCTTGCGTATCGTGTAGAGGTCTGTGCCCAAACGGCTGCAGCAGGGGCACGGCCCACAGCGACGATCCCCGCTCCAGACGTGCGTCTTGACAAGTGCAATGTACCGGTATCCCGGGCTCATCCTTCGAAGGTATACGTCAACTTTAGCGGATGACTGATACCTCGATTTAGTACCCAACAACTTTAGCGACGTCTTCAGTTGCCGGCCCACGCGCGCAACTCAAGACGCAACTCAAGGCGGCCGGCCACTTAAGTACGTGCTAGGTGCGTGCTAGGTGCGCATCCAGATGTGAGCCAACCGTTGGTCTTGGCCGGCCATCGAAACGTTGCCGCCGCCGCGCATTGCCGCATTCCGCATTGATTCCGCCTACGACCTGCGTCTAACTAGCCTGTGTGAGTGAGCTCGATGGCGGTGGCAGCGGCGACGAGTTTCCCGCGTGGCAAGAAGCCCAAGGCTTCGGGCCAGAAGGTGGCCGCGCCGTCCGCGGGCGCGCCGGGCGAGGCGCTGTTCGGCAAGCGCGGACTGGCGGCGGTGGCCGCGGCGGCCGAGGAGCAGCCCAAGAAGAAGGCCAAGAAAGCGGCCAAGGCGGCCGTGCCCAAGGCCGGCAAGGACGAGCCCAAGGCCGCCAAGGCCGCCCTGCTCAGCTTCAAGACGCTGCGCAAGGGCATGCTGCTGCTGGGCTGCGTGCGCCAGGTCACGGACGGCCAGGACCTGATGATCAGCCTGCCCAACAAGCTCAACGGCACGGTGGCGCTGGCCGAGTGCTCGGACGAGTTCCACGAGTTCCTGGCCAGCCAGAAGCAGAAGCGGGCGCAGCCCGACGACGAGCAGGAGCAGCTGCCCGCGCTCAGCAGCATCTTCAAGGTGGGCCAGTTCGTGCCCTGCGTGGTGCTGGCCACGTCCAAGACCGACAAGCGCAAGCAGATCCAGCTGTCGCTGCGCACCTCGCTGCTGCACGCGGAACTGAGCGTGGCCAGCCTGACCAAGGGCGCGTCGCTGCACGCCACGGTCTCGTCCGTGGAGGACCACGGCGCCATCGTGAACCTGGGCATCCGCGGCGTGCACGCCTTCGTGCCCCGCAAGGAGCTCGCGGCGCCCGTGCTCAAGGGCCAGCACCTGCTGGTCAGCGTGCTGTCCATGAACGCGCACACCAACACGGCCACCGTGACCATCGACCGCAGCACGGTCGTCAAGGCCGTCACGCGCGGCGACTCGTTCACGCTCAAGCAGCTCGTGCCCGGCATGCTGCTCAACGTCCGCGTCGAGGACGTGCTGGAGAACGGCCTGAGCGTCACGTTCCTCACCTTCTTCACAGCCACGGTCGAGCAGAACCACATGAGTCTGCCCTGCGAGCGCGGCTGGGAGGAGTCCTTCCGCAAGGGCATGAAGGCCCGCGCGCGTATCATGAGCATCGACTACATCGCCAAGCAGATCACGCTGTCCATTGCCCCGCACGTCGTGCACATGCAGGTGCCCGACTCGCCCTACTCGGTGGGCGACATTATTGAGGAGGCCACCATCGAGCGCATCGACGCCGGCGTGGGCATGCTGCTGTCGCTCAAGAGCAAGACCAGCCAGGACGAGGACGTCGAGATGGAGGACGCCAGCGAGAAGAAGGAGTCCACCACGAACGCCAAGTGGAAGGCCTTCGCGCCTGGATACGTGCACATCTCGAACGTGTCGGACAAGCGCGTGGACAAGCTGGAGAAGAAGTACACGGTGGGCTCGAGCATCAAGTGCCGCGTGCTCGGCTTCTCGCCGTTCGACGCCGTCGTGAACATTAGCTGCAAGGAGAGCGCGCTTTCGCAGACCGTGCTGCGCCACAAGGATCTGGCACCCGGCACCAAGGTGAGCGGCATAATCCTGTCGGTCGAGTCGTGGGGCATTTTGATGGAGATCAGCGAGGGCGTGCGTGGCCTGGTGAACCCGCAGCACATGCCGGCCTTCCTGCTGAACAAGAAGGCGAACAACAACGGCAAGTACAAGGTGGGCAAGGTCGCGAGCGCGCGTGTGCTACACGTCGACCTGGAGGCCAAGAAGACGTTCTTGACCATGAAGTCGGGCCTGCTTGCGTCGGAGCTGCCCGTCCTGAGCTCCTTCGAGGAAGCGAAGATGGACCTCATCGCGCACGGTTACATCACGAAGATTGCCGAGTACGGTGTGATCGTCACTTTCTACAACAACGTGTACGGCCTGGTGCCCATGGCCGTGCTCCAGCAGGCTGGCATCGAGAACCTGGAGGAGGCTTACGTGATCGGCCAGGTGGTGAAGGCGCGCGTGACGCGTTGTGACCCGAGCAAGAAGCGTTTGATGCTGTCGTTCGACACGACGTCGAACAAGTCTGGTAATGCGCCGACTGCCGCTCCGGAGACTGCCGCGGAGCTTGTGGGAAAGACTATCACCAATGTCAAGATTACGGACGTGGAGGCCACGTGCTTCCGCGTGCAGACTGCGGATGGCATGGAGGGCGTGCTCCCGTTCGTGCAGCTGACGGACTTCCCGCGCCAAACTTCGCTGGTGGATGAAATCGTCAAGGGTTTCAGCGCTGGGGACATGATCTCGGAGCCTCTGCTCGTTGTCGCTCAGGAGTCCGATGGCGTGTTGACGCTCTCGAAGAAGCCGCTGCTGCTTGAGTTTGCCTCGCGCAGTGCCATTCTGCCCCGTACTTTCGGAGACGTTCAGGAGAACGCCGTTCTTATTGGTTACGTGACGTCTGTGAACGTGGCCAAGGGTGTCTTCGTTAAGTTTCTGAACAACCTTGTGGCGGTGGCCCCTAAGGGCTTCTTGAAGGAGGAGTTTGTCTCGGAGATCGAAGAGGGTATGTTCGAGATTGGCGAGACTGTGACGTGCTCTGTTGAGAGCGTGGACAAGGCGAAGAAGCAGTTTGTTGTTGGCTTCAAGCAGGGCAACTTCGTGCAGGTTACCAACGCCACCAACAAGGCGCGCCTTGCCTATTTCCAGGCTTACCTTCGCGAGCAAGCCGCGGTGCGCAGTGCTGCTGCTGCAAAGAAGGCCTCGTTTGCTCTGGGCAAGACGGAGAAGGCTGAGTTCGTCGGCGTCCGCCCGTACGGTGCTGTCTTCGCTCTTGAGAAGGACGAGGAGACTGTCACGGTGCTGGTGCCTTCGGTGACGGAGAAGAACAACGAGTGGGACGAAGGCGACAGCGTTAAGCTGCTGCTGACGGACTACGACTTCAGCAAGAACGTCTACTACGCTGCTGCTGATGAGTCGCTGGTGAAGAGCGGCTCGAAGCGCTCGCGCAAGCAGAAGCAGCGCGTGAAGGCTGGCGGAAAGATCGAGGCTGCTAAGGTGGTGGCCGTGAGCCCCACGGAGAAGTACGCGGTGGTGTCGTTCCCTGACGCTCAGAACGCCGACTTGCTTCACTTCGGCGTTGTTGAGCTGTGCGACTTCTGGTGCCCGTCGCAGACCAGCGGCCAACTCGGAATCGAGGTCGGTGCCTCTGTGGAGTGCCGCGTGGTGCAGTCTACACTCAAGAGCGGCTCCAACTCGACGCCGTTTGATGACCTTGTGCTGTTGGCGCTCGCCGAGGAGAAGCTGGTGTCTAAGGCCAAAAAGGATACGCGTAAATCGGCGTCGAAGCTGCCCAAGTACTCGCCGAACGATCTCACGCTTGGCAACACGCTGACCGGTGTCATCGCTGGCATTTCGGAGAACTCGATGGAGATCCGAGTGGAGACCGGCAAGAAGGTGGGAAAGGTTCGCGCGACGGTCTCGATTGTCGATGTCGATGGAATTGACGAGAAATATGGCCACGCGCACCCGTTCGACAAGTACTCGGTCAACGCCGCTGTTACCGGCCGTGTAATTGCTGTCACTGCGAAGGGAGCCAACAAGCTCAAGCCCGTCAGCAAAGAGAACCCGGCCACGTTCCACGCCATTCAACTATCGCTGCGCACTGAGGACGTGGCTGGCGATGAGAAGGTGACTGACGTTCAGCGATTCGTCCGCCCCGACTGGCTGGAGGGCAGCGCGGGCCGTGCTCTTCTGAAGGAAGGCAACTCGGTGGATGGTATCGTCTCGGACCAGGGTGCGGACCAGCTGACTATCAAGCTCAGCAGCAACGTTACTGGCACGCTGAGCTGCGTGGAAGTGTCGGAGGACGTGGAGGTGGTGCGCGCGTTCCAGGACAAGTTCCCTGTGGGCAAGCGCGTGAAGTGCTTCGTGCTGCAGGTTGACGATGAGAAGAAGACGGTTGACTTGTCGCTGATTCACTCGTCGTCGGCTCAGGACAAGGCCGTGGTGAAGCCCGGAAGCATCATCAACGGTGTGATCTCCAAAAAGAAATCGGCAATTCGCCCGCCTTCCATCATGGTGCAGCTGGGTGCCCACACTTTCGGACGTGTGTGCGTCACCGAGCTCCTGGCCAAGTGGGAGAACAACATGCTGGAGCTGCCCCAGTTCGCTGCCGGCAAGGTGGTGCGCTGTGTGGTGCTCTCGAACAACAACAACCACATCGACCTGTCCCTGCGTAAGGATGCCCTGGCCAACCCGAAGGAGTACGCGAAGAAGACGTCCAAGCCGGCTGAGCGTGGCGTCGGTGACTTGGTGCCTGCGGTGGTGGCGTCGACTTCTACGACCGGTTGCTTCGTGCGCGTGGACCGCCACACGACGGCGCGTGTCATGCTTCGTGACCTAAGCGATGACTTCGTGAAGGACCCGCAGGAGCACTTTCCTACCGGCAAGCTGGTGGCTGGCCGTGTGACGAAGAAGTCCGACCGCGGCCTGGAGCTGAGCCTCAAGGCGTCTGTCGTCTCGGAGGATGTGTCGGTGTTCAAGTGGAACGACCTGAAGGAGGGTCTGACGGTCAAGGGCACGGTCACGAAGGTGCAGACGTACGGCGTGTTCGTTCGCATCGAGAAGAGCACGATCAGTGGCCTGTGCCACATCTCCGAGGTTGCCGACGAGAAGGTCACGCAGCCGCTGGACCAGATCTTTTCGGAGGGCGACTACGTCAAGGCCAAGGTGCTCAAGGTCGACGGCCGCCGCGTGTCGTTCGGCCTGAAGCCCTCGTACTTCGAGGGTGAGGAGAGCAGCTCGGAAGAGGAGTCGGACGACGAAGAGGAGGCCGAGGACAGTGATGACGAGGAGGCTGAGGCCATGGAGGTGGACGAGGAGGAAACTCCTGCCAAGAAGCCCGCGGCCAAGAAGGTCGCCAAGCCCGTGGCCATGGAGATTGACCTTGGTGACGACGAGTCTTCTTCGGAAGACGAGGACGCGAGCGGCGCTGCCCCTGTTGAGTTCAGCTGGGACGGCTTCTCGAACGCGCTCAACAAGAAGACGGAGGCCAAGGACGACGACGAATCTTCGTCTGAAGACGAGGATGACGAGGAGGAGGAGGCCGCCAAGTCGTCCAAGTCAAAGAAGAACCGTCTACAGAGCGACGAGTGGGTGGCGCTGCGCGAGAAGGCTCTTGCCAGCAGCGACGAGGTCCCGCAAAGCGCGAGCGACTACGAGCGCCTGCTGGCCGTGTCGCCGCAGAGCTCGTACCTGTGGATCCAGTACATGGCCTTCCACATCTCGTTGACGGAGGTGGATCTGGCCCGCGATGTTGCCGTCCGTGCCACGTCGGCGGTGTCGTTCCGTGACGAGAAGGAGAAGCTCAACGTGTGGGTGGCCTATATGAACCTGGAGCACGACTTCGGTGACGACGCGAGTTTCCTGCGCGTCTTCAAGAGCGCACTGCAGGTGAACCACCCGAAGCGCGTGTACCTGCACTTGGTGGACCTCTACGCGCGCGCCGACGAGCACGAGGACGTGAAGCAGACGCTGGCCACGATGCAGAAGAAGTTCCGCACCAGCAAGCAGACGTGGATCCGCTCGCTCCAGTACTTGGTGGGCGAGAAGTTGTTTGCTGAGGCCGCTGAGACCCTGCAGCGAAGTCTCAAGAGCCTGTCGGCCCACAAGCACCTGCCTGTGATCCTCAAGTACGGCCAGCTCCTGTACGAGCAGGGCGAGCTGGACAAAGCCCGCACCATCTTCGAGGGCATCCTGGCCAACTACCCGAAGCGCATGGACCTGTGGAATGTGTACCTGGACAAGGAGATCAAGTTCGGCGACGTCGCACTCGTGCGCGCGCTGTTCGAGCGCCTGCTGGCCATGGACTTCTCGGCCAAGAAGATGAAGTTCCTCTTCAAGAAGTACATGCAGTTCGAGCAGGACCAGGGCGATGACGAGCACGTGGAGCACGTCAAGCAGTTGGCCAAGGACTTCGTCGCTAGCGCTGCGGCCAAGTAGACCGACCGTCGTTAGATAACTGAATAGAGTATGTAGTTTTGCAGCAAGTTCTTCCATTCACGTGTGTTATCCATCCTTTGTTGCTGGGTAGGCCTACGACGGGTGTACTTTGTTCGAGTGCGACACAGGGAACAGCGCTCCCAGTATTCCAGTTGGCGCAGCGTCCATCATAGGCAGCTCTCGCTTCATCACAAGCGGCGGCAAAGTGTGAGGCATTTGAATCTTGGAAGGCGACACTTCTTGGTGAGCCTCAAGGTGATCAAAGCCATTGGACTCGGGGACGTCGATGACTGAAGCTGCTTCTTCATGGTTGAGACTCGCATCGACCTCAGGGATCGCAGCTTCCTCTTCGTTTCGACGCTCCTGGGATCGATGCTTTCGGCAGTGGTGATGTCGGTGGCGATGGTGGCGATGCCGTCGATCCGTTTGGGTTTGAACATCTTTGGCCAGAGACTTGCTCGGACTCGATGGTGCATCTTCTCCTACTCCGCCGTCTTCCGCTGTCGAGGTGCCTCTGTCCACCCTCATCTGTGCCAGCTGAGCCAAGCGAGCTCGTCGCGCTCGCCAGCGCTGGATATACCCCTTGACGTACGAGTCCACGAGCATCTGCGCCACCTTGGCCCGATAGATGAAGATCTGCTTCACGCGGTCCCTTTGCTGCTCGTAGGGCAGCGATCGGATCCCAAGCTGATGGATGCACAGAATCCGCAGCAACTCGTTGAAATACGGCCGCTTGCGGCCATCAGCGGCCGGGCCCCACTGCGCTTGGGCCTGTGTTCGTAGCTGTAGAAATGTTGTACGCTGACGGTGGGCATCGATTCGAAGACCCGGAGGAAGCTCGGCCAGGAAACTCGCGAGCTGCCACAACGGGAAGCACCCCGTGTTGTGCACGTCGTAGCGCAGGAAAACCTCGCGATATGCCTCGAAATCGAGCAGCGAGACCGAGCACACGTCGCTCTTGAGGTAGCAACTCCGAAAGTTTTCCAGGATGACGGCGATGAAGAGGTTGAGGAACACGAACACCACCAGCGTCACGTACGTGATGAAGAACAACGCAGAGCCCGCTACACTCCCGCAGTCCGAGTACACGCGGCCAGTGGAGGCACTGATCCGCTCGGCGCAGAAAGGTTTCTCGACCATGAGATCCGTCATGGTCAGGTGCCAGTCGTCTCCAGACATTATTTGAAACAGCAGCAAAGTGGCCGACCCGAACGTGCGGAAGTTGGAGAAGGAGTTCATCGCTGGCCCGTATCGCACTCCGCCAAAGAGCTGGCGGGCCACGATGGCGAAGATGAAGTAGATCATGAACATGAGGAAGAAGATCTGGCCCAGCGGCCGCAGCGAGGCCCGAAAAGTCTGGTAGACGGTGTAGATCCCGCGGTTCAAGTGCACAAAGCGCAGCACGCGCATCATGCGGAAGATGCGGCCGGCCTGGATGATCGAGTGGTAGCCCGTGGCGAAGAAGTACGCGACGATGGAGCCACTCAGGATCAGCACCTCGAAGATCCCCTGGGGCTGGAGCAAATAGTACTGACGCAGGCCGATGCACTTGATGGTCGCTTCGAGCGTGAAAATCCCCAAGAAGATGATCTCAATGATCTTGAACGACAACGAAGTGCCGTCCTCCGACCGCGGACTCACGAGCAGCAGCACCAAGTTGAGCACTATCGCGATGGAGATGCCCGTCGAGAAGTAGGGGTGCTTGCACAGGTCGTACATCTTAGCCTGGATCTTGAGACGCGGGCGCGGTATACTCTTGAGTGGCTTGAGCAGCAGGATGAACTTCTCCAGGTCCACCCAAGACTTTTGGCTTTCAGTCAGGATCTCCGTGCCGTTGTTGCGTTGGAACTGCTCGACGAGGACACCGACAAAGAGGCGGATGACGAAGAGCGAGCCCACGTAAATGTACAGCACGAAGAAGATGGCGGCTTGGGCCGACGCATCCGTCACGGGCTGTTTGCCGTAGCCAGCGATGTCCATGGCAGCGAACGCCTTGTCGACCCACTTGAGCGACGTCATCTCCAGAAGTGTGAGGAATCCCGCCCCGATGTTATCGAAGGAGAAGCGAGCGTTCTGCCACACGCGAGGCATCAAGATGGGGTCACCAGGGGCGCCTCGAGCTGCAGCTTCTTGCAGTGGTAAGACGCCGTCCGGATACACCAAGTAGAAGCCGATACACTCTGCGGCTGTGGCCACGTCACTGTCGTTGCAGTAGTAGAACTGCTCCGAGAAGAGGGAGCGCCCCACGACACCGAAGATGATGTACACGATCAAGCACAAGGCCAGCACGTTGCCTACGTGGGGCAGCGAGCGCGCTACCGCGTTCAGGATCACTTTCATCTCGTGGTTGTGGTTCAGCATCCTCAGCGGCCTCAGCACGCGCCCAGCTCGGAAGACGCTCGACGCTGTGATGGCCGGGTCGTTGGTGGTGATGATCTCGTCCGCTACGGCCAGCAGCAACAGCGACAGATCGAGTTGGTTCCACCTGTTCTCCATGTACGTTTGGCGGTGCACGTAGCCGAGCATCTCATCGCTGTGGAAGATCTTCACGCGCAAGTACTCGAAGCCGAAACCGGAAGCCCCGACTTTCACTACAAACTCAATGAAGAGCACAACGAGTGCGATGCGGCTCATGGTCGTAATGGCGAAGTCGAACGTCTCGCTCGGAGGCGACATACTCATCTCGGGGTGGGGCTCGTCCAGCACGAGGCAAAGACAGCTCACCACGATCATCAGCTGCACTAAGCGCGAGAACCAGACGTTTATAACCACCTCCCGACACAACCTTTTCCACGCCGAGACGCGCTGCGAGCTCATCCGATGGTTGTTGTTGCGTGTTTGCGAGACTATGACCCCATTTCGAGGGCTAGCACTGCTGCCCTGGATGTTGCAGGCGTCGCCATCCGGCTGGCCAGCTTGCGCCATGTCCTCCTTCCGGTCGTCCATGCCGAGGAACATGCGCAGCTTGACATTGCTGACGTTTTCGAGCTGATCCATCTCTCGGAACGCGCGCACTCCGACCTCCTCGATCTTCTCGTAGATGTCGAGCTCTTTGGGGATGGCGATGATCTGCGCGAGCTGCAGCTGGTACGCCTCCTCCTCCGAGATGGAGAAGTTCTCGAGGATGACGGCGATGAAGAGGTTGAGCAGCACGTACTGACCCACGATGAAGTTGAGGATGAGAAAGGGGACCATGAACCAGTGCGGGTCGGCCGCGTCCACTGCGTCATACGCGATGCTGGACCATTGGTCGCCCGTGATGACCTGCAGCAGAGTGAGGAAGGACCGGCCGAAGGTGTCGAAGTTCCAGCGCGGCACCTCGCCGTCCTTCTGCTTGAGGTGCGAGCCACCGAAGAGCTGCATGCCGATGATGCTGTTGACGACCTGGAAGATCAGCATGAACACGACGACGTCCAGCACGCCACGCGAGGACTTCAGCACGGACTGGATCAGCTTGCGCGTGCCCTCGTACTTCATCATGAGGCGCGTCACACGCAGCGTACGCAGCGACGACACGCTGTTGAGGCCGCTGAAGCTCACGTCCAAGTTGTTGAGCACGAGGTTCCCCGAAGTGCAGAAGACCACGACCATGTCGAATACGCGCTCCGTGCTGCTCAGATAGATGCGCAGGCCCCTCATGGCCACGATGCGCATGAGCATCTCGCTCAGAAATATCACGCCGAAGAAGTACTCGCTGACTGAGAGCACGAGGTCCAGCTCCGAGCTCATGTTTGGGTACTCCACGAGCAAGAAGAGCGTGTTCAGGAGGATACAGACGGTGATGAAGTCGTCGAACTTCTTGGACAGCACAAAGCGCTGGAACTTGATGAACAAGGGGCTCGTGGTCGCCGTGTTTTGCATCACCAGCGCGTGGGTGGACGTGGAGAAGTGCAGCACGTCGAGGTCCGGGATCGCCTCCATGGTCAGCGCCTTCTTGCGCGCAGTAGCGAGCCTGGCCGTAGCGATTGCGGTGTCGGACAACCTCTTAATCGGCTCTCCGCTCGCAGTCTGCAGCGTGCGCGTTAGAGGCCCCATGATCTCCTCCATCAGCACGCCGTTCTGGATCAGCTGCATGGTGGTCTCCACTGTTAAGTTGCGCAGAGACTGCCACTGATGCATCCTTGCCAGCAGACTCAGATAGTCTTGTTTACTGTTCACGGTCTTGCTGTACTCAGGGGCGCTCGCTGGCCGCCGTTTTCGAGATGGAGGGATCAAGTCCTCATCCGCTACGGATCCAATGGGCATTGAGGCGAAACTTGTTCGAGAGAAGGAGGTATCGCGCGCTACGAGGAAGGAGCTGTCACTGCTGGCGTCTACTGGCTCAGATGGCGTGGCTTGTTCTACTGCACTTGGGTCAGCGCCTCCACTTTCTCCTCCTCCTCCTCCTTCGTCGCTGCTTATCGTCTCCTCGATGACGAGCGTCGCGCCCATGATCATATTCACGTGCGTCTCCTCCATTTGGGGGTCGAGCTTCCCCATGAAGTGGGGCTTCTCCTTCTCGCTCTCCTCATCGATCGTAAAGTTCATGAACGCAGTGGTGATCACGGCCACGAACAGATTCACCACTAGAAACACCATGGACGCGACGATGGCCACGAAGAAGAGCACGCTGAAGAACGACGACGCCTCGATCACGGGCTTCATGATGTCCGTCACCCAGCCGTCCTGCGCCACGACGAGAAACACAAGAAACAGTGATGATAACCCGCTGTCGAAGTTCACGTGACTTGAAGGCGGCGCCCTGGCCAGACAGATCTGCCCGTTATCGGCGCAACTCGAGTTGGTGGAGCAATACACGCGCGGAATGGCTTCAAGCGCCTCCATCGCCATCGTGCCAATAGATGATGCTGCAGACGCCGACGCAGAGCCATACAACAGAGCATACTCGTCCTCGTCCATCGCGGGGATGGTGCACTGCTCGCTGTAGGAGCCGCTGTACGCTTCCAGCCCAAATATCGAGAACGCCAGCAGCCCAAACATTGACAATGTACCGACATTTGCTAGAAAGGGGATCGCGCGCACCAATGCCTTGAGAATTCGCCTCAGTCCGGAGTAAAGCGTCAAACTCCGCACGGTCTTCAGTCCACGCAGCACCTTCCACTTGCCACCCCCACCTGGAAGTCCGTACGATATCAAGCTGATGAGTAAGAGCCCGACTTGCAGGAATCGGTAGCGAGAGCGCTGGAAATACGCGTCCTTGTTGCCCCACAACCCGAAGGCGATAACCTTCAGTACGACCTCCATGAGCAGCATGACGGTTAATGTGATATCCAGCTGCGCTAGGGCTGACCCCGTGGCGTATTCGTTATCGAGCCCCAACACTAAGAGATCTCCGACCACCACGAGGTACAGAATGGAGCGAAACCATTGAGCTTTTACAGCTATTCGGAGCCTTTGGCGGAAGTTTTCAAGCCACGGCGGCCACGAATGTCGAAGCGGTTTGACCACCACCTCTGAGTCTTTATCATGTTCGTTGTCCTCGTCGTCGTGATGGTCCTTGTCCTCCACAGAAGAGAGCGACGGACTCGAGATGCGGCCTGCGCGCATACTCCGTCCATCGCGTCGTCGACGCCCGCTGGCTGTGTGTGAGGCTCCGAAGAACTTGGATCCGAAGCGATGGAGCCGCTCCGCTCTCTGAATCTCAGCGTGCGATAGAACCACCTCGGGCCCTGCAGGACTCGCCAGCAGCATCGACGTCCGACGCACCAGTTGCGAGTCCTCTACGGATAACTCCACGGACTTGCGCGACTTGTGGGACGGAGTGACCGTGATGGTCAAGCGTCGAGGCTGCTCTGCGGCCCATGACAGGTCCTCCAGCTCATCCAGTTTGTTCATGTCTGTCGACTTCAAAGCTGCCTCGCCTTCAAAGTCACGCTCAACGGTAGACACCTGTACCAGGGGCCATGCAGCTCGAGGATCCAGTCACGTTGGCGTTCTCGTGACACTTTGAAAGGCACGAGCTACTCGACCTTCTCGGGCAGTTGGTGGTTAATCACTCTGCAACTACACTAGTTGCCGCAAAGCTGCTGGAGGTGCAAGATGAACGCGGCCTTGACCGTCTGGAGCTCTAAAATAGTGCTCGCGACATCAGTTTCAACTCCGACCTGACCTCCTCCACAAGAACCAGCATGAGACGTGTGAGAGCACACCCAAATATCATAGCTATAAACTGCCTTTAGTTGTCGTTGAGCTCATCGTCCGGGAAAATAGGGACCCCGACAGCATACACCACCTTCTCTCCAGAAGCGATGTTGGCGTCAATGTCAACAACCGAGTGGATGGATCGACCGAGGAGGACACGCTCTCCTTCGGTGTCTGGTCTTTCATGGATCGAGGGTGCCGGTTGATACGGAGACATCGACGGCAGCAGAATCACCGGTGCTTCGACTGCAGACTGGGACTCACTCCGCGGCTGGCACATGATCCGACACATTGGCAACGGGTAGAGTGTCGTTGTAGTCTTTGAAGCTTGCTCAACGAGTGCCAGTCCCTCCACCCGAATCCCCCACGACTCGACCCCGCCGTCGGAATGATGCAACACGGCCCCGTGCCAATCACTTGGGCGGATGTCAGCACTGCGCGAGGTGGTCAAGTGTTTCACTACAGCGAGGGCTTTTGTCTTGTTCTTCTTTTTCGTCTTCTTCTCGTCGTCTGTGGTGGACGCATCGCTGGCGTCCGAGGCGGAGTCCAACTCGAGAACCAGCGTCAACGCCGACAATGGCAAACCCAACTGAGTGGCGGTGTAGCTGCGAATGTCTCGGAGAAATCCACAGGCGTCGCCCACCACGGCCAGGTTGAGAGCCCACGCTAGATCGCCTCGGAGGCAGCGCACCAACACCCCGACACGACACGCGATGAGCAGCAGCATCTGACCCACCGACACGGTGCCGCTGGACCGACGAGGCCACGCAGCTCCCCTAAAGAAGCTCGTTATCCAGTCAAACGGTATGAAGCCTCGCACCAGCGACGCGAGTTGTTGCTGGCGGTTCCATGCTGGTTGGACGCTTGTTGTCGCTGGAGCTGATCGAAGAGTCTTGAGATGACTGTGAGCCGCTTCAAATGCGGACAACTGAGCGACTAGCTCGACGTCGAACGATCGCCAAGGGAAGAACAGCGCCTCTGAGTCTCTGTGCAGCTTGCTTGTAGCCTGCAGAGACGTAATGAGACCGCTCACTTGCGAGAAGCTGGAGCACAGGCGTTCGCACGCAGCTTCGCTGTCTTTGATCGAGTATCTCTGCAGCCATCCCTCGACTGGTTCGTGCGCTAGAAGAGCGAACGACGACTCCCCGATCGACAGCAGATCGCTTAGCAACTCTGCAGACAGCTCCGCCGCTTTGGTAGAATCGTCGCGTGGGGAATCTACCCTTTCATGAATGCTGTTGCGTGTGTCGTCCAGCAGTTGAAGAAGCCTGCCAGTCATTTGGTGTCGCTCTGCGTCATCCAAAGCGACCTCCTCGATTGCCGCGTAATGGTGTACGAGGTCCGATAAATCTCTAACGACAGAGCAGCCATCACGCCGATCCTGAAGGTGGTTGACCAACACAGCGCGCGTCAACGCAGATACGACGGATTCAGACGCGCCGTATTCCTCAACGAGCTGGTGCTTGACGGTCTTTTCAATTGCATGATCATCCCCTCGACCGCGCACGACGAGGCTCAGCGGTTTCCGGTCTGTGGAGGGAAATACTGCGATCCTATCCATGACGCTTAGCTTGCCGTTCTCGATCGCTGTAGCCACTGCAAATGAAGCCAGCAAATACCACTCAGGCACAGACAGCAGCGCGTACTCGTTGATGAGCTGGGACACCAAGTTGAGCGCCGCCTCTGCGTGTGTTGCGTCTAGCAGTTCCAATACGAACTTGTGTTTGGTCGTTATCAGCGTGGTCAGCTCTTCACGCAGCGCAACGTTATCCACATCAGTGTCGACGAACGCAGTGATATCCCCCCAGGCGGACAGCTTCAACTCGACATTGCTCCGCTCGCCAGGCATGTACAGCAGCAGCGCTCGAGGTAAATGCGCGCGGGTGTTTTTCCCACGGGACGGAGAGATGTCGACAACGAGAGACGCCGGGGAATGCCACGATGTCCAAAATTCCTCGCAATTCGGTTCGGAGTCGTCCTTCGTCGGTGTTTGAACCAGCAATCGTTGACACTGCCGTAAGTAGCTGTATAGGGCATCCGCGAAGCAGGTCGGGAACGAGGTTTTAGCTAACAAGAGAGGCAACAGCGTTTGCCGCAACGACTCTGTCATATCATCCGTCTCCGCCAGCTTGTAGCGTACGGCCAAGTCTTCGAGGCTGCGTAACGCGACGGGTGTCGTGAACATGGTGCCGGTTCTTTCGGTGGACCTAGGAGTCACCACCTCCTGATAGCCGAGAGATCGAATTAAACGCTCTGCATCCAGCTGCAACCGAACTCGACTCGTCTTCCACTCGTACCAGAACGCCTCAGACGCAGACAAGAGGCTATCGAGGCTTTGCTGAAGCCGGTCGATTGCCACCTCTTTGTTTTCGCTGCTGTCGGACTCGTTGGTGTCGGCTTTCCCCTGGCTGATCCCTGGTATCGGCAAAGTCACGGACGTCGCGCTATGCAGCAGCGGCCGCGGGGCTTTCAATTGTTTCCCACGTGCGTTCGCACTGCTACGGGAAGACTTCCACCCGTTAAAGAGGTACGCGCAGAGCTTCACCCGCCGTCGCAAGCGCTCCACAAGAGACGAACCGGAATCGCCTGGCCACTTCAACGAGTTCCGACGCCTTGGTATGATTTCCACCCCCATGTCCTTCTCAACAGCCTCACTTTCATCAAGGTGTTGCAAAGGGTCCGACACGTTGAGTCCCGCTCGGCGAACGCTGCTGGTAACGAGCCACACCACCGCCTCGTTCCAAACTGCGAACTCGGGGTTATCGGCTTTCGTTGATCCAAGTCCTCGAGCCTGTTGGCACAAAACCCCCAGTAAGGTAAAAAGTTGTCGATGTGAAGTCGAGATGAACCCAGAGCTGATGCGCTCTACTATGGCGTTGAAACTTTCTGCTGAGAGAGAGAGAGCGTCGTCGCCCTGTGCTGCGAGTTGCTGCGTCGCAATGTTCTCGAGGTATCGGAAGTTCTGAAGGTAGAACGGCGACGACCGCACTCCAAACTTCAGCGACGATATTGTTGTCATACACCGAGCGACACCGACTAACTCGATAGCTGTGAAGGCGAACTGTTTGGCAACAGCGGCGAGCTCGTTGTTTTTCACTTGGAGATCCTTCTCTCGGGAGCTCCACATGAGCTCAGCTTGGTACTCGTTCGAGAACTGCAGGGCGAGTTCACTGTAGCGTTCGTAGAGCTGAACGGTGACCTCAGTCTTCCCTCTCCGAGATGCAAACGGCGAGTCATCATGTTCAACCACGGGTTTTAGCGTCTCCAATAGCTGCATGAGTTGATCCCGGCTCTGGTTTACCTTGACCCAGCACTCAGCCACGCCGATTTGGTCCCCTCGAAGCTCCTGAAGCAGCTTGGGCTGCGTCTTGGACACCCGTGAGAGCTTCAGTAAATCCTCCAGCTCAGTGTCAGGTAGCGAGATGGCAAAGTGCTTGAACTGAGCCGCCAGATCGTGCTGAATCTGCAGAGGAACTGGCGTCGCTGTCACCGCGTAGATCTGGAAACAGCGCGTACATATTGAGCTCCCATTACTCGTTGCCCGAGTATCACGTACTGGTGTAGTGGTTGAGGTATTGGAGACTGTGGCAGCTACTGCCAATGGATCAATCGTTATGGCTTTGTGTTTGCCTGCTCGCACCGCTCGTCGAGCCATCATGGCCGCCCCACCACCGAGCGTTGCTGCAGTTTGCGCCAAAGACGACATGGCCGCCATGGCCGAGCCAGCGATCGAGGTCCTTCGCTGCTTCTGCTTGCGCTGATCCTCGTAGTACTTCAGTGTCAGCTCGTGCAGCATTGGGCGTCGAGGTGGGCCATGAGAGATTCGCGCGTGAGCCAGAAAAGGCTGTAGCCGATCCAGAAGCTCCTTGTCAGCGCTGTGGAAGTTCACTAAGAGAACTGGAATAGCCAGTCGCTGAGCTTCTTGCAGTTGACACTCGAGCTTCGGGTCGTCACAGGATAAAACCATTGACTCCTTAGTCGCACTCGGGTTCTCGCTCTCCACTTCACCCGCAGCTCCGCAGCCGGGGAGGGCGGAAAACAGCGTGTGACCCGAGAAGATGTGCACCAGAAACCTCTGCAAGACCCCCGCGGTGTCCACGAAGACGGGGACATGATCGCACAGCGCATCAGCGAGTCGAACAGAGCGGTAAACGTCTGCATCACGGAGGAATGGGAAGCGAGACGTCCATATCAAGCGTACAAGCCAATTCCTGTCGTCTTCTGTGTCATCCTCGATCTTTAGACGCTCATCACTGGCGGTGCTGCTGCTATCGACGACGCTCTCAAGGATTAAAGCAGCTAGTTGGCCCAGAGAGGAGCTGCGTTTCATTGAGGAGAGCGCCGTTGTGTAAGCATACGCTCTCCGCACAGCGACGTCCACTGCGATCCCCATGATTTCGTGCTCCGTTCTGCTCTTCTCTTGGTCTAGTTCCTGCGTCCACTTCGAGTAAAGAGAACTCATCCGGTCCGCTATCTGATGCCATTCCGCAAGGAAGCGTGATATTCCTTCCAGCCGCAACCTGGTCTCGCAGCTCATCATGGCCAGCTCTTCCTGTCGTGAACGCAAAACCCAACGAGCTTCTTCAACCTCAGGGTCGACGGCTGGCTTCTCCTCCTCCGCGTGGTCTTCGCTCTCCGCACTATTCTGCTGCTTTTCCTTCTCTTGGCAGCGAAGAATATCGTCTAAATCCGCGTGAATTTCTGCGCTCTGACACTCAAACTGTTGTTTGAGACGCTCCAGTGTAGGCACAACCTTGTCCCTGGTGAATGTCAAAGTCACAATGGCGTTCTCAAGGCGTGTCACTTTCTGGTGGTGGGCCCTGCATTTTGCTCCATACTCCACCGTGACATTGGCCATGAAGGACAAGAAGTAGTCGAGCTGCGAGGCTGGACTCGGTGTTGTCGAAGCTGCGCGCATCATAAGTAAGTGCACGTTCTGGTACAGCAGCACGTACTTTGCTATGGTCTGCATCCCCCACGTTACTCCACAGAGGTCTGGGGACGACAGCGCCGCCTTCGCCACCTCTGGGAGCAGACGCTGCAGCTCCACGTCCGTGAAGTTCAGACGACGCCAATGACAAGCCGGCCGTGTTTTCATCCACGATATGAACGCCGTACTCAGTTGTGAGGCTTGGGACCTCTCCACTTCAACACCAGTAGATTGATGATCACCGCTGCCTTCTTCCAGAATACAGACGCGGAGATTCTGCTGCAATCGCCGTTGAAACTCGACCATGAGCTCCGCCTCCGTGACGACTTCGAGCTGCTTGCGAGCTTGAATGCAGCTAAGCACGAGCTCGTCGCGTAGCTCTTCACCTCCGGCTTGAAGAGTCAACGAGGGCAGCTTGCCCAGGCACATTTCCTGTATGAAGTCCACTAGACAGGCAGAATGCGCAGCACCCTCCCGTTGACGAACCCACAGCGCGACTCGCTCTTGACGCACACCAGCGGCGCCTATCGCTAGCCGAATAGCGTCTCTCACAGCTTGATCACTGCTCGGTTGCTCCTCAACAACTTTCACTTTGTATCCGTGGAGGTCGCACGCGAACCGCAGCAGTCGCTCCGACAATGGCCGACTGTGCTCCGACAAGGGGGAAACCACGAGCAGTTGCTGCTGACTCAGCGCGTGGATGAGATGCGAAGCTTGCGTAAGGCACCAGGAGCTACTGAGCACGAGTTTGATCTCTAACGCTGCGAGCTGGCCGCGTGCGTAGGCTCGATGGGTCTTCCCGGCGTCCAAACTCGTCGACGACGCCGCATTCTCCATCAACACACTCGATACTAACTCCACCGGTGAAGAGACCAAATGACTGCCGATAGCCACTGCGCGGGCCTGTTCGGACGCGCGACGGGAGACTCCACTAGCTGCCGTGATGTATTCGTTCAGCAGTCCGTGCAGCTGCATCAAGCGCGGCTGAAGAAGAGGAGCGTGCACGTGATGCTCGGCCAACTGGACCAAGCAATGCAGCGCCTCGACTGAGATCGGCAGATTGGTGTCGTTGCTGCTCCGGATCGCGACGCTGAAGTACTTCTCACTTAAATGACGCAGCAACGCCGATATCTTCCGCTGGGTATCGTCACTGCTGCTCTCCACTGGGCCACCATGCGTACTGGGAGCGGGGGCTTCCGCGGGACAATTCGACAGGAACACGCTCTGCAGCTCGCTCAGCCAGCTCTGATGCGCCTTCCCCAGCATCACCAGCGTTGTGCCTTCAGCCGCTGGAGCGCGTGGGCTTGAGTCGGATTGTTTACGAGTCGAGATACTTGCCGAGGATATGAGCGATCGCTCCAGTAGCGTGTTGATGTGGTGCAGGTTGAATAAGCACAGACACGGGTGGTCACTGTCTCCGAGTTGCTGCTGGAAGCTCGTCATCTCCATGAAGAAATCCACACTAACTCGGAGGGTCACTTCTTCAAGTGGGAGCTGTTGACCGCTGCCAGGACCTCCCATACCTCCTTTAGCTGAAAGACGGCGCTCGGTGTCCATCCGCGAAGGTTGCGCCTTGAAGTGCTGCTGGAATTTGACTCGGAAGATGTTCAGAAGCTCTTTCTGCGTGTACGTCGGCACCCGGAAGACCACAAAGTGCCGCAGTAAGCGAGACAACGCAGGCGAGAGACCGCTCTCGCTCTCGTCAAGCCGCATCCCGGCCCCGATCTGCTTCTCCACACTGTGGAACCCTCCATGTTTGGAGGTAAACCCAATGCGATGGTCCAGCATGGTACGAACGAACTGAACGGCTGTGTCGTCCGAGGCCTCTCCAGTGGCGTTTAAATCGTCAAGGAAGACGAACGAGTGCCTTGAACGCCCAGCGAACAGCTCCGTCTCCTCCCGCATCTTCGCTCGGGAGCTAGCGGCGCTATCTCGTCGGTCCAAAGGCTGAAACCAGGCAGCAGGAACTCCAGTCCAGTCCAGAATCCCATGAACGTGGCGCTCGTCTAAGGACGTCTCGATCTTCATCTCGGCCGCTTCAGCCTCGCGGTTCTGCTGCACCAGCCATCGCAGTAGCGACGTCTTACCACTTGCTGCAGGGCCGATGAGCACGAATGAACGCCACGAATGTAGTAGGACCGTGCACATGCGGATCAGCGAGGTCGCGGCTGGAACCAGCACCAGAACTTGGCCACTGGAGGAGTCGAAGGCGCTCTGCATCTTGGTCTCGAGCTTCGCTTGGTGTGTGGCTTCGGTTGTAGTGGGCTGCCGAGCTAACGGGGCTGCGAATCTCGGCTGCAGCTCATCCCAGACGTCTTCAAAGCCGTCCGCGTCCAGCAGTCCGCGTGGCACCTCGGCCAAGTGCTTGATGTCGCTGTGCTCCTTGCTCTTCATGCGCACGTAGTTCTCCAGCTTGGGCTTAAATGGATCGGGAAGGTGGCCAACAAAACCCCAGAGAACCGCGAACGTTGCGAGCTCCACCAGCCGCAGATACGACAGTTCCTGCAGCAGCGACTTGTTCTGGAAGCAGCAGACCGAGACGAACGTCAACGCCGTCTGCGTGAGATGATTCAGTGAGAGGAAGCCAAGTCGTAGGGTTCCTCTGCCCACCAACTCATCTACAGCTTCGCCTTGGCTGTGCGTTGCTTCCTCGACGACAAAGCCGACGCAAATGTTCAATACCAGCACCTGGACCGTCTTGAATACAACAGCCATCGCCTCAAACCCGCGCGAGTCTGGCTGGAACACTAACAGGTTTTCCCAGCGCGTACGCCACGAGGCGATGATACTCGCAGCAGTGATGCATCGTGCTGGGACGTGTAAGGCCCAGCACCTTCGTAGAGCCGACGGAGACAAGTTGGCCACGCTGGTCACTTCGAACAGCAGTCGAGGGCTGTAGCGCGGGTCTGCACAGTCGCCTGACAACACGCAAGAGTTCAGGTCCCGATAAAGGATCGAATTGGGGGGCAATGAGGACGTCGAGACGCACGCGCGATTGTCGCCTTCGAGTAATCGGTCAAGGACGCCGCCGTCAACCTCTCCATCCACCAGAATCCACTTGAGCGAGTCCGAACCGGGCGCTGTTCGCTTGTTTGTGCCTTTGTCTGCGGCTCCGCACGCAGTAGCGATGCTGCTGTAGAATTGATCCAGAGTCAGGAGCTGCGGGTTGAGGACGACAAGCTGCTTCATCGTTGATGGCGGCTGCGCGTGGCTTGGTTCTTCACCGTCTTCGTCCTGCTCACTCAGCTCCAATGCTACCAGCGCGCGGTGTAATGCCGTGACACAAGTGGTTTTGCCGCTTCCAGGCGACCCGTACACCAGCGCAGCTGGGAACGTCTGCAGAGCTCTCCAGAGCTCCATGATCAACTCGAACTGCTCGCAACCGCCGGGGAGCGAGTACGCGCTCTCTAGGTAAATGGAAACAGCAGCGGCGACAGCTTCCTCATCTCCTTTGCTCTTTGACACCAGCATGCCGCCCTTCGACAGCGGAAGCATCCGGTCTAACAGTATGTTGATCTGTTCCAGCGATGCTTTGTCATCATGCCCTTGCCCCTCGGTAAGCACAGCAGTAATTGACGAGTTGAGTGCATGACGAAAGATACATTGCTCTGCACTCATAGAGGTCGAATTCATAGGATTCGCATCCCACACGACTCGGTAGTGCTCATGGAGGCGCCGCGCTTCTTCGACTATGCGCGGAGCCAGCTCCTCCACGTTGAGTGAGCGGATTGCTCCAGTTTTCTCCGCCTCGATCGCTTCGAACGCCGCTATAACATTGAGCTCACGTATCTGCTTAACTGTGAATCCGTCAGCGAGTAGCAAACACTCGACGAGGAACCGGGCGGCTGGTCGAGCCACAGCAACAGCACGAAATTGCGTCCGTATCGCTTGAACCAAGCCACTCTTCTGTAGATCCTCGGACGAATCCAACGGGATGAAGATGGCACTAGCGCCGTAGGACAAACCGCCGCCAGCATGGCGAGGAAGCACCAGCGAGTTGGACACTGCCTGCTGTTGAGCGTGATGAGCGTTGAGGTTCCCAGTGTGGGAAGCTTGGTGGAAGTACTGCACCACGCGTTCCCGCACGACTCCGACCAGCGCAGCCGAGAGGTGGAGCAAGGCGCGCACAATGAGAAACCCATTCAGTCTGGACACGGCATTGGCCAAGCTATCTAAGTGACGGATAGTCGTGACGCCAGCGCTGGGGTCGCATGAAAACTCGATGCACGGTCTCATGAGCAACTGGGCGACACCCCGCACCAACGCAGTGGGGTCGTTCCCAGCTTGGTGAACGTTGTAAGGTACCACCAGCGCCGTGTGCTGCATCCTCAGCGCACTGAAGAGCGCATACGAGCATCGCTGGGTGAACGGCGATATGATGGCGAGCTTCCCCCAGCCCACGAACTCCTGACCCAACGGCATCTGCAGATGAGCTACTTGACAGCTCACGGACAAGTTGACAGATTGACCGCTTTGGCTAGAGGACGGTGCTTTCAGGAAGTCAGGGCTCGTAGGGAATAACTCTCTCCTTTCCAGTTTGCTGTGTTTAACTGGATTCGGTTGAGTCGCTGGGGCAGAAGCCGACATGACTTCCACAAACGCTCGGGTCTGGAACTGCATGCTCCAGAAGAACAATGCTTCTTCATGTCGTCCTTGATCCATCAACTCCACAACGCGACGCACGACTTTCAACTGAATCGCCGTCAGCAAGATCATGTTGTCCAGGCGCACGGAGCTGAACGCTGTTCTGTCCGTGCGTCGCGTAGTCACCAGAGCTCCCAAACGCTCCGTAATGGCCAAGTGTAATCGCTGAAGCTGCTCCACGACCAGATCGTGCTCTTCTGAACGATGAGCGCGGTTCATTTCGAACGTGAACCGGAGTGCTGATGCCGTGACGATCGACTGGGGGAGAAAAGCCTCATAGCTCAGGGCTTCCGAGCTGTCGGAGTCGAGTGTGACCCATTCGAACGCGCGCTTCAGGTCTGCCACCACCATCGACGACATTTCCTCCTCGAGGCGCGTGAACCAAAACTTGACGCGGCCGATTTTGGCCACGGGGAGGCGGAAGCAGCCGCACTTTTCAGATGCTTGGTCATGGCCCTGCACGCCGTCGAGCCCCGAGATGACGATGGTGCCGTCCGTCTTGCTGGCCCGCACCGGCGCACCGAGTGACTCCTGCTTCCCGTAGATCTCGACGCTGGAGCCCACGCGGTTGGCTGCGCGGGAGATGGCGAAGCGATGGACACGGGGGAAGCAAATGGCCAGGGCCTGGTGGAGCTGCTGCATGTCCGAGTCTCGCAGCAGGAGCCCAAGCATTGTGGTCTCATCCAGGCAGTACATCCGCGGGAGCTTCTCTCGCACCGAGTCGAGGTAGCTCAGAACCAGCTCCATTCCTCGTTCACAGGCAGCGAGGTTGGTCTCGAAGTCAAAGCCCTCGAAGCTCTCCATCACGTCGTCCAAGGTGCAGTTCATGGACTTGGTGGCCGCACTCAATCGTCGGTGAACAGCCACGGTCACTGCCGGTCCAGCAAATACACTAGTCTTCTTCCCCAACAACACAGGCTGAGCTGCTTTCTTCTGCTCAACTTGCGGTTGATGGGGACTCACGAAGAACAACCGTCGAAGGCGGTCACTCCACGCATGACTCGCTTCAAGGAACGCGTGCCACAATGCCTGCTCCTGCTTGAGGCCGGATTTGTGTTGCGCTGTTCGACCTCGGGGCACAGCGAAGTTACCACCGCCACCGCCGCTGAACCGCTTGGAGAAGAACTCGTCCACCTCGTGCAGCTTCGTCGCTTCGCAGCGTAGTCGCCAGTGTTTCTGGTATGTATGAATGTGCTTACACACGGCGATCTTCTGCTCCATGTCGGCCCGTAGCTCAAGACAAAGATGAAGCTCGGGGTTCTGGCCAAAAAGGCAGAGCTTCAGCTCCACTGCGATGTCGTCCAACTGGGCGAGCGCCTCTGCGATGCCTTCACACCGCACGCTGTAGTTGGTCTCCTCTACGCGCACTTCAATGCGCGCCAGTCGCTGTCGAGCCTGCTCCAATTTCGTGTGAAGTTTGGCCTCTACAATGCACTCGTCACAGAATTCCAGGAGCGCGTTGATCTGGTCGGGATCGCACTGCTCCTTCATACGGCGGAGGGTTAGTCCTCCTCCACTTGCACCATTCGGTCCCGATTGGACATTGAGCAGTTGGTTCATTGCCGCCCAGCGCGCGTCCGAGAAAGCCCCTCCGCTGATCGCCTGGAAAATCCGATTGCAGTTGAGCATGTCCTCGATGCTGGCGTCGAACGTGCGCATCAACTCGAAATCCTTCTTCGCGAACGAAGCGCACTCCTTCCGGTCTTCCTCTTCATACTGCGGGATAGTCTGGAGTTGATCTTGGGGCTCCAACGGCAGCACCTGCAGAAGCACCGAGGACAAGCGAGAGAGTCGCGAGGACGCGTATCCCAGTCGGCGACGGAACTGCTTGATATGGTTGATCATCGTTCCGGGGTGAACACCAGAGAGTGGGGATCCCAGCCACTTCTCGCGCAGTTTCTTCCAGGACGCGTACCATTGTCGAAGCTCCAGCGAGGTGACAATGTACAGCAGCAACAGCTCGCTCGGGAGTTTATCCGCCATACTCACCACCGACAGCTTGTCCGAGCTCGAATCGGAAGCGGAAGAGCTCCAAACCGCTTGCTGAGTCGGTGGCAGGTCCATAATCGCGCGGTGCTCACGGTCGTACTCTTCATACTGCTGCACCACGTTCTTCCGCTCCAGGTCCATCGCTACGAGGTCTTCAAGCTGCTGCACCATCTCCTCCTTCGTCGGCGCATTCACCTGCGCAACGGGCCTTCGTTTGAGAAAACCATCGTCTTCTTCTTCACCCTCGTCAACTTCTTCTTCTTTATCTTCACACCCAGACGGAAGTCCTTCAAACGTCTTGACAACACGCTGTAGCTGAGCGGTTATATACTCGTCGACTTTGCTGATCACGTCAAGGACACTGCGTCGGTGTTCGCTGCCCCGCTCTTCGACTCGAGCCAAGCACATCAACAACGTCTCAATCACCGACTCCCACGTCAGCTCGAGCTTCCGGATCGACTCCTGCACTTCTTGGTCCAGAGATAAAATCCCCCGCTCCTTGATAAGCGCCCGCAGACGCGCGAGGTTCGCAATTTTCGCGTCCAGCCGCTGCCGGAACGGATGCGTCTGCATCATTGAAGTCACTTGAGCAAGCCACACATTCGCTTCAGCCAGGTCAGTGGGGATCTTGGTCACCTTCTCGATGCAGCCGTCCACGTCTTCCAGTAGACTGGCCAAAAACTGCTGGTAGATCGAGGGCAGTGCGTCGTCCATTTCGTCCACGCGCTTGGAGACGTGACGACGCAGCTTCTCGACGAACAAGCTCTGGTCCAGAAGCAAGTAGCCCACTTGAAGCATAGGGGCTGCGCTACTCGAGTACTGGACGAATCGACTCCACGTCTTCTGCGCCAGCTCATAAGCTGCTGCACTGGAGGTCAAGTCGGGCAGCTGTGGGAGTCGAGCTCCGTCTTCGTCTAGCTCAGCAGCGGAATCTCTCGCCACTGGGGACGCCCTCTCTGCGACTTTGATGGCGCGGACGCACCGCAGATGCTCCTGCTGAAGGATCCCAATGCGTCGGAAGTGCAGATCAAGCGCGCTACGCATTTCACGGAGTTCTGGCTCATAACTCTCGAAGACGAGGTGGGATGGCTTCAATAAGCTCGCAGCGAAGTCTCGTCGAACTGAAGGCACGAATGGCGTCAGCACGTGCTTGAAATGCCCGTTAGTAAGAACGCGCGGCAGTCCGTCCATGGCCACGCAGTACTTGAGCAGAATGGAGTGCACCAGGTCCAGCACCTCGACTTTTGTAGGCACCAGCTGCATCGTGGAGGAGTTGACGTCTCCGTCGAAATCCACGTCGTCCACCAAGCTGACGTACAACCCTGGGATCGCCACCACACACGCATCGCTCTCTTGTGACTGTGTCCTGTAGCTCACGCGCTGACATACTTGGCTAGGAGAAGAAATCGATCCCTGAGCATCTTCGGCTGCTTCGGGTCGACACAAGTGCGCGCTCCGATCCTCCGTCGTTAATGATATCGATGGCACTCCGCATATCCGAGCTCGAAGATCTCTCACGACAAGAGTGACATGCTGGTAGACCGATTCTGCCACGTGACAATCCACAAGCCTGAGGAACGTGAACATGCGTTCTCGTAGACTGGATAACCTCAGCGCCTTGCTGAAAGCTTCATGGTCTGTGATGGCGTAGCTGCATCCTTCTCCTTCTTTGTATCGCGAGATGTTCTGCGTAGCACTATCGATCGTCACGCAGAGCGCGTGGATCTTCTTGGCAATGGCAGCTTTTGCAGCGCGCACGCGTTCTCGATGGAGGTGCGCGAGTCTCTCCAGCGTGTAGCTCGTGTCGGCTTGGGTGTAGTCGCGCTCTGCTTCACGTTCGATGTCCGCGCACACATCTCGCACCTCCATTAGCAGCAACGCAGCAACCGGGTGGCACGTGAACAGACTGCAAGCGAGTCGCTCCTGGACGCGATGCAGTCGGCGTTGCACTGCTTGACGCTTCCACGAGAAGAAGAAGATCATCTGCTGAATGCGTTCCAGTCCCTTCATGTTGGTCATGTGGTCGAACGCGCGCTTCTCGTCCACCCAGCCCGGCAAGTCAGAGAACTCGATCCCCTGGCCACCTTTGAAGCGTGTGAACCCGTGGGAGCTCAGTGTGAAGTACTCGAGCCCACGAAGCGCAGTGCCTTCGTCTGCGAAAGTCAGCCAGTATACATTACGGAAGCCGCAAGGCGGTGCTTCGCAGTGAACGAGGTACAGCACGTCTTCTTCTGGTCGCACTTTGCGCTGTATATCTATCATCAGCATGGCCACGGTAGACAGCTAGTAAGAAGGAGGAGAGGAGAGGAATCGGAGATACAAGGTCAACGAAACGCACGCTTGCCACGAGGGATCTCGGATCGCCGCACTGAAGACCCGGTGCGGATCACATGCATTACGTACCGCATGAGCGGGTCTTCCGCTGCGTACTCTGAAGGCACGTAGACACCAGAAACAACATACTTATGTAAGCCCAATAGTTTCATGAACCACGCACCCCATCGCCAACGTACTCTGCTCAAACGCGGTCAAATTAGCCGAAAGCGTCTTCGAAAGCTTTCGGAGCGATAAAGCACTGCTCTTTGGCGGTAGAATCTGAGCGCTGGGACGTCCAGCCACGGTCGGTAGCCCTGGGATCCTGTTGTTGCCCCTATGCGGGGGCTGCGTAGTCGAAGGTGAATATAATTTAGCCTGCTTCCGGGTTGGAATGGACTGCCAACTCAAGTGCAGTCGGTCCACCAGAGGAACAGGTTTAATGGCGTCACGCTGTTCTGCCGTCAGGGAGCTTAGCATCTCGGACACGTCGACCCGCGATTGACTTGCTGACTTCGGCCGACGACGGTGCGCACGTGCACGTGCAGTCTCCATTCCGGTCAACCTCTTAAAAGTGCCACTCGCATCAGCTAAGGAGGATATGCGGCCTCACCGCCCTTTCAAAGTGTAAACGACCCATTACCAGCGTGTTAGACAAATATATACGACTTCTCTGCATCTTGGGAGTCCATCGACGTCGATGGAGCACGCCAGCACCGCTTGAAGAAGCGCAGGATCCACTTGCGCAGCGTCGGCTCCTTCTTGCCCTCTGTGAAGGACGAATGGTACTGCCTCATATACTCCAGCACGGCCTTGACGTCGGTGCCTGCAGTCAAATAGGACGACACAAACGAACTTCATCAGCTTTCAATCTATAGCTCCGAGCCTTTCCTACAAGGCCAGAGGACGCACCTTGTCCTTGTTGATGCCGCTCACTGACCCACGTGAGCAGTTCGTCCTCAAAGTTGCAGCTGCTGCGTCGCCCTCCTCCGGCCAAGCGGAATCGTTTCCTCTCGGCCGTGACGAGTTTGTCGCGGATGCTTCTCCAATAATTCAAACAATTGGGGTTCTTGAGCCCCAGCTCTTCGGCCACTTGGGCCACGCTCTTGCCCTCGTCCAGCATGTTCACGGCGTGCAGCTTGAACTCGTTCGAGAAGAGCATGTAGCGCCCAGAGCACGAGCGGCGCTTGCCCATTTGCTGTGGCGTCAATGTTGCATCTGCATCTGGTACAGCACCAGCGTCGCTCTGCAGGTCTGCTGCGTCATCTGGGTCCTTCTGGTGCTGAGGCAGCAGCAGCGGCGTCGGGCTCGCAGTGGCCTGCACCACGTCGTCCGGCAGCGGCACCGCGTCCTCCTCCTGTGTTTGCACGGCCAATGTGATATCCGCTGCGTCCACACCCACGTCCGGCACTCCAACTGCAACTGCATCGGCCGGTGGCGCGGACGCCAACGACGACTGCGGCGGCAGGTGCTTCTTGAGGAACCGCGCGGTCCAGACCTTGAGCGCCGCCGCGCTCTTGGAGGCGGCGAACACCGGGTACTCGTCCAGCACGTGGTTGACGATGTCCTGCCGCGTGAGCGGCACCTGTCGGTGGGCGAGCACCCACTGCAGCAGCTCCTTCTCCTGCTGGAAGGCGGGTCGGGGTCTGCTGCCGGCCGCGTCGGCGTTGGCCTCAGCCTCGGCCTCGGCAGCCTCCACGTCCGCGCGCAGCTGCGAGCGGTCCGTCTCGTGCTTCCAGTAGAGCAGCGTGAGCGCGCTCTTGAGCGCGAACTGCTGCGCCGTGGCCGCCAGGTCCCCGGAGCTGTCCAGCGTCTGCACGGCGCGCGCCGCCTGCGCCGCGTCCTCCGCGGCGTCCTCGTGCTGCGCCAGGAAGAGCGCGAGCCACGCGAAGAGCAGCGGCAGGTCGTCCAGCAGCTCCGGGTGCCGCGTCTCGAAGAAGAACAGCGCGTCGTCTGCCGCGCACGCCGCGCGCGAGCGCTGCAGCCACAGCAGCAGCTCGGACGCGTAGCGCTCCAGGTGCAGCGCCGTCGTGGCCACGCTGGAGGACGAGGACGGCAGGTCCGAGCCTGTAAGTAGCGCCAGTGTGGAGCTGGACATGTCCTCTTGCAGATCCGACGAGCTGGGGCACGCGAGCGCTGCGCCGGCGCCGCTGGAGAGCTCCTCGCAGGACGACATGCTTGGCGGCGCTGCACGAGGTGAGACGAGAGTTATTGAGCGGTTAGGGAGCATAAGAGCACTGCGTGCAGTTGGAGAGCATGGCTACATGTGCTATTAAAGTGGTATATTTGCGATCTTGAAGCGACGCGTGTAGCCATTCTGGTAGAGTCTCCGTTGCCGGCATGGCGGACGAGGCCGAAGCTGCGGGTGCGGCGGAGCCGCAGGCGCCACGCGATGTAGGCTGTGCTATAATGTTAATATGCAAAGGCTTGAAGCGAGCTAACGCGTGCTCTTATTGTGGCAGGACGTGAGCGTGACGCTCATGGGCAACGTGCTCGAGAAGCTGCGCGTGCTGCAGTACGAACGCGAGTTCGGCAAGAAGAAGAGCTTCGCACCCTTCAGCGAGACGCAGTTCGCCGTGCTCGGGCCCGGCACCAACGCCAGTGCACAGTTCAAGAGCTTCCTGGACCTCGTGACCTTCCTGCTCAAGAGCTGCAACCAGGAGTTCGTCGTGGACAAGTACGACGACCCCAACACTAGCGTCAACAAGCTCATCCTGACGCTCAAGACCATGGGCTTCCCGCTCGACTTCCCGGCTTCCAAGCTCAAGCTCGGCTACGGCGAGGCCGCGTGTGCCGCGCTCGACTTCATCTGCGACCAGGCGCTTGCTGCTCGCCGCTTCGACTGGCCGCGGCCGCAGTACCCCAAGGAGGACTTCGCGGATGAGGCCGAGGTAGACGACGACGCTGAAGTGGATACGGCTAATGACGACGACGATAACGCGCTGCCTGGAGCTGAAGAGGAGGCCGAGGAGCTCTATAGCGACTTGGTGCGCAGCGGCAAGGCCGCCGAGGACCAGCACGACCTGGACCAGAGCTTCCAGCAGATGATCATGAGCGAGGTTGACCCGCTGCTCTGGAAGACGGAGCTCGAGCGCGTCGGCCCGCGTCTCAAGGTGAAAGGCGGTGCGGGTGCGGCAGCAGCGGGCAAGGAATGGCACGCGCACATTGAGCGCTCGAGAGAGCACGAAACGGTCATGCGCGAGCTGCTGCCGCGCGCGAACGCCCAGCTGCGGCTGCTCGGCACGCAACTCGCGGAGGCCATAGGGCGCATGGGGGCCAAGGAGAAGACACTGAACAATCAGTACGAGCACTTGCGGCAAGAGTACACGGCGCTCAAGGAGAAGCTGCAGGCCGCAACGGAAGTCAGCAAGGCGGGAGCTGACCGCGTGAACGTCATGACAACCGAGTACGCCGAGACCACGGAGCTGTTGAAGGAGACCAAGGGCGTCATGGACGAGCGCGGAGCCAAGATGACCGACACGTCGCCGCTCGTACACATCAAGGACGCGCTCAAGACCCTCGCTGCGGAGATCAAGAACTTCGAGCTGCGCATTGGCGTTGTCAGCCATACGTTGCTGCAGGCCAAGTGCCGTCAGGCAAGTGCCGCCAGTGCACGACGACGGGGTCGCGAAGCGGCCGCTGCAGATGGACAGAGCTATCAAGACCCCGAGTACGACCCGAGCGACGAGGACTCAAACTAATGAACCACCCCTTTCATTTATTCCCAGCGGTAGTGGTGTCGATAGACTACTCGTAGCAAAAACCAGCACAGCTAAAATCATCACGCGCGCACTAGCGCATTGACAAACACTTGTCATTGTTTTTATGTTAGCAGCAAACTACTTGAGTTCGTCTTACAGCTCGGCAAAGGAGTGGATCGTGGGGAAGTGGTGGGACTCTGGCAGCGGCTTGTTGCCCGGACGCACGGACAGAACGGTGTCAAGTCCGGCGGCCTCAGCAGCCTGGGCCTCCTCGATCACGTCCGTGACAAATAGCACGTCCTTGCCGCTGTCCACGCCGAGACTCTGAACGATTTCCTTGTAGCTTCCGACCTCGCGCTTGTGACCGATCTTCGTGTCGAAGTAGACGGTCAGATACTCGCGCAGATCGCCCTTGTCCGAGTACTGGAAGAGCAGCTTTTGAGCCTGACGCGAGCCGGACGAGTAGATGCCCACCCGCACTCCACGAGCACGCAGACGCTCAAAGAGCGGGGGCACGTCGTCGTACACCTGCGCCTTAAGTTCGCCGCTCTCGTAGCCCTGGAGCCACATGTGGCCCTGCAGCTGCTTGAGGGGACCGATCTTGCGGTCCGCCTTGACATTCCACTTGACGTAGGTGGTCAGGTCGGCGATGAGCTTCTCCTTGCCCTGCTCGGCATCCAGCGCGGGCGGGTTGACTCCATCGGTCTGGTCCTGTTTGTGCTGAGCCACCAGAGCCGCCACATCGGCCTTCGTGTCGGGCTGATCCCAGGTCTGCTCCAGGAAGCGGTCGACGTTGTTGGTCACGTACGGGAACAGAATGTCGTGGACAAACGTGATCGGCGTGGTGGTGCCTTCGATGTCGCACATGACCACCTTGTGCTTCTCCGCCATGGTGAGTTCTCCGTTGCTCGTCTCCTCGGAGCGCGCGCGCTTGAGAGAGCTGCCGTTGCTCGAGGACGCCGACACCGGGGGCACGGTGTAGTCCAGGTTGAGCTTGCGCATCTCGATAGCCGCCTCAAACAGGTAGTGCAGGCACTCGGCGTGGCGCTTGGCAGCCTCCCACGAGTCGCCCCACACAAAGAGACCGTGGCGACGGACAAGCACAGCCGAGGTGTTGGGGTACGCCTCTATAGTACGGGCGATCGGCTCAGCCAGCGCCGACTCCTTGGGAGCGTTGTCGATCACAGGCACCACCAGCGTGTCCGCGTAGCCGTGGCCGGTGATCCCCTTGATCATCTCCTGGTGGGAGATGCGGAACTCGCTCTTGCCGTCGCAGAGCGCCGCCGCCAAGTTGCAGGTGATGCCGTGGCTGTGCAGCACGACGGCAGCCTTGCGAATCTTGTGCGCGTTCAGGAACAGAGGGGCACAGTCCGAGAGCTTGGGGGCCTTCTTGCCCGGCTTAGCCTTGGGACTCGAGAGGATGCCGCCGTCCAGGTCCAGCACGTACAGGTCCTCGGGCTGCAGACGCTCCTTGGGGACGCCCGACGGGGTGACGTAGATGCGCTCGCCATGGCGCAGACTCATGGCTCCGCCCGTGCCCGTCATCCACTCCGTGGTGTAGTACAGGCGGCACAGCTCGCAAACGAGCTTGCGGCACTCGTTGGCATCCACCAGCGTCGAGTGAGTGGCAGCGTCCGCCGGACGAGTGTAACGAGCCGTGAGGCTGGCCGCCGTCTTGCTGGTCTCCAGCAGCTGCGCGGCATGGCCAGCGATCGGCACGAAGCGGTGCAGCACCCGCAGTCTCAGCGAAGCCTTCATGCCCTCGGTCAGCGTGCAACGCACCCAGCAGTCAGCCGAGTCCCGCACGTCCAGGTGCACGCGGCCCTTAACGACCTTGTACTCGACGTCGGCAGCGTTCGAGTGCTCGTTCTGCAGATCCGCGACGGTGGCCACGTCCACCGCAGCTTCTTCCTTGTCCTGCGCAGGGCTGGGCGAGTATTCAGCGACTGAGACTCCGATTTCACGGAGAACGGCGAGGCTCGCGCGGTCCAAGGAGCTGTCGAGGTAGGTCGGCTGCAGAGCGAGCTCCAGCGATGAGATCTGCGTTGCACGAGTAGAAAGTTACATAAGTGGATAGAGGAAACGTCAGCGACTGCAGTCACGGTGGAAGCAGCGGCGGGGGCATTGCCGTTCACGCGGAATCGCCGCGCGAAGGAGGAGATCATTTACCTGCGCCATGGCCGTCGCTTATCAAAGTGAGCGGCTCCCGTTGCGTTGACTGGCTAATGGAGCTGGATCTCTCGACCAATCAGATACCGTTAAACAGCTATGCGTATAGTAGGTACAGTACAGGTTCATATTTTCGATTAACGTCCACCGGCGTCCACCTGGGCGTCTCACTCACTTCACTCCGCCTCGGCGCTCAACTTGCTCGTCTCCGACTCCTGCTCGTCCGACGCGGCTGGGGCCGGCACAGGCCACTTGAAGTCGCCCGTGGAGGGAGGCACCAGCGGCGTCCTCGGCGTCTGCGCAGGCTCGCTCAGCATGTCCACATCGCTGTTGGGGTTCTTGCGCAGGTACTTGCGCGCTCGCCACACGCGGCAGTGCGACTTCCAGCGGATCTTGACGGCGTCCTCGGTCCGCCCGGGCAGCATCGCGGCGATGACCGACCAGCGGTTGCCCAGCCGCGCCTGCGCCTCCAGGATGAGCCGGTCCTCCTCGGGCGTGTACGCGCCGCGCACGATCTGCGGGTCCAAGTGGTTGTGCCACCGCTCCCGGCACTGCTTCGACGTGCGGCCCGGGATCTTGGACGCCACGTCGCCCCAGTTCTTCTGCTCCGTGGCCACGAGGCGGCGCAGCAGATCGTCCTCGTGCGGAGACCAGTGGCCCTTGACGAGTCCTGGGGCCAGCACCTTCGTCCACCGCTGCAGACACTGCGTGTGGTTGCGACCTGGCACTTGAGCGGCGATGGCCTTCCAGTTCTTCTCGCGGTGGCTCTCTACAGCGGAGCGCAGGGCGTCGTCTTCCTCTTTGGTCCACCGTCGAGGCGTAGCTTTGCGAGTCGCCGGCGTGCTCGGCGTGCCAGGAGGGATCGAGATCGGTCCGAGCGGTCCTAGGCTGCCAGAGGCGTCTGCAGCCGCCGCCGCTGCTGCTGTGGAAGCTGCAGCACGAGCGGCTGCAACCTCTGCGTCGCACCTCACGCTGAGCTGCTTCGACGTGATGCTTTTGCGCTTGACAGGGGAAGCAGTCGTCGGTCGGTTGGCGCCAGAGTTGACGCCGCTGGTGGATGACAGCGGCGGGAACGACGAGCAGAAGACTGGCGTGTGCGACCCAGGCGATGTGTCGGGCCGAATTGTGGAGCCGATTGTGTTGCGTTGATCCGTGATGATCATGGGGCTCTGGTATCCCAGCCCAGCCACGCCTTGAGTCAAACGGTCTCCTGGGTCGGTCACGCTGGATGGAGATGCCAGCGGGGCCAACAGCCTCCGTGCAAAGAGGCTCGGTAGTGAGGACGGAGTGCTGGGGGATCGCGCCGTGCCCGGCGTGAAGAGCTCCGGCGGGTGGAAGTGCGGGCTGCCGAGCTGCGGAGGAGGCGCTGTGATGGTCAGCGGCGATCCAACTGCGAAGGACGGGAACGAAGGGTGCGGAGCCGTCGGTGACGTCTTGGGCACCGCAGGCGGCCGCGCAGACGACGTCGTGATCACTGGCGCCGTAATCGTAGCCGTAGTAGTCGCACCCGAGGCAGTAGCCCGCAGGCCTGTAAGCGCCTGCGCTGCCTCCGCCTCATGAATACTCGAATCCTTTCCCTGCTGTTGTGACGACGCGTTCCCTGCTGCTGCCGTCGTTGGGTTCTCCTGCTTGATCGTCACTGGAGGGACTGGCGCGGCGTCTGCTGCGGAGGAGGGCGCCTGCAGCAAGATCTGCGCGGCCTCCTGCAGCGTGGTGAGCAGCGTCTTCTCGTCGACGACCTGCGTTATCCCGTGCAGCTTGCGGACCGCGACGGCCACGCCGTGCGCGTCTCGATGCTCGAGCGCCGCCGTCAGCTCGGCCGCCGCGCGGTACTGCTGCTGCATGGCTGCGAGCCACGCGCTGGTGGCGCCTCCCAGCGCCGCCTGGTCCAGCGCGTGCTGCACCACCATGTGCGCCACCTCGAGGGGCAGCGCTGCTTAATCAATCGCCGCACAACAGACACACACAATACTGTTAGTCTAGAGGCTCACCGAGCGGCCGACCGGCTGGCGGATCTTGCAGACACCAAACGTACCCATCTGGGGCGCCGCCTGGTCGCGCGCGCGATCGTGGGCTTCGCGCACGTGGGTCAGCAAGTGGTCCAGCGTGGACGCCTCGAAGCCGCAGAGCGAGCAGCGCGCAGCGGAAGCTCCGGCGTCGCGCGCGGCGGCCGAGGCGCGGAAGGCGGCGGGCGCGTCGCTGCTGGCCTTGCGCTTCTTGGAGGCGCGCGCCGCCGGCTGCTTGGCCTGCGCGGGGGTTCCCGACGCCATCTCCAGCGGTGGCGGCTCGATCTTCCTGTGTCTGGGGCTGCAGCGCTCCGGGCCTAGTGGAGCCGCTCGCGCGCGTTCTGACTTCCTCGGAAGAATGCGTACTGAAACCTGGATTGGAGAAGCTCCGCGGGGGCTCGTTTATGGACGCCTCGAACAACCCTTTAAGCAGGCGGCGCGAATTATGAACCATACAAAGTCTCAGATAACGGAGGCCGGATCGCTCTGGGAGTTTGTGTGGATGATGCAGCTTCAACGCGAGGCTGCCTGCAATCACTGCCAGCCGCGTTGGCCTTGATGCTGCACTAAGCCCTGCAATGGAGACTTGGGTGGAGACTCCGCTGTGCGTGCAATGCAGACTCGGCCAGTGGGCCCCAAAGCTTCGAGATCCGCTGGGCGGCTGCGGAGACGAAGTCGGCGCCGCTTCGCCCTCGGTACTGTAAGCGCTGGCTACTCGCAGCAGTATGCGGTTCATCCTGATTTGGCCCGAGCCAGAGACGGGGGCGGCGAACAGGTTGCAGTGAGTGGTGGTTGGCTGCAATGCGCAGCGGCCAAGGCGAGGGCTCGTCGCTCCGCCGTGCGTCCTGAAAGGACCAGCCAGACGAAGCTGGCGGGGGCTGGCCAACGATGTTGACGCGGCCAGGCTAAGGATGTCCAAGCTGGTGGCAGACGGCAATTTATCCGCCGAGTATGAACGGAGACCGTGGATCTACGGTCTCCGCTCGCTCCGGTCTTCAACAAGGAAAACCTGCTCGATTGTGCCACCTTCACTTCACCCCTGCGATGCAGCCCAGAGCATCCGACACTGGGACCTCACGTCAGCTTTCAGGATCGCAGAAAGTGGAGATTTGTGACCGAGCTCGAAAAAAAGTTTGGAACGGCTATCAACGGACGATTTCCGGTAGCCCCCAATACGGGCTCGAGCAGCATGAGAGCACCTCGGTCGATGACCGGCGGTCGTCCTATGGCAAACATGAACTAAACAGTACGACGGTTAATGGCGTCGCGTTCGGCATCCTGCAAAACGGAATAAGTTGTTGGGGGCTGTAATTTGACTGCATCGCTGGAACGCATTTCGGGCACCCACAACTTTACCCAGCAGCATCAAGTGGCAGCGAAACAACATCAAGCATCTCAAACTTGGAGGCTAACCCGGCCCCACACAAACTGCGGGGTGACTTCAAACAGCAAGTTCTTATCAAGACCCATTGAACCGCGTGGTGAAGGCGTTGGAGTCTCTGTTGCCCCAGAATCATCAGGGTACGTGGTCAAACAATGTTTTGAGCCTAAACGCCTTGGGGTCTGGACGAAAGTCGTAATTGAAGGAGTTTCACGCCAGGAATGGGCTTACGCCTTCGTTGACTGCGCGTATGCGGTGCCAGAGGTGCTCAAACTTTTACGAGACAGCAGTTATTAGATGAATCGACAGCGACCTTAAGAAGAAAAAAGCAATCATCTCTGCTCCTGCCATGAGAGTTTGGCTAGTGACGAAGCTGGCGGCGACGCAGGGATCCTCCAGCTTCATCATCATCAGTAGCAGCAGCAGTAGCACCAGCAATAGCAGCAACTTGCATTTTTGCAGCCTGCCCCAATGCAATGTTCACTCGCTTCCGTTAAACGACCGGGTCCACAACGTTGCAGAGGTTGACGCAAACGGGGTTGTTGAAACCAGCACGGAGAACACAACGGTGCGGAATCCCCAGCAAGCGCCAAGCGTCCAACTGCACGGCGGTGTTGTCGTCGATGGGCGCGTGCTGCATGTCAGGATCCTCAAACTGCCCATCCACGATGGAGTCCAAGCGATACTCACGAACGTCCAGTCTCGGGCCAACGCGAATGCAGAGAACGTATTGCACGCCCGGGCATTGCCGCCACGCATGAGCCTTCTCGTTTAAGGTAACGACACGTGCTTGTCCAGCTTGCACCTGTTGCCCTTGCTGCCTAACCTGCTCTTGTTGGTCAATTGGGGGCCCCCAGCCTTGATGTACCCCAATCTCCACTTTCAGCGTGTGGAAGATGTCCCAGGTGAACCCCCGTGGAATTACTGCTCCAGGAAGGCACTGAAAGGGACCGAAGCTAGCGTCTGGCTCGAGGTAGGCCAATAGATCGTTAATGCCGTCCGACAACAGCGAACACCTGTCGATAAATGCCGCTCCATGATGATCCAAGTGAGTACTACCAGTCCCGGTTGCTACGGTAATCGCACGTTGAACGCCACCGACAAGGTTTTCGTGTAGAGCCCCCGGCAACTCGACGATGAAGACCTTGTCGTCCCACCACGCCATCCTGCGCGACTTCAGTGCTTGCTCCTCGGACTGGACGTAGCATTTCCAGTCGTCTCGTGTCGCCGCACACAGCTCGAACGGGGCCCCATCGCTGCCGTCTGGAGGTGTTAGCACGTTCTTCACGAGGGTCCAATCCATGTTCCACACGGCGTCATTGATGTGGCGAACACTCGAGTTCCGCATGGCTTGTGCCTCAGTTGAACGGGAGTCGCTCCTTATTAGGGTGCCGGGTCCCAGGCCTTAGTCGGATGACGCCGAAGGACTACAAATGAACGCGAAATAGTGATTGCGGCTCTATGAGCTCCCCCCATCAATTGTTCGAGAAGATCGGCGGCGCGTGGACATCGTGCTTAAGTAAAAGCTGCTGGAGCTGGCAGAAGATGTTGACGCAGGCTGTCCGACTTCGAGATTGCTGCGTGTGGGCTGGGTGGCTCCGCTCGCTATAGTCTCCAACAAGGAAAACCTGCGCGATCTATCAACTCCACCAGTTACTTCACTCCTGCGATGCAGCCTAGAGCATCCAACATTGGGAGCTCACGTCAGCATTCAGGTCGCAAAAAGTGAAATTTTGAACTCGAAAAGAAGTCTGGAACGGCTATCAACGGACGATTTCCGGTGGCATATCCGGTACAGACAACGACTTACAAAGCCGGCAGACACAAAAAGCCGGCAGACGAAGTCAAGCAAAGCTTAACATGAGCAAACCAGCCAATCAGATTCAATCAAATGACTTCATCTTTGTATACCATCTGGTTTTGTGTACTTTATATGCTTTCTTGTGTACTTTATGCAACACATCGTGTGTTTTATGACAGTTTTACAGATTTGACGGGAGGGAATTTATCGTTGTTTTTATATAGGAGGATGGCATTAAGCATGCCGGCTTTGTAAGTCGTTGTCTGTAGTCCTACAGATCATACCTTCATAATTCAAACTTTTTTGCGGGAACACCAACAAACGAACGTATTAATTGTAGATTTTCCGTACAAATTTACTTTATTTCCGAGCCTTGCCCAAACAACGCGCCGCGGAACGGCGCAGCAGAAATATTGTGCCGCAAGCAGTCCAAAATCTCGTTTCTCTTTGCAGTGTTGAGCTTGTTCAGGCATTCTGCCAGCAACCGCTTCTCGAATGTAGTCGGCTCCGCGACAGAGTACTCGAGCAATGGGTTCGCTGGATTCGGCACGAAGTGGCAGATGCAGTGGAGCATCGAGTTGGATTGATTGAGGACCCTCTTCATGAAGTCGATGTCCTCAAGACCCATGATCGTCTTCTTGATATGTTCCTGCCGTTTCTCGATAAAGGTTGGATCGATTGACAGGCATTCACGAGCAGCACCGCCAAATATTTTGAATCGCTCTTCAACATGATCCACTACCATATCGGCATTTCCTGTGTTGTCAGCAAAGGCCACGTCCTCCTCCCCTTCGTCTGGAACTGCTACAAACGTAGTGAGGTTGAGGGCTCCGCAAGCGATAACCAGCTCTTCCAGGTCCCATGGGGGCATGATCAGCAGCGGACAATCGTCGCTCTTTTCGATCGTATCAAACCACCTCTCGTTTAGGCTCGTGAAGCAGACCATTTTCACGCCGTATGGAATCGAAATGGGCGGGCCATCGTACAGGTAAAGCAGGTCTTCGGCCGAGTCCTTCTCTGCCTTCTCAATCAGAGCATCCATTTTCGAAGCGAGACGTGCAGCGCTGGCAATATCCTTGCCGTTTCTCCACACAGTCACTCTCTTTGTAACGGGCTAACTGCGGCCCGTTACGTGGTACACAAGCAGAGGAAGTAGTAGGCAAATTGAACTCTGGTATTAAGTGCCGAGACGGTCTCGGCACTCGAGACCGTCCCAGCCATTAAACCTATGGTGGGCTCTGATTGGCCACCGCGCACACACGGTGGCGCCTGTGTGACAGTGGCCTGTCACACCACCCCCTACTCAAGATTGGAACACACACATATCTAAACTCTAGAAAGGAACTGCAGAGCTTCACGAGGCGGACGTGATGCTACTTGGCAAGCGCGGGCCGACAGCGCGCGCGAAGTGAGTGAAGCAGCGCAGCAGTGTCTCGGACGTCATCAAGGGCCGGCTGCAGCGCGACCGCAGCAGCAGTGTGGGCTTCAACGGAGCGATCTTGGTGCAGCTAGTCTGGCGCTGGCGTGGCATGAAGCGAGTCCGTCGCGGTGGTACGCACCGTGACTCCACCGTGGGTCAGGTCGCCGCGAATCCTGGAACACCGAAGGTCGTCCGTCGTCTGAAGTCGAGCATCATCGCTGGGCTGTCCGTTCTTGCGAGGCTCTCGTTGAGTTAGGCACGGCTCGCCGCCGCGCCCTCTGCAAGCGACGTCTCGTACGCCGCCACGCAGTCGGGGACATCTGCGAGTAGGACCTCGCGTGGCTCCCAGCTGTCGTCCATCGGGCCAAGCCATCGAACCAGATACCGGCGGTGCGAAGGTATCTCTCCATCGCGGTGATGAGTGCCGCGATCCATGCGTGCGCGCTGCGGTGCATCTCGGTGGTCGTCGTGGTTGAGAATGGCTTCGACAATGTGATGCTGGTTCCCAGCAGCGTCCACTAGGGGAGCAGGACCGTCGCGCTGGAATGCAGATGCGCGAATTTCGGGCTGACGCTGCGATGGCGCAGCGTCTTGATCGACTTGGGCATGGTCATCGGCGCCACCGGGAATAGCGGCGGGATGGTATCGTCGCAGTCGGCCAACGTAGAACGTAGGGTGCAGCCGGAGTGCCGTAGGGAGCTGCAGCGTGTAGGCGTCGCCGAGTACCTTCGTCACTTTAAAAGGTCCAATAAATCGGGGCGCGAGCTTGTTCGCGCCCAAGTTCGTCACCAAACTTGGCGACATGCCCGTCGTAGAGAGCAGTACCCGATCGCCCACGGCGAACGTCTCCAGATGTCGTCGCCCTCGTTGATCGGCATATTCCTTTTGCCGGTCCACCGCCGCCGCGATGGTGTCGCGTACATAACGCACAACCGACTCACGTTTCTGCAGGAAGTCGCGGACAGCCGCAGTGTCTTGGGGCTGCGTCGCTGGGAGCGGATCGAGGTTGGCAGGAACCGGCGCGGCAGGTGTCGCCGCCTCTTGCGCGTCTTGATATTCGACGGCCCGACGTGGTATCGGGCCAATCAGCGTGCGCGAAGTCCAAGCTGCGATGTCCGAAGGAGCCACCCTCCTAGCGGTACGTGTGCGCGAAGCTCGTTCGGGGTCGGCGCGTGGTCTCTCGTGTGCCGCCCGCGTGGCGGCACGTGTGCGCACTCCGACTGCTGGAGCGTTAGAGCCTCGACGAGTGGTGACGCCATGTAACAACGCGGAGACAGCGTCGGGTACGGGGCCACGACGCTCAGCTTGGCCTGGGTCGGGGTCTACAGCAATGTCTTCATCCGGAACGAGTGACGCGAGATCGCCCGCGTCTTCAGCAGCGCGACCAGCCGGAGTCTCAGAGCGCTCCACACCAAGGAGCGCTGGAACGCGAGGATGGCGACCGAAGTTGACGAAGAACGGGGACAGCCCGGTCGATGCGTGGACAGCGTTGTTGAGGGCGAATTCGACCAGGGGCAGGAAGGTGCTCCACGACTTGAACGACGTAGCGAAGCTGCGTAGTATGTCTTCAACAACACGGTTGGCACGCTCAGTTTGGCCGTCTGTCTCCGGATGCGACGCGGTGGACATGCACAACCGCGTCCCCAGCAACTGAAAAAGCTCTCGCCAGAAAGCAGACGTAAAGCGAGGGTCGCGATCCAATACGATGGAGGACGGAAGCCCGTGGTGGCGGTACACCACGTCCACGAAGATCGCGGCGGTTTGCTTCGCCGTGATGCTGGCAGCAACAGGAGCAAGATGGAGCATCTTGCTGAAATGATCAACGAAGACAAGCATGCCAGTGCGCCCTTGAGTGTCTCGGGGCAGCCCGAAGACGAAGTCCATGCTGACAGACGCCCATGCGTCTGTGGCGACTGGGAGAGATCGAAGCGGAGCCTGCTTGGACGGATTCGGCTTCACGCGTTGGCACGCTTCGCAGGAGCGTACCCATTTCCGGACCCACTTGTACATATGCGGCCAGTAGAAGTCTCTGGACAGCGACACGAACGTCTTCTCGCGTCCGAGGTGGCCGCCGCTCGGCGTGTCATGGAACGCGTGGATCAGCCGAGCTCGGAGATCGTCGTCCAGAGGAACGACGATGCGCGGGGGATCTTCACGGTCGACGCGGTACGTGAGCAACTCGCCGTCCAGCGAGTAGCGGTCGACGCGGGAGCGGCTGCGTTGAGACAGCTCGCGCTTCGCCACGGCGCCAGGGTCTCGCAGGAACTGGATCAGCTCCAAGCAGGACGCGTCCTCCTTGTATGCGTCCACGATCAAGTCACCGAGCGGACTGGTCGCTGCAACCTCAACAGCAGCGACGTCTTCGGCAGTGCATACAGCGCATTCGTCGTCGTCCTTGTCGCCAACTGCGTGGCGACCTGACTGCACGTAGTCAGGCCGACGTATATAACGCGTCGGCAAGGATGTTGGTCTTGCCCGGCTTGAAGTGCACGACGAAGTTGTACTCGGAGAACAGGGACAACCAGCGCGCCATGCGCTGGGACAAGTGGGGGCTCTTCGTCGCTGTCCTCAACGACGCGTGATCGGTGTAGATCGCGAAGGTCTGTTCGCCGAGGAGATACACGCGGAACTTGATGAGGGCGTAACGCATGGCCAGCAGCTCCTTATCATGGACCGGATAATTCCGTTCCTCCGGCTTCAGCTGACGCGACTGGTAGCTGATGACCCGCTCGCGTCCTTCGTCATCGAACTGCATCAAGACGCATCCGATCGCGAAGTCGTTCGCGTCGCACACGACATGGAAGGGCTTCGAGTGGTCTGGAAGCATGAGCACAGGCGCGGTGGACAAGCTCAACTTCACCGCGTCGAAGGCAGCTTGGTGCTCGGGACGCCACGACCACGTGGCGTCTGCCTTGAGGAGTTGAGATAGCGGGCGGATCGTCGAAGGGAAGTTCTTCGAGTAATGGTAAGATACGTGGCGAGCCCCAGCCACTGCTGGAGCTGCTTCTGGTCCTGCGGCGTCGGCCACGCGCAGATTGCCTCGATCTTCTCGGGGTCGGCGCGGACACCGTCCTTGCTGACGTAGCTCCCGAGCACAGGGATCTCGGGAGCGCAGAAGATGCACTTCTTCGAGTTGGCGTACAGCTTGTTCTCCTTCATCACCTCGAACACCTTGCGCAGGTGTTGTAGGTGGACCTCAACGTCCGTCATGCCGTCCTCGGCATGACTGTGAATGAAGATGTCGTCGAAGTAGCTGGGCGCGAAGTCTCGGTACGGCCGAAGCAAGTTGGACACCATCCGGTTGAAGGTGGCGGGGGCGTTCTTGAGCCCCTGCGGCATCACGAGCCATTCCCACAACATCCCGCTGGGCGTGCTGACCGCTGTCAGCGGCACATCGTCTTCGCGCATCAAGATCTGATAGAAGCCATCCATCAGATCAATGGCATGCTGCCGGACATGGTGTCCAGCACCATGTCCTTCCTCGGGATCGGCGTTTGCGCAGGTATGGTGGCCTCGTTGAGCTTGTTGAAGGCGAGGACGATTCTCCAGCCGCCGGTTGCTTTCTTCACGCAGAACGTCGGACTGGAGTGCGGCGAGAGACTCTCGCGAACGTGGCCGGCTTGCCGGCGACTCTCGAAGAAGGCGTCAATGGCTTCGACTTGGTCGCGAGGAAGTGGCCACTGCCGCGTCACGCAGTACTTCGCACCGGGCACGAGGTCAATCTCGTGTCGAACACCGCGGTCGGGTGGAAGAACGGCTGGAACCTTGTCCGGGAAAGTCTCCATGAACTCGCGCACGAGCGGAGCGACTGGGCTGCCGGCCGCTTCGAGCGCCGGCAACGACTGAGCTGTATAGCGGGCTTGACGGGCGTTCTTCGGCTCGGCTCCTTTTGGGCGCGTTCTGGCGTCGGAAGCTGGGTCCGACGCACTGGTTGCGACGGCCGCAATTGACTCGGCGTCTTCGGCGACGATCATGCACACCTGCTCGATCTCGCCCTTCTTCAGGTCACGGAGGAAGTGTTTCGACGGGAGCCCAGGCAGCCGAGTGATCTCGGCGGCGTCGCACGGCGGACGTGCGACTTCGACGTTGCGTACACGCGGAGGCGCCTCCGCGTCGTCCCCCACCAGGACTGAGATCACTTCAGCCTCAGCCTCAACAGAGTCCGCCGAAGGCGTACGAGGACGGCGCGGGTTGCGACGTCCGCGACGTCGAACCGGACGTGGAGTGTTGTCCGAAGCTGCCGATGAGAGCCCATGCTCGATCACGGCCGCTGAACTGGGGCGCCGGGACACAACGTCGGCGCCTGGACGCGGGTCATTGGACACGACCGCGTCGACTTCATCAGGGAGCTCCCGCTCGACCACACGCGGGAACCCATGCTCGACCGCGCGTGGGAGACCACGCTCAACCACATCTTCTTCTTCAGGGAGCTCCCGCTCGACCACTCGCGGGAACCCATGCTCGACCGCGTGTGGGAGGCCACGCTCAACCACATCTTCTCGCTCTTCAACGTTGGAGAGCCGCTGCTCGTCCTGGAGTGGCTCGACCACGTCATTGTCTGCTTCCGAGAACCGCTGCTCGTCGGGACGTGGGAACCCATGCTCGACCACGTCAGACACGTCCTGAGGCTCCTGCTCAGGACCGGCGCAGGTTGCGAGTTCGCACACCGCACACGAAGGGCCATCGCTCGCTTCGTGCGCAGCATGGGTCATGGAGTCGGGGTCCAAGACGGCAACATGCGGCCACTGGTTAGGCGTTCCGCACAGGAACGCCAATACTGCATTCACATCAATGTCCCGGGGACGGACTGTGCCAGTCAGCCAGTTGATCTCAGGCTGGTGGCGAGCGAGCCACGGGATGCCGAAGACACAGTTGAACGAGCCGCTCAGCTCGATCACCAAGAACTCCTCGGAACTGTGGAACCCGTCGAACTCGTACGCGAAGGTCGCCGAGCGCCGCGGCGTCCGCCGCGGCTTCCCATCAGCGTACTTCACGATCATGTCGCCAGGCCCGTCGCGAATGTTCAAGTCCACCGGTAACACCGACAAGCTATCGGCGCGAACGAAGTTGTTCGTTGCGCCCGAGTCCAGCAGCGCGCGAAGAGGGCGCGTCGCGCCGTCAACGTGGAGGCTAAGCACAATCAGCCTCGTGTCACTGCCGGAGGTGGTGGCAAAGAGTTGTGCATGAAGCACGGGAGGGCTAGGAGGAGGTTCTGCCACCAGAGAACCATCGCTCCTTCCACGACCAGTAGGGCGCCCCGCACCTACTGGTTGTCGCCGTTTTTTTGAGCGGCGACGTCGTTCGCGACCGTGACGTTCGCCTGCATCGCCACCGGAGCGCGGCAAATAGCCGCGCGATGTCCAGGTTTCCCACAGCGGTAGCAGCGCATCGGGCGGGGACTGCGCGTTGACGAGGCCGTTGGCGGCCTTGCTGATGACGTCGGCGTCCACCGAACTGTTGAATCGCATCCACCTCCATCGGCTCCGGCTCGGGCACCGGAGCCCGAGAGACATCGAAAGCCTGCGACGCCGTCACACTGTAGTCTTCACGGAGCGCAACAGCGAAGGCATCTTCGAGTGTCGGTGGGGTCTTCCGGTTCAGGTAGAAGCGCTGGTAGCCAGCGCTCATGCCGGAGATGAAGACGTGGACTTGGGTCGCCATGTCTACGGGATGCGTCGTGATGCACGACACTAGGTGTCGTGCGCGCTGGATGTACTCGAGCATGGACATGCGCCCTTGCTTCAACGCCAGGAAGGCGGAGCGCTGAACGCTTTCATCTTGGGGCGGCTCGAACGCGAGCCGCAAGTCTGCCTTCACCGATGCCATGGTCGGGAAGCAGGAAGCGTCGGCCACGAGCTTGCCGAGCGCCCACTCCTTCGCCTTCCCCGCCAGCTTGGACAGGAGAAAGCGCGTGCGCGCGAGCTCGGTAGACAGCTGCCGAGCTTCGATCGCGATGTCCACCTCGCAGAACCAACGGTTCAGGTGAAAACGGCCCTCGCCTTCACCACTGTACGTGGAGACATCGAGCTTCACGATGTCGGACTTGTTCTTGGTCTGCGTGGGAGTCGACACTCGCTGACCTCCGTCAGCGAGTTCACGCGCCATGAACTCCTGGGCGGCCAGGCGTTGTTGTTCCTCGGTTCCCGCCGTCAGTAGTGCCTTGATCACAGCGTCACCAGACACCGCTGCGAGACGATGTAGCACCTCCCACTCGATCGCCGACAGGTGAGGAAAGCTGGCGTGCTCCAGTGAAGTGGCAGTCGTCCGGGACGCGTCAGGCATCGACGTGTCGTTCATGTTCGTCACGATCTTCGTTGAACGGATTAGCGAAGTGCTACCAGGTGTAACGGGCTAACTGCAGCCCGTTACGTGGTTACACAAGCAGAGGAAGTAGTAGGCAAATTGAACTCTGGTATTAAGTGCCGAGACAGTCTCGGTACTCGAGACCGTCCCAGCCATTAAACCTATGGTGGGCTCTGATTGGCCACCGCGCACACACGGTGGCGCCTGTGTGACAGTGGCCTGTCACACTCTTCATGATCGATTCCTCTCCATACCTCTGGAACGAGACCGTGATGATCGTGGTCTCGTTGTTCTCGAAGCTGTAGCGCTGCAAGAAGTACGCATAAAAGACAGACTTGCCGATCCCTGTGCCCGATACACACACGTGTCAGTCCCATAGCCCACTCATTTTCAAGCCCGTACGCCACCTCCAGCCTACCTGGTGCACCGGAGATCGTCACCGTTTCCACTTCATCCCTACCCAGCAGGCGATTGACCAGCAGGTAGTTGCGTGGGTAGCACTCGCGCACGTAGTATCTTGGCAGCTTGTAGTTAAATTCCGTGGGTAGCTCCTCGGAAACTCCCTCGTCGTGGTCTCCACCCACGCTTTGGTAGGCCTGGCTGTATTTCTCCTCACATTGACATTAACAACGTCCGCTTCTGCTGCGCCAGGCTTCTGCCGCTTGGGCTCCCTCGGGTTCTCGGACATCGTGCTAAAAAGTAAAGGTGTGCGGGTATCGAGTTGTCCGATCTGGACAAGTCACTTCGCTTCAACCTGCGGGAATCACTCTAAATTGAAGTGGTACCCTGTACCATTCCAGCCACCAACAGATACACGGCCATTGCCTCCTACACTGCAACAATGGCTGGAAAGCAGAGCAGCGGCGACGGCGCCGTGCGTCCGCGCGTCGACGCGTCCAGCGCGCGCCTGACGTAAGTTCGAGCGCATGAAGCGCCTCCTCTGCGCCTCTAACCGCGTGTTCACGCGCAGCTCTAGCTCGTCCTCTAACGTCCTCTGTCTCTCTTCAGGTCTCTGCGCACATCGAGCGATGCGTCGAGTGCTCCAGCGCGGCGACCCAAGTTCGTGCCCAAGGCCGCCAAGCGCCGTCCGGCCTCCGAGGGACGCGGAGATGGTGCCGCCACTGCAGCACAGAGCACACGTGATGCCAAGCCGCACTCGACGGGCGCCGGAGCGCTCAAGCATGACAACAGAGGACGCGGCAGCCGCGGGGGCAGAGGAGGCCGAGGTGGCGGCCGTGGGCGTGGACGCGGGCGCGGCATGATGCCCAGCGGCAAGGTGGCCTTCGTCGGCACGCTGTCGGGCGGCTCGTCGTACAGCGGAGGCAGCAGCACGCCTGCGCCACGCACCGCGCCGTCCACGGACTACTCGGCGGCTGGCGGCACTGGTATCAGTGTGCTGGACGACGAAGAGATGCCCGGCAGCAAGATGCCGGAGATGGAGGTGGAGGAGGTGTGGCCGCCCGTGGTCAAGTCGGTCATGGAGCCCATGAGCCTGCCGATTGTGCGGCCGCCCGAGCCCGAGAGCGCCGGCGCCGTGTTCTGCGACGCCAGCGGCGACCTGGTGGCGCCCGACGACTCGCTGTTCTTCATCCAGATGCCGACGACGCTTCCTTTGGCGAAAGCCACCGCCAAGGCGGCCAGTACGGACGAGGACGAACCCATGGAGGACGCCGAGGCGTCGAAGGACCAGGCGAAGGAGAGCAAGAAGGCGGACGAGTCTGTATACGTGTCCGCAGCGGAGATAGCTGAGTGTGTTGTACGTGTGGATCTAACTGTTGTGCTGCTCTGCAATGACAGGGACGACGGTGTGTTTGACCACTCTATCGAGACGGCGCCGGGCGGCTTCATCGGCAAGGTAAGACACGAGTTGCTTCGACTTCGATGGTTGTACCGAGATCTAACCCTGCGTCCTCTTCTGTACAGATCTGCGTTCACAAGTCTGGCAAAATGGTGCTGATGCTCGGAGACAAGCAGTTCGAGATCGCGACGGCTCAGACGCCGTCGTTCTGCGAAGAGGTCTACGTGGTGAACACGACCGAGAAGCACCTGAGCATCCTGGGCAACGTGGAGCGCCACCTCGTCGTGACCCCGGACTTCGACGCGCTGCTGCGTTAGGCTCAGATAGTAGACCACCGTGTGATACGTAGCTGCATATACCATCAATAGAAGAAGATGAACGCAAAACTTTGTCACTGTGCAGCTTATCGATCTGGGAGGCCCGCCAACCTCGACGACACCGTCGTACACTGCCGGTGGTGCTGCTGCCAGTACAGTGCATTGGCCCCCTGACTCGGGGCCTGAGTTGTTCGTAACGCGCTGGCAGTCGTGCTGTTCCGTTCTGTTTGGACTTGAACTTGAAGCAGCTGGGATACCGCTTCAAAGAGGTGATCTACATGTACTGAGTTCTAGTATTACATGCATCACTGTAGCTTGGCAAGCTGAGCGTGGGTTTCCTTGCATGCCTTCGGCATGCAAGACAATCTCGGTGGATCCGCTGGTTAAACGATTTTCGGCGGTCTTGCGTGGGAATCGGAGGCTACACTTTGAGTGGGAAGTTCCCTCCGCGCTCAAGTCAGGCCGCGACTACCGAGAGGGCGCCACGTGCGTAGACTTTGACTTTGAAAGGGAAAACGCACGAACGTTACCAAAAGCTTTGAAAGAATAAATGAGGATACCGAGCGTGTCCTACGTACTACGAGCTAAAAGAAAACGCGGCGGGCTTGCCGCGCGGCAGCCGGCACGTGACGCTTACCGCCGGCGGCAGTCCCGCGCGCACTAGCAAAGAGTGCAACGACGCAACTTATTCGTCGTCTTCGTCGTCGTCGTCGTCCTCGTGGTCGTCTTCCTCGTCGTGCTCCTCCTCGTCCTCCTCGACAGCGGCGCTGCCCTGGGCGTTGTAGGCGTCCATCTGCTGCTGGTACTTGACCTTGGCCTCCTCGTGCATCTTCTGGTACTTGGCGCGCTTCTTGTCGGGCAGCGCGCGCCACCTTTCGGCCAGCAGCGTGGCGATCTCCGTGATCTTCTTGTTGGGGTTCTCGTCGCGCACCTCCTGGCGGATGTCGTTGCAGAAGAAGAAGTAGGCGGACAGCGCGCGCTTGGGTGCGTTCGGGTCCTTCTTCTTGCGCGAGCCCTTGGTGGTCTCGAAGGACGGGTCCGGCACGTAGTCCTCCTTCTCCTCCTGGTATCTCCGCTTGTCGGCGGCGGCCAGCTCGTCGTAGGGGCGACGCTCCTCGTCCGAGATCTTCTTCCAGCGGCGGCCGATCTCGCTCGAGATCTGCAGGAAGGCCAGCTCGGGCATCTCCTTCTTCACCGTCTCGCGGATGTCGTTGCTGAAGAACATGAAGGCCGACAGCGCGCGCTTGGGGGCGTTCTTGTCTTTTTTCTTGCGGGGCTTGCGCGTGTGGTCGCCATCCGCTCTCTTGGGGCCGCGAGCCATGGTGGAGTTCTTGCTTGACTTGGCGGGGACGCTTGCTGTTGTGAACTGGGGGCAGCAGTCCCGAGCGCCAGGAAAAACCCCGTTCACTATCTGGCGTCAGCCTGGGGGAGCCGTGAGGGAAAAACCTCACGATGCGGACTGAATCTTTACTATGGCCCACGCGGTATGGATAATTACACTGGGAGGCAAAGCCCCCTATTTATATGGCTCGATAAGCCAACGGCAGGCATGGGAGGCCGATCGAGCTGCCCAGGGAGATCACTCGAGGCCTGATGCGTGTAGGAGGCCGAGCTGGGGATATTTTTGACCGGAGATGACGCAGAAAGCAGCGAGTCGCGCTTGGCAGTTCGATGGACCAAATCGAGTCATTCGCGGTGTGAGAAAAGACAAATACGTTCTTTGAGGGTTGAAGTGGGGATCGCCCCAACATTTCCTATCACAAAAAAATCCTCAGACTTTCGGATGCACCGAAATTATGTGACACTGGCCGTTGCTGTGCTCGCCGCCGAGGTATGAATGCAGAGCGCGCAATGCATACAAAGCAATAGCTCGAGGCAAAGGGCAGAATGCGGTCCTAGCTTGCGTCTTTCTTGCGCTTTGGTAGCGTAGCGCCCGGCAGTGAAGCAAGTATTTCGTGCTTCTCGATATCTGTAAAATGCAATGCAGGGCCTAATGCTTGGCTGCGCCCTGACACCGGCAGCTACCCAGAAGGGAGCGCTAATTAAGACAATGGAATGGAGACCATCAAATTGTCGATACCCTCGTAAGATCGGATACATCCTTGAACGCCTATAGCGGTGCCTGCTCGTGACTATTATACGATCCGCAGCATTCGATGGTGCCATTCCAAATTCGCTGGAACCGCTGTCGTAAGTATACCACTACATCCAGGCACTCGTATTCCGGGAATGTGAGTGCTTGGGTGCTGGTGGCCTTATCTCTTACCGTTCGGGTTGTCCTAGAGAGGGTTAACATTGAGGTCTCCCGTTCTCCGTATCGATACAATTAAATCAAGGACACGAGCTCAAGACACTTGACCGGTTTGGACCTGCGGGGGCTTTCAATTTGCTTAAACGATGAATGCACAGCGGTTCCGGACTACTAGCTTCTAAATAGAGCAACAACGTCTAAGGAATTGGAGCTCTACTGCACAGGACCCATGTCATCGCAATTAAAGCTCTTCACTTATTTAGCTTCTAACCAGCAGGTAGGCTACTCGTGTAAGCTAGGCCATTCATTGACATCGGTGCCAACTACAGACAGCGCTAACGATATCTGATGATCACGAATCAGATTCCGCGATACATGGTTTGATGGTACCTCCGCGGTGTGCTCTTGACAATTATCGTTGCATTCGAGCGGCACTACCCAACGCCGGGCGCGTCGCGAACACGTCTACAGTACTATCATTACCATGCCTCCGAAAGCGTATCCGCGGCAACGCCGCGGATACGCTTTCGATGGTGGCATCTTAACGACTCGATCTCAATCAAGTGATCGCCACTGAGGTGGCAACGAGGCCGACACTACAAGTGTACATGTAGCAGCGACGGGCAGTGCCATGGTCCCTCGCGTGGCATCGAGGCGATCCCAGGTCACTGCAACTATTAGTATTGTTACAGCTCGGTGGATGACATGGTTCGACGCCGCTGTATTGCTGCTATGCGTAACTAAGCATCTGGTACCGGTGCACGACGGCCTAGGCTGCGTGCGCCAGCGCTCGATGCATTGCCCGTTCATCGGCGCATTGGCTCCGCTGGCCGCTCGGGCCGTCGTCAGCGCCATTCGCGAGCTTTTTGATTTTCGGGCGGTGCAGCTTTTTGTATAGGATTTGTATCAGGAAAGCCTCAACAGAGGCGGATCCCGAGTCAAAACGGCCTCACTGTGGGGCGCGCGCCCTGTCGCTCAGGAACAGGCTGTAACAGGCGCCGGTGGGATGCGTAGGGGCTTGAACCTGGCGATAGAGCGTGTTGGGGCCAGGCGCGGGTAGGGCGAGCGAGGATTCCCGCCCGACCATTGGCGGAATCGAGGCGCGGAGCACGCCGATTGGTCCAGATTTCGTCCCAGCGCTCGCCGCCCAGAGCGGCTGCGTGGCTAAAAAAGTAAGAGGAAAGAAACGCCGAACGTCTGCGCAGTAGCGCGTGATTGGCCAACTGTTGGGGCTATGCCAAAATATTTACCTGATTTTGATAGCTCTGTAAATATCATGAACTATTCACGAAAGTAGACGCCGCTCAACTCCCCCGGCTAAAAGTTGCCTTTTGTGCCAGCTGTGGCGCAGAAGGCGACAACAATAACGCTGGGCGGCGAGTGAGGAAACGCGACGTCTGTATGTGGCGCTTAATTAATGGCGCTGTTGGGTTGGCGGGAAAGATTGATGTGTACTTGTGACGTCAGCATGGAGTTCTATTGCTCACCTTGCAACAATCGACGCGCCTTGGGTTGCCTGCACCACTGTGAGTCGAGATGGTACGAGCGTGACTACCCGTGCGTTGTTAGTACATATGTATGTAGCCTACAAGAGAACGAAGACGCGAACTGCAATTCGACGCGAGCAACCGAGTGCATTCTTCGAAGTAAAAGGTTAACTGTTCATGGCACGAAGATAGGCTTGGAGCTGGCACGATTCGTTGCCGGCAACAACGCCATGCCTAGAAATCCACTCGGAAGAACTGCTTCTGCTACTGCTGCGACTGCGTTTGCGATTTTGGCCACGACTTCGCTTGCTTCCTGCGGCCTCTCGTGCTAGCGCCTTCCTCACAGCTGCCTCCACTCTCGCGTCAATCATCTCCATCAGCTTGTCGACGGAGACATTCACCATTGCATCGTTGGTAGCCCGAGATCGTAAAGTGCGTGATCATTGGCCGGGGTACGATCTCCTCTCTACAAGTCGTCTCAAACGCAGCAGCAACCACCAGTTCGAGAACCCCGGGTGTCGTGATACCAAGGCTCCCCGTTCTCCATGGTGTCTGGGATCTTGAGTGTCTCCTTCAGAACATGCAACCGCTCGTCGTACTCCTGCAACTGTATCACGGGTCCGGGCGGGATGTCGGCGAACTCCACAGTGCATGGTGAAACTCGTCGATCCGGAATCCTTCAACATGGCGGTCGGCCGCAGCGACCAACTGCCAGCGAGTTGGAAGGCCACCAACACCCTGAACGAGCGCGGACTCTGTGATCCCGTATCTAATTCCTTCCCAGTTCTCATCCGCCTTATCCGAGATGTTGTACCACAACGCTAGCCGAAGCGTGATGCAAACAGCAGGTGGAGGGCAAGCGAGCGGATTGGCGGTGAATTGTGAGACCGGAGGAGAAAGCCACACTGAGGCAGTGTTCGCAGAGCTGCCGCTCAGGCCTACGCGTTAAGTGTATCGGTGTGATTTGGCGTCGATACCACAACAGCCTTCCGCAAGGGTGGCGGGCATTGAAGATCCGAGGGCTTCCTCGAAGTTGCGTCAGTGGCGATTTCGGAGAACGTGCACTCGTGGCTAAGCGTCCGTGCTGCTGGCGATCCGATCGTTGGAACCGTGAAGTTTACAAGGTTTGATGTTTTCTTCATTGCAAGCAGCAGTTCTTCTATGACACCAAAAGGGGTTCCTGCATCCTCAACAAACTAACTCATGGTCAACACGACCGATTGACAGCGGTTCAACGAGACGGATAGACTTCATTTTTTGTAGTTAGCGTACCTCGGCTATCCATTCGATTGGGGTGTACACCATGGCAATGAAAAGAAGATGAAGAGCGAGCAAACGAACGCCGCCGCATCGAGCGAAGCATCACCGGGCTCATGCCCACGGCCTTCGGGCCATTTCAAGAACCTCGAAAAGGTCCAAAGTGAAGGTTGGGTCCAGGAAGCGAGCACGTAAATATGGGCTGCGTCGAATGTTTGCCCCCGGAGGTAGGCCCAGCAGCTCGCGCGAGTCGAACGTCACCAACGTCTGAGGTCCAACCACCGGCACGGGATTGAGCACGGGCAATGGCAGAGCTTCGCCATGTTGTTCCGCTCCACCGTGTAGAGTTTGTACTCGGCAGTCGCCAAGCGGTCTGTGACTGCCACGCACAGGATGTACCGTACTCCTGGAAACTGAGACCACTCCGAAGCCTTCCAGTCGAGCATTCCGGCGTTGTCTCCCCAGCCGCGCGATTTCCCAACCTCGACGATGAGCGTGTACCAGGACAGATAGTCTTGAACACCAGGGGGAAACGGAGCTCCCAAGAACTTTGCTGGACCATAGCCTTTGTCCGGTTCATAGTCGTGCAGGTCGGGCATGTCCGGGGTGACTGCTGAGCCCCAGCTCACCATGTACGCGTCAAAGCCTCGCTGGGCCCTCAAAGCGCGATTGACTTCTTCAGTGAACCTCTCGTGCTCTTGGGTCAGCGGCTCCACGATGTAGATCGTGCCTTCGATCCATTCACAGCACTTCGATTTCAGCGCTTGGTTTTCGCTGTCCAGGTACGCTCTCCACTCGTTCTTCGTCGCCCTACGAGTCTCGCGCTCCAGGGCCAAGTTGATTCGGCGGAATTCACTGTTGATGCGCGCCACAGCCATGGCCCTGTCGACGTATAGATTGTTGCTGGCTGGGACGGGGAGCTGCGATGGAAAATGACCGGCGCAGCGTCTGACGCGCCTGGACGCCTCAGTATTAGCACCAGCATTTACACCACATGTGTTATCAGTCGAGTCGAAGACTACCAACCAACAACATTTGTCGCAGTCGATGGCGTGCATTATGAAATTGAAGAACGTGAGGAAAGTTTATCGCTCAGCTGATAGCTCGATGCACAAAGAAAAAAAGAAACCGGAGCTGGCACGATCCTGTGCAAGCGATTCCACCGCGTCGAGTCATTTACTCGGACGGACTGCTGCTGCTGCGGTGGCGACTGCGTTTGCGACTGCTGCTCACGTTCACTCCGCGTAGTGCCTTCTTCACGGCCGCCTCCACTCTCGCCTCGATTGTCCCCACCCGCTTATCGAGAGCGGCATCCACCATCGTTGGAAGGCAGGAGCACGACAGCACACACTTGCCATGCAACTTGGCTCATGGGCGGAAATCCCTGGTGTAAAGGTGGCATTGGTGGGCCCAGGTACACTCCAGTAGCTTGACCACACGGAGCAGTGGGGCGTGGCGCTTGTAGAGAGCTGCGAAGCTGGAACGCGTACTCCCATTGCGCCTTCTTGTGCTTCAAGTACACCGCCATGAAGCACTCCGCCTGCTGGTCCAGACTCCCAGCGTAGTAAAAGACGTTAGGGAGATCCACGCCATCGACTGTAGCGTTCAGTTGGCAAAAGCTCCGCAGAGCCTCTCGAATCTCTGCCTTCATGGGGCCGATCATGACTTCCGTAGGGAAGCCCGAGATGGTGAAGTGCAGGGTCCTCTTCCCAGGAGTTGATTCCACGCAGCAGAGGCTTGTCACTTTCAACCGCAAAGGTCGATCCACCTGCAGGATCAAACTCCACTTCGAGCACGCGAGCGTCGTCTTGCCAAGGCTCCCCGTTCTCCATAGTGTCGGGGATCTTGAAGGCCTCCTTCATGGTCTGCCAGGACTCGACGCGCTCCACCAACTGTATGGTGGGCCCCGGACGGATGTTGGATGTCTCGAAGACGCTGCGACTCCCATTGACTCTCAAGTTGAGAGCCTCCAGAGGGAAGTGAAACTCATCCATGAGGAAGTTCGCAACATGGCGGTCAGCTGCTTCGATCGACTGGCAGCGCTCTCGGAAGTCCCGAACACCCTGGACGAGCGGCGACGCGACGATCCCGTCTCTCGTGCCTTCCCACTTCTTCTTCGCCTTGCTCGAAATGTCTTTATAGGCTTCTCCTATCTGGTCCATGGCGAAGAGCGACGAGGACCGTGGAGCCGACGGTGAAGTGTGTGGCAGACGGCGAATTTCACAATGAAGAAGGCGCGGCCACTCATGTGGTTTCGCGTCGAAGTCAAATCCACGACGTCGGTACGAAATACACAACCTTTTCGAGAGGGTGACGGGCATCGATGATGACCCGAGGCACCCTCGCGGTTTTCGGAGAACATGCACTACCCGGTGCGCATCTCTCAGCACGAAGCAAGCAATGGGTTGGTGAGGAAAGTCAAAAGGGCAGCCTCTTTCTGGTGGTGCCGTGAGCTGTTGGCCTGAACAATGCTGCAGCGTTACGAATAACACCGCGATGGCGATGCGAGCAGCTCAGTTGAAGTTGTGTAGACGAACTCCGTCGGACTTAAGTGGGATGCCTCCTCCTGCAAAGTTCGAATCCGAGGCCCCAGAAAAAAGATCGACGTTTCTGTGACGACTATGGCGGAGGAGGCAGCAGCTGTGCCGGTGGTGGCGCCCAGCGAGGCCGCGGAGAAGAAGAGCAGAGCCCCGCCGCACTTCGAGGACGAGGCGGGTCTCTTCAAGACCGTGTGCCGCTCGTTCATGCGCAGCAAGAAGTGCACGCGCCCCGGCTGCAAGTTCGTGCACGACAAGCAGCTGTGCCTGTACTTCTGGAAGTCGGGCGACTGCAAGTTCGGCGCCGAGTGCCGCAAAAACCACTTCGTGACGGTGCCCGACCCGAACGCCAAGAAGGAGGAGGAGGAGACCGCTGTGGCTGTGTCCGGCGGCGAGGGGGAGAAGAAGGAGAAGAAGGACAAGCCCCAGGCCAAGAAGGGCAAGGACAAGAAGCCCAAGGACAAGGACGCCAAGCCCAAGGAGGACAAGCCCAAGGGTGACAAGACCGAGGACAAGGGCGACAAGCCAAAGGAGACCGGGAAGCAGGAGGGCGCCGACAAGAAGAGCAAGAAGAACAAGAAGAAGAACGAGCGGCGCCAGGCCACCAAGAAGAACACGGAGAGCTTCGAGCCCATGACCAAGCCCGTGGACCTGCGGATCACGTACGATCTGGGCTCCAAGGACGACAAGTTCTCGACGCCGCTGACGGCGCGCGACGTGGTGCTCGTGCCCAACCTCTTCAGCGACTTCAAGAAGGGCGAGCTCTACGCCAAGCTCATGCACGAGCTGGACAACTGCGGCATCCCGCGCGAGCAGCTGCTCAAGATGTGGCACGGCAACAACAAGATCGACGGCACGCACCTCATCGTGGACGACCACTCGAGCTGGAAGGCCAAGTGCCCCACGTTCGACCTCATGACGGACCGACTCAAGCAGTTCTTCAGCCTCGACATCAAGGCCACGCGCTTCAACTGGTACAAGGACACGTCCCAGTGGAAGCCGTTCCACTTCGACGCCGCCGCTGTCAAGCCCCACATCGCGGCCATCCAGAACTTCACGGTCGGCATCTCGTTCGGCGCCACGCGCGACGCCGCCTTCGAGCACGCGGAGACCAAGACGGTGGTGAGCGTGCCGCAGCCGGACGGATGCGTTTACGCCTTTGCCAAGGACACCAACGTGATTTGGCGCCACGGCATTCTGCAGGACGTCCCAGTGCGGGACGAGGGCCGCATCTCGGTCATCGCTTGGGGCTGGGTCGACAACATGGCGGACGTCACGGCCCCCGCTGCTGCTGAGTCGTAGAGATACCGACTGAATAGCAACCATTTTTCACCAACAGGCAGCAAGCACAGGTAGGTGTAGTGAGTGCATGTGCCGACAACGGCTCGAACCTAATAAAACACGCCGTTGTATTTCACTTGTAGATCGAAGGCGGGTTTGAGCTGACATCGTTGATGGATGCACCTTCGTCTCGAGGATACGCTGCAGGAACTGTGTACAGGAACGGTAGTCTTCTTCAGTGAGCTACAAACTAATTGCTACTTTGGGTCGGGGTCCGGTAGTCGATGCGCTGCTTCTCGTGACGGTGGCGCCATTCAGCTCCGCAATGATCTCGTTTCGCTGCTGCTGCAGCGCTGTCTTCTGCTCGATCTTCTGCTTCTGCTGCGTCGTGAGAGACGCAGCGTCTGCATCCTGCAGCTTCGCGATGTCTTTGAGTTGCTTATTGATCTTCGTCAGCTGCCGCTTCAGCTGCTGCTGGCGATCTCCCGTCGACGACTCGACAGCAGCCCCAGCACCAGAATCCCTCGGTGTTTTCATGTCTTTTTTAGGCGGCTGCCGACGCTCTCGCTCTTGCCGTGGAGCTCTGTCGCCGCCCGTACGCGGTCGCTCTCGCGCTGCCGGCGCCTCCCTCTTCTGCTCCAGCGAGAGTTTATCCAGCGACAGTTCATCAACCGCAGGGTCGCCACTCGATTTCTCCTCTGCGGCTCGCTTGGCCTCTTGTTCGCGTCGCTGTACAGCAATGCAATGCAGCAGTGTTAAATACAGCCAAGCTAGTCTCAGGGGTGCACTAATGGCATTATCTTGACGTACTCGCTGCGCGACGGTCTTGTACTTGGGCACCTCGTCCTGCGGCACGTAGCCCTGGCGGATGCGGATGGGCTTGCGCGTGGAGCCGTCCGCCCGACGCGACGCCGGCACCACCACCTCCCCGTCGGCGGTGCGCACAGCGCCCAGCGGCAGCCGCGAGTCCTTCGCGCTCATGCCCTGAGTATCAAAAAGCGGTTGGTTGAAATGATCAAAGTTTTGCCCCAAAACTGCAATGAGGGGCCCTCATCGAGTGGTGTCAGCTTAATTTCTGAGAATATTATAATTATTTCTTCCACTAAAAACGCTAGAGCATGGCAAAGTTGCGGTCGTCGATGACGACGCGGACCTGACTAATTGGCGGCGCCCATGCTGTGTGGCGGGGCAGAGGCGGCGTCGCGGCAGCAGCCTCGGTGACTGCGCCCCGTTCATCGCGGACGTCACATTTGCGCTTGGCACGAAAGGCGAAGACGGCGCCGACGAGGCCAGCACCACGCATGCGTACAGAATGGGGCTGCGAAGTGCCGAATAGGACGTTGGAGGGTTGGTGGAGCGGGATCCGTCATTGTCACCTTGGTCTTGGTCGTCTTGGTATCCCTGGTCATTGGTTTGGGATCGATCTGAAGTTGAAGTTGCCCTTTCGTCGGAAGTCGGGGCTTTCGAGTCTGCGGAGGAGGCGGTCGCACTGACGGTCGATGTGGACGGCGTGGAGGCGTCTTCAATTTGCTGGGGAGAGGATGCAAGCTCCAAAGCGGTGCTCTCGACTGCTGCTCGCTCTTCCGTCGTCGAGACGGCGCCAGTGGAGAAGCTGGTAATGCCCTCGTCCTGGGAGGGTGTTGATGAGGTGGTAGACTGGCTAGTGGCCGTGTAGGGGCTAATCGGCGTAGGAGAGACTGACGCTGTTGATGAGCTGGAGAAGGTGTACACGGGTACAGGGGCTGCTGCTTGAGCTGTGGTTGGTTCAGGACTCGAGAGAACGACAGTTTCTGCGGCCGAGGATATCGAGCTTCGAATCTCGCCTGCAATATTAGTTTCTTGATTCAGAGGGGTGTCGACGGCGATGCTATCCGGGGCAGTTGTGGTCGTGAATGGGGGGACGCCGACGGAGGCTGGCGTGGACACTGACGAAATGGTGTTGTCCGAATTGAACGGAGAAGATATCTGGGGGAGAGTAACTCCGATTGCTTCACTGGAGATTGTATCTTGCGCGGAGGCAAAGGTTGGTCGAATAGGAGTGTCTTCGATGCCTGTTGACGATAATGGGGTAGGGGCTGCTTCGGTGAGGTTGGCCAAGCTAGCATCTCGTGATGAGAAATCGAGTATTGGGTCTCCAACAGTGACGACGGTGTTCCCTGAGCTGTCAGTGCCCGAAGAGCTTGCCGATTCCCGAAGATATCGCCCAGCTAACGTAGACCCTTGTGCAGCGACTACCGATACCATGAGCAGCACGATAGCTACGGACACCGTGTGTTTGTCCATGGCGGTGGCTGATGTGAAGTGAGCAATGAAACGGCGGACTAAGTCCGTGTATGCGTTGAGGAGTCCAAGCAGAGGAGACCAAGCAGGGCCCCTCTCACCCGGTCTTTGGTCCACAAAACGGTGGAAGAACATTGCTCCATTTTACAGACGAGGTCCAAGCGGTTCAGTTGGAGCTCTTCAACATCCAGGCAAAGAAGGCACTATTGTACAAATGGGTGCTTGGAGCCACGCATTTCTTTTACGTTCAGACGTCGTCTGCTACGGCCGAACTACCGCAAGCTTCACAGTGTTTGGTGTCGCCAGCTCACAGCGTGAATGTGGTCCGTAGACTACATGTCGATGCGTTGGTAGGGAGTATTATATTATTTTACAAAACGACAATATGGTGATCGTTGAACTGAACCCGGGCTAAGTTTGTGGGGGATGAGGGGGTGGAGACTGGTGTAGCCGCCCGAGTGGACGTCCGGTAATTCCTCTCCTCATCTCGGTGGCTTCGCATTCGCTCGGCTCTGTATCCGACGACGACTCCGATAATGCCCACGATTGCCAGCACTATGGAGGCATAGAAAAATGGGCTTTTCGTCATCGTTGATGTGGCCGAAAGACTCCCATTGCCTGAGCTTTGATCGGAGCTCCCAGACGTCTGAGGCGGAGGCTTCACTGTCACCGGAGCAGAAGTGGACACTGGAGCAGTTGATGACATGCTGGCAGCATCTCCGTCCTGCGAATTTCCAACAGAAGCAGCGAGAGTAGTTACTGGGAAATCTGTGGCGGAGATTCCTGAATTGGCTGGTTCTGGTGTGGGGGTTGCAGTGCCAGGAAGCGTCGGCGTTGCTGTTGGTGTAATGACAGGAGAAATTGTCAATGTCGGAACGAAAGTTTGCGAGGAGGATGAAGCACCGTTATTTGACGCCGACGGCGCCGTTGATGGCAACACGCTTGGTGCGTAGGGCATCGGTGGAGCAGTTTTCTGTCCTTCTTCATTCCACGGCTGCGTACTGGCCGACCCGGAGCTGGACCAAACACTATCGCCTCCATCACTGATGCTAGCGTCGTCGCTGGCACCGTTGATGGCATTATTGCTGCTGCTTTTGGCACTGGTATCAACGCTGCCACCGCCGCTATCGCTACTTGACGCAGCTTCTGGTTCCTTAATCTCCTCATCAGAGCTTCCAGACGTGTCATTGTTGGTCGATACAGGATAAGCAATTCCGTCGAGCGATGCGTCTCCGCTCGAACCAACGGTATCGCCAATACTCTCATTTGCGGCGCTTTGAGCCGAGCTAAATCCTTCCGCTACCACCAGCGAAGCGTTTGTCCTGTCACCATTTTCAGGGCAAGATGCCTCAATATCTCTGGAATCGATATCACCACCACCAGCGCCGGCAGAATTCGAGTCACATGCCACACAGCTCCAATTCACTGGGATCCAAGTGCTGTTCGCCCCCGAGATCCCCAGAAACACGTCCCGCGATAGCACCAAGTCTCCGTCCCCGCAGGTAGAAGCACACTGGTCAGCCACCCGAACAATCTGTCGAGTCCCTGGCGTGCAACCGCTAACCTCCCCGTCATCGCACCACACTTCCGCGCACTCCCCACACATTTGTGCACAATTCATCACCGCGTAACCTGCTGCTTCATCTGTCGACAGCGGAGCTGCCCGTCCTCGCACTTCTTCGTACGCCCCCACTGCGCGCCCCATCCGAGCCGCTGTACTGACCCCCACAGCCGCCAACAGCAGCGACGCCTTCCCCATGCGCGCGCGTGGAATTCTCCAATCTGGTGGTCTCCGACTGAAGCCGTGCGTCGCTGTTACTGCGAGGTGGATACTTCGTCACGTGCAGCGCCGTCAACTGGCAGTCGCTTTCCGCGCCAGTTCCGTCAGCTCCGCGTCCTTCAACGCCATGGGCATCGGACTATCTAGTCGACCGATGGACGTGCGCCACAAGCCGCAGCTTCGAGTTGCAGTCCGGGACTGTACCCATGTCTGATAAAGAGACAGAGCCCGAAAGTGGGACAAGATGTTTTTTGCGTGGCGGTAGTCGTCTTGGGTGGTGTGAGTGTGGCGTTACGTCACCGACTGTCGCGGCTTACGGTCGCAGCGGAGCAGAAGCGTGTCAGAGACGATGAGCGAGGACGAGTTCGTGGTGCTGCTGGAGCACGCCGGCATCCTGGAGACGTCGGACGAGAACGACATGGAGTTCATGGAGGAGACGGTGCTGCGCGAGTGGCTGGAGCGCGACGGCGTGCAGCTCTTCACCACGCAGATGACGACGGCCAAGAGCGACGGCGACCTGGTCGTGGACGGCAGCGCGTCCACTGCGCCGACGGCCACCGCCACGGCCACGACGCTGGTGGGCGAGGCGCGCACGAGGATGGCGGGCCACATCCTGGCCAGACTGCTGGAGCGCGGCTGGATCGCCCCCATCGAGTTCGACTACGACGAGGACGAGACCGAGGTGCTGGCTTGATGGCTGGCTTGATGGGTATGGTTTATTATGCTGACCCAAGAGCTGGGCGTGGCTGCTGCAGGAGTGGAAGACCAAGCTGTACACGCCGCGCCTTCGCACGAGCGAGGCGTACCGGATTTACATTGAGAAGGACCCAGCGGTACGACACTCTCTTTGTAGCGAGTGCATGTTGTAGTTATAGAGCTTAGTAGCTGGAGGAAAACCTGCGGAACGATGTACCCACTGTTGGGATGTGGTCGTTGGTTGGCTGGTGCTGTCCTTGCTATAGGCGACGCAGTTGACCGCGCGGGAATACAATCTCCGTGCCCTCAAGCTCCGAAAGGCTGGCTTGTCGGTAGGGCCGCACCCCTTCTCGGCAAGCCGCGAGCTTGTTGCTTGCTGGTGGATGCTGACGTGGTCGTTGTATCTGGTGTTTTGTCGGCGTGGTAGACGGAACCCGTTGGAGCTGAGATGCCGGCAGCAATCCCCGTATCGGTACGTACGGCTCTGGCCTATATTCCGACGTCGAAGGGGGCGTTTAACATTACGATTTGACCCGTTCCAGGTGGCGGACAACGACTTGAAGTCGAGGTTACGTGAAAAGATGTGGCAGGACTGCTTCCCGACGTGCTCAGAGAGCGCTAAGCAGACATTTTTATCCTTCACGCGGCCAGAGATCATCCTCTACGCTACACTAGGGCTGAACCTCATTAGCAACGGAATCAGCAGCGTACCAGCGTTCTCGCGCGAGCTGAAGAGCATGGGTGTCACCAGCGCCGACGACCGATCTGTCATTGTCGGGTTCCTGGCCAAGGCCTTCCCCACTGAGTAGATCAAATTGGCAACAGTATGTAGCAATGTGATGTTTATTTTTCTGTCAAAAACAATGTGTTCCATGAAGGTGAAATGTTGATACATGAAGAGGGAGACGGACAAGAAACTGCTTGGCACGCGTGCGCCGACTCAAAGCGTTTTGCTCCGAGCACCTATGAGTAGTAGATGCCAAGCGCGAAGCCGCTGGAGAAACCTGCGGACGACGGCAGGTTCGTCTTCATGATCTTGAGCAGTTTCCGGTACCAGAGCTTGACGTCCTCGCTGTCGATCTTGCCGTCGCCGTTGGGGTCCACCTTGGCGATCATGTCCTTCTGCACCTTGCCCCACTTGATGTCGATGTAGCCGTTGTAGGCGGCCGTCTGCGCCATGATGAAGACGATGCCCACCGCCAGCGCCGCGGCCTTGCCCACCTGCTTCAGAGCGTAGCCCGAGCAGAAGCCGAGACCGCCCGCCAGCGTCAGCTCGCCGCAGTTGCCCAGCACCACGTCGATGATCTGCTCCACGGGGTCGCTCTTCTTCTTGTTGGGGTCCCCGCTACCCGACGGTCCGTCCTGCAATTCAATAACCGTATGTAGGGTAGATAACAGTGAGCACTACAGTGGAGCATGGTACTGCAGCACGGTCGAGGATGAGGCAGCACGCACCGCAGCCGCCAGCAGCATCGCGTCCTGACACAGCGCCGACTCCTTGAGCAGCAGCGACACGGAGGCGCTCAGCACGGCGCCCGCCACGACGACCTGCGGCGAGCGAGTGATGGAGCGCGCCGGCAGCCGCAGCGCCACCGCCTGGCTGCGCGTCTGCAGCTTCTTGCCCGTCGACATGGCGCGCGAGCTCAGCTTGAGCTTAAACGCTTGCGGGCGGACGAGGACTGCAGCCAACAACAACCGGCAAACGAAGGTCAGGCGGGGCAGACGAAGACCCAGAGAACGCAGGGAGACAGACGCACGTACAGAGCTGCGGGCGCATGTGGATCGACATGGCGGCCGAGGGAGGAAGGGGAGCGAGCTGAAGTGAAGTGGGCTGGACGCAGACACTTGGCAAGTGACGAGCGAAACGTGCGGCGCGCACCGCCTGACGAGGTTCTTTTCGCGTGACTATGTATCTTTGCCCATCCGAATGGTGTGGCGCACACAACGCAACTTCAACTTTGAAAAGCATGGGAAGGTGCTGCTGCTGCATGTATGAATAGCTAACTGCGCTCTGTTGCGTGCATGCGCTGCAGTTGCAAAACTTGCTCCAGTCGAGCCCACCATGTCCAACCGACCGCGCGTTGTCCTCTACGACGACGCGAATGGGAGCCGCGTCACCTCCGTCTACGGCGACCCGGTCTCGCCCACGGAGAGCGAGGGCGAGGTCTATAACCCCGTCACGGGGAAGTTCGGCACCATGTCTCGCCTGTCCAACTCCAAGTCGGGCTTCCATAACCCGATGAACTGCCAGTACCCATTCCACACCACGCCCGTGGACCCGCCAGAGGTGGTCTACCCGGACCGAGCTCGCAGATGCGCCTTCTTGCGGGAGTCGACGACGCAGATCATGCTTGGAGCCATGGCTGGACTGCTGCTTGGCATGCTGCTAACGAAGATCGACGTCTCCGACGACGTCAGCGTCCTCGTGAGCCTGCCTGGAAAAGTGTTCCTCCAGGTGCTCAAGTGTTTCGTCGTCCCCATGGTCTTCACCAGCCTGTCCACAACGGTGGCGGACATCGTCCTGCTCGGCAAAGTGTCCATCATTGGCACGCGCACGGCGCTTATATTCACGTCGCTGTCGTTGCTGGCCTCGATGCTGTCGCTCGCGATCGCTATGCTCTTGCGAGGTCTGCACCCACTCACCAAGGGCGTCACCTCTGTGACGTCCCCGGTGTATTTCAGCATCATGTGCGAGAACGGCAGCTTCTTGACATACAATGCGACGGGCGCGGCGACGTGCTCGGGAGACACGATGAACAGCACGACTCGCTTCGAGTTTTACGACCCGACGCGAGTGCTCCTGACTGGTGGCACTGCTAACGCCGCGTCCACTGTGACCATGCAGATCACGGACATCTTGAACCAGCTCATTCCGAACAACATCTTCTCCAGCTTCCAGCAGGGCATGCTGCTGAGTGTAGTCACGTTTGCCATCACTTTCGGCGCCGCAGCAGTCAAGACTAGCTCCCGTGAGAACAGCCCGCTACTCGACGTCCTCAAGCAGATGAACAAGATCTTCTTCCATGTGATCGGCAAGGCGATTGACTGGAGCCCCATTGCTGTGATGTCGCTTGTGGCCGGCTCGCTCTCAGGCCAGGAAATGCTTGGCCAGGCCGCGACGCATGTCGGCGTCCTCGTGCTGTGCGCCGTCCTCTCGATGATAGTCTTTGAGCTGGTCTTCTTCCCCATTTTGCTCTGGTTGACCATCAGAAAGAATCCGTTTCCGTTCATGCGCGCGATGCTCCCAGCAGCGATGTTTGCATTGGGTTCGTCTTCATCGCTAGTGACGCTGCCAATGACGCTGCGCTGCGTGGAGTCCACGCGCGAGGTGCCTCGCAGTATCCTGCAGTTTGTGGTCACGATCGGCTGCATCCTGCACAAGAACGGCTCGGCCCTCTACTATCCGAGCGCCTTGGTCTATCTGGTGTCCACGTCTGAGAAAGCAGTGCCGCTGGGTTGGCTGCAACTGACGCTCATCTTGCTTCTGACGGTTTTGGGCTCGATGGGGACAGCTCCGATCCCGAACTCCAGCATTGTCATGATCTACTCCATCTGGACCACGATATACTCTGGCGAAGAGGTCCCCGCCAGCTACAGCTACCTGGTGGCCATTAGTTGGTTCATCGGTCGACTCGTGACTGTGTGCAACATCGTCGGCGACGGGTACGTGGCTCGCATCATTGCCGAGCAAGTCGAAGACGAGGACGTCGACAACATTGAGGCGTAGAACGAGTTTGCGTAGCACTTGAATGAATCGACTGCTAATAGCTGGACACTTGAATCTTTGCACCGGTAAAACGCCCTCGTCAATTCAATGCCACCGTCGCACCACTGCTCCGCCTCGGATCTTCACTCAGCGCAGCATCTCGCTACCCGCACTTCGGCACGTTGGCTCCAGCCTTCCCACGCAGAGCAGCAGTGCGGCCGACAGCTCGACTTGAGCTCTGCACATCGAGCTTGCGCTGCAACCTCTCGACGGCACAGTGCCGCGCACACTTCAACAGGTCATGCGGACGCGGCGCTGCATGATTGGCCTCGTCCCGCGCGTCCATTTCTCTGCGTTTTTGGCGCGGTCAAACGAATGGACAGGCGGCAGCAAAGGGATCTCAGTGAATCCAAGTGGCCAGCGGATGAATCTGCCCTTCGCGAGCACCAACCCCCCTCCAGAAACCCAGCCAAGCCAAGCCAACTTACCCCAACGCACAGCAAGACACACAACGACCTCAGGACAATGGGCAAATTGGTCGCCATTGCAGTAGAGAAGCCGCGAGCAATTCCGCGTGGATCGGGCCACTGCAACTCGAGTAAGCCATCTTGTCTGACGTCACATCGCTTTGAGTACCAGCTGGGGCAGTGATGGCTCTGTGTTATATCTCAGCTTCTAGAACGTCTTTTCAAGTGAAAACGACTGTTATGAATTCCTTGAGCAAAGCGCAGCGTTTTGACAAAGTTTCAACACGTATTTCGGCGTATTAAGAAATATGATAATTTTGAAAAGGCGGCATGTGCCACCACTGGCTGGGGGCATACAAAACCCCAGAGGATTCAGTTGACATCGCTGATTGGCTGGAATCGGCTGTGTGCGTTACACATATAACGGTCGGCTGCGGTCAGATGGGAGGGGAGGGTACATGAGCTCAGTGCGAAAGTCCACGCGTCTGGCGCAATTCCGTAGACGACACCTGCCTGCCGACCACACCGCTTTGGAGTCCCAGCCATGCCGTGCTTCCTGACCGAGTGCGACCCCATGGCCGAGGTCAAGCGCTTCGGCTCCGCCATGGCCGGCCTGTACGCCTACCACTTCGTGGTGGACACGGTCTTCATCCGCCCCGCCGTGCGCTACATGCTGCGCAAGGGCTGGCTGACCAAGGACAAGGAGGACAAGATGCGCGAGTCGCTCTACAAGAACGCGGCAGTGGGCGCGTTCCACGCGCTGGGCCTCTACATCGGCTGGCACGAGCCGTGGTTCATGGACAAGGAGGAGTACTTCAAGGGGTTCCCGTACGTGGCCAACGAGCTGCAGCGCTGGTACTACATGATCTACCTGAGCTTCTGGTTCCAGAGCATCGACTTCATGCTCAACATCACCAACAAACACTACACGGTGAAGCGCAAGGACAACGCCGAGATGCTCGTGCACCACTTCGCCACCATCTCGCTCATGCTCTTCTCGTACTACGCCGACCTCACCAAGGTCGGCCTCTGCGTGCTCATGATCCACGACGTCAACGACCTGCTGCTCGAAACAGGTGCGTCCGAACCGTCTGTTTCTTGTCCTAGTACTCGCTGCTGACTGACCAATGTGTGCTTCTTGCTTTGCTGCTGTCATTTCAGCCAAGGTGTTCGTGTACCTGCAGTGGGAGACCGTGGCCAACATCTTCTTCGGCCTGTTCGCGCTCGTGTGGTTCATCGTGCGCTGGTTCTTCTACTCGTACAACATCCTGCACAGCGCCTACGCGTTTGCGTACAGGGACATCATCGTGCCGATCACCGAGGCCGGCAGCTACCACGGCATTAGCGCTGACGTGTGGTACTGGGTCTGGGTCGTCTGGTTCGGCTTCCTGTGCCTGCTGCTCGTGCTCCACATCTACTGGGGCTTCCTGATCGTCAAGATGGTCATCAAGGCGCTCGGCGACGGCAACGTCGAGAAGGACATCCGCAGCGACTCGGAGGGCGAAGAGGATGGCGCCGCGGAGGAGGACGAGGAGCCCAAGAAGCCGCTGGAGGCGTCCACCACCGACGCCACCACGAAGCCCCGGCGTCGTCGTGCCCCCAAGGCTGAGTAGGCTGCGCAGCGTTAGTCGGTTGGCTCCCGTGATTGCGTCCGTGCGTTCACAGCGACGCGACGGCGCAAGCAAGAGCGAAGTTTTGGCGGAGACCGTCGTGTTTACCCGTGAACGGACGTCATATTGTAGAGAAAAAGAGGGCGAGTGGATTGGTCGCGGAGGCGGTAGAGCTTAGAGATGGGGAGGCCCCCGCAATCGACAGGAAAAGTTATCAACGCCGCGGAGTCGATCGGATGTCGTTGCGAAGAGCGCAATCATGACATCGCACCATTCTTTGGGTACAAGCACTACCGTATCATCTCTAAATCTGAAACAGCCCTCACGGTACCTTCTAACACAAATCCCGCCCAGTCAAAGTCGAGCTTGTAGCAGAGTCGAGCAACATGAGCGCGTCCGTGTCGAGACACTTCGTGGACGAGAAGGTCAAGGCGCTGTGCGTCGTAAGCGACGTTCGCTACGTGTCGGAGACGCTGCAGGACGACTTCGAGGTGCTCCCTCTGGTGGCCGTCGGCGGCTGGGACAACGAGGTAAGCCCGCACACCCCTCCGGTCACTTGGTACTCGTCCTCTCACCACTTTACATACACCCCCGCAGACCAACCACGTGACGCTGCACCTGCCTGTGCGTTCCACGCACGACGAGCGAGAGCTGCGCAGAGAGTTCGGGTGCGTCAAGTAGCTGGCTGGGGTGGCTGGTAGCTGTCGAGACTGCAGACATTGACTGAAGGACTGACTTCTCTGCCCGCTGTTAGACGTGAGGAGGGCGATGCACGCCCCTGCGAGCTGAGCACTTTGGCGGAGGCGGAGCATGAAGGAGACGTGAACGCGCTGCAGTTTGTGGCGGCCAGGGGCGAGAACCTGCTGGTCAGCGCGTCGTCGGCGGGCGGAGTCTTCGCCTACCGCGTGTCTTCCAGCGCCAGCGATGACGCTGTAATGTCGGACGGAGACTCGAGCAAGCCTCTGTCTCCGTTTGTGATGCCTCAGTGGGAGAAGGTGTTTGCTGGTGCTGCGGCCACGTGCGTGGAGGTCAGCGAGAGCCGCACGAGTCTCGTGACTGCCAGTGCCGGTGGAGCCTTGGCGTGGCTGAAGCTGGACGACGCAGCGAGCGTCGAGAAGATCGGTATGTTGCAGGATGTGGGATTGACGAGATGGGGCGTTTGCTGGGACTAACGTTTGGTGTTGCGTGGGATGAAGAAAATAAGGGCACGAGCCGACTGCCGATCAATGCCGTGAAGTTTTTGGGCCGCGACTCTGTTGTCGCCACTGTCGGGTACGAAATTAATTGCATTCAGGTGCCTAAGTCGTTGAGCATTCATGTCTGATAGTTTTATGCGTGGTTGCTTTTCCAGCTCGACTCCTGGAAACCAGCTTCGTATCTGGGACCTTACGGCCAACAACCAGTACCCTGTCACGAGCTGCGCCGAGTACGTTACTTGTTCCTTGACTACTCCCGTGCTATGAGTACTAACACACTGTTTGCCACGTTCGTTCGTTCAGTCCTAGCTCAAAAAGCATTTTGACTACGCTGGAGACGCACCCAACGCGACCCGAGCTGCTAATCACGGGCGCAGACGACGGGCGTGTGAGCTTCTGGGACCGCCGCAAGCTCGATACACCCTTCCGCACTGAGGCGTACCACCAGCGCGCCGTTCGTGCGCTGAAGCTACACTCAGCGTCACCTCGTCACCTTTACACTGGCGGCGACGATGCTGTCGTCAACTGCTGGGACTTCCACCACGGTCGCAACCCTCGTGATCATGTCGAGTATGAACGCTACAGTGGTGCTAGTGGAATTGCAGCCGGCCAGAGCTTGACCCCGTTTGGTTCGTTGGGTGCTTCGAACGGATTTGCGAAGGGACCGGGAGGCCTCAACGTACAGCCGCTCGCTTCCGGTTTCCAGCCGTGGAACGCTCTGGCGGTTCATGCCGAGTCTGACACACTCGTTGCAGGCTCAGACGCGCAGTCCGTTGTGATCGTACAGCAGGTGTCGAAGTGGAAGCAATAACCACACTGACAAGAAAGAAAATCAAACGTGGCTCAACACATTCATTGTTAAGGCGATGCGCTTTCTGGACTGACACTGCTCCTGGACACGGCGAGGTCTTGCTTTGGCCTACACCAACCAAACGAAAAGGATCAGATGGTGAGCTAAGCGAGCTTTAGTGGAGCACTGCATGATCCCACGTACGTGTAAATGTGCGGCGGCAGCTGAAGAGTTGGAGCAATGCTGTCTAGCATATCTGGATGCTGTAGGTACACCACGTGGCTGTAAAGGCCTCCGTTGTCACAATACCCCTTCGACAGAAGCAGTTGAAACTTTAGACCAAGCGAAGGTTCGAGCACGTAGAAGAATCGGAGGACCGAATCCGCCCCCTTGTTCTGCAGAGGGCGATCGCTCGGAGTCCGATGTGCTGCCACTGCTGTAAACACACGGAATAATCGCTTGGTCCACGAATTGGGCGGCTGGTTGTCACTTGTCACGTTCGCATGCACGTACAGCACGCTAAACTGTGGAGTGGTCGAGGTAAGAGCCGCACGCTGAGACTCAAGCGTCACTAACACGAAAAGCAGCACACGTTCCAGGTCTATATCGTCGACGCGCAACTTCCCAGCGAGATAGACAACCACAGGGAGTCCAGCAAGATCCACGCCGGCGCAGTAGCAGAACTCGAGGGCCGTCAGGTCGGAAAAATCCTCCTTCTTTGCGCGTTGCAGTGCCGCCACATAATCCCATTCAGCTGTACTCGCCGTGACCTTCTCAAGACGCTTCTGTTCTTCGACTGCAGCTTCCGCTGCTCGCCGCTGCCGCTCCTCCTGCATCTGCTGCAATCGATCTAAGCGTTCCGCATCTGGATCACCTAACATGGCCCGGAAGGCCAAAATGTCGCTCCCTTCTTCGTCATCTTCGGGCCCTCCAACAAAACCACTCGCTTTATAGCTATCTTGTTGCCGGTGCTCGTCCTTGCTGTTCCTCTCGCCGTGCTCGAATTCACACTGATTGTTGACGGAGACATCAACGGATGCATGGCTGAGGTCGCCGATTCGGATCTTTCGCTCTTCAATAATCGGCTCACCAAAGCTGTTGCCTAGCAGTAGGAAAATCAATCGTTAGCGCGAACGAAACATCGTAAAGCAGCAACTTCTCACAAAAACGAACCGAGATCTCTTGTCGCCAGCATCTGCCGCGACTCGTGCTGCTCCCTCGTCGTCCGCGGGAAATACAGCGGCAGCACTCGCTCGTAGACGAACATGTCCTGGATCGACTCCACACACAGAACTACCCGGTCGAAGGCGTCGGCGTAGTGCTCGAGGTACCGCCGCACCGTCCTCGCTGCAATGTGCGCGGCCTCCTCTCTCGGGTAGCCCTTGCGCTGCGTGTAGATGCACCCGATTGCCACGGAGCGCAGCCCGTTCTCCCTCGCAACCGTGAGCACGCTGCGGTAGCACGAGTGCAGCGCGTGCTCGGCCGCGTTGTGGTACTTGGGCAGGTAGCGCGGCCCCACCGTGTGGAGGATGAACCTGGCTGGCAACTGGCACCCACGCGTGAGCACGGCGTCCCCCGTGCGACACGCGCCGGCGGCGTCGCACTCGACGGCGATCTCAGGTCCGGCAGCCTTCAGCAGCTTGCCGAACTCGCCGTCGCTCTCGCGCAAGGACTCGCTGGTCGAGTTGACCACGGCGTCGACGCGCAGCCAGTGCAGCGGGCCGCGCCAGAGCGAGAGCTTGCCGTTCAGCGAGCGGCTGACGGCGAAGGGCGCGCCCGCCGGGTCGGGCGCGGAGAGCGGGTCATGCACACCGTCGGCGAAGTCGGTGGGCGGCGTGGCGACAGCGGCGTCCCAGAGCGGCAGGAGCGCGCACTCGATGGGCGCGTCGCCGTCGGCCATGACCGCTGATGGATTTCAATGCACGCGCCGCTTCAAGATCCTTTTCGTATGGTGTGCGCCACACTGAAATGTCGTCCGAGTTCGCGCGACATTAGAGCGCTTAAGCAGTTCAGAACGAAACGAAAATCTGATAAAAATCTGAGAAAATCTGATCTTTTTTCGTCCTCTCGATTGCGTCTCGTTGTCTGAGGACGACAACTTTCGTAAGAGCTTGTTGCGACGAAACGGAATCAGAGGCGGAGCCAGTGTGAAATCTATAGTCTAGCCATAACGATGGACTCCAACAGCGACAGCGACAGCGACGATGATGTACTCGCTTACCGCCAGGCGGCGAAGGAGATGCTGGACACATCACGCGTGAAGAGACTACATGGAGACTGGGAGGCGGCATCCAGGCTGAGCCACAGCGCGTTGCTATTGCTATCGGAGGCTTCGCCACGATACTCTATACCCCGTGTCCGATTCGACATCAACAACGTCACGGACGACACCTGCCTGCTGTTCTACCGCTTCACCCAACGCCATCTACGCCGTTTACAAGCTTCATTTCAGCTGCCGGACGTCATTCGCACGGGCGCGAGCTCTCGTACGTGTTGTAGCGGTCTCGAAGGACTCTGCATCACCCTACACAGACTTTGCTACCCAACGCGATGGATGGAGATGTCAGGTATTTACGACCGGTGGCCCAGCGCTCTAAGTAGTATTTTCTACTTTGTGATCGATTTTATTAGCGAGAGATGCAGCAGGTTGCTCAAGGGGAATTAGATTATGTGAGCTCTAGATTGCATGAGTTTAGCCAAGCTATCTACGACCAAGGCGCTGAGTTGGACCGTATTTGGGGGTTCGTGGACGGAACCGTTAGGGGCATTTGCAGGCCAGGAGGGGCTCGGGAGCAGCAAAGTGTGTACAGTGATCACAAACGCAAGCATGCGCTCAAGTTCCAGACCGTCGTTACTCCAGACGGCATGATCTTCCACCTACACGGGCCGGCTGAAGGCCGAAGACACGACATCCTACTGCTGCGAGAGTCCGGACTGGAGGAACGAGTCCGCCGCGACGGGAGATTTCAAGGCTACTTTGTCTACGGGGACCAAGCGTACGGCCGTACCGATGTGTTTGTATCTCCTTTTAAAGGATCAAGTTTAACACCCGCTCAAGCTGCAATAAACGCCTCCATGTCGAAGGTCAGGACGTCCGTGGAATGGCCGTACGGCCAGGTTGTCAACTACTGGGCTGGTGTCGACTACAAGAGAAAAATGTGTTTGGGAGAAGTTCCTGTAGCAAAGCTGTACAAAACTGCAGTGGTTCTGACCAATTGTATCACTATTCTTCGTGGAGGGAACAATAACAGCAGATATTTTGGCGTGGAGCCTCCGTCGCTAGAAAGCTACTTCTCCGTTTAACATCACAATATTGATGCATTTTAGATTCACTTGTTACTAATAGCTGAAGCTAATAGTTTTAAAATGGACTCGGTCTGAGCAGCTTGCTGCTGGATCTGCTCACGTAGCAGCTCTTGCTGACGTTTTTGCTGCTCGAGTTCTTCTCGACGAAGTTGCAGCTCTTCTCGGTGAAGTTCGACCTTTTCCGCTTCCAGTTTCCTACGCTCGATAGCTTCTTCAAGCCCCTGGTCAAGCAACGTGGAGAGACGACAGTGCTTAGGATGGCCTGAATCTTTGGTACCAGCGGCCAGCCTCTCGGAAACCCTGTTCATACAATTACATAAAAGCATTCAAAATTAGACGAAATACATTGCAATCAACACAACATTACGAGGCTACCTTTTTTCTGCTACCTGCATGAGGAGTTGACCTGCCGTCTCCAGCTCCTGCGTTTTAGAGGTCGATTTTGCCTTATTTTCCTGCTGTTCAGCCACGACTGCGTTCTTGAGCTGCTGAAGTTGCTCAAGGATGTCATCGTTCTCTGTGTGCACCTCGCTGGTGCCGCTAGCGGCTTCGTTTCGCGCCTTCCGCACTGCATACTTCCGTAGGAGAAGACTGGTGCGGTCCCTGCACGCTCGAAAGCTAAAAGCTTCTGACAGAGTAGCGTTTAGTCGGTTAGCCACTCCCTTCCACACACCTGTTACTGTTTTACGGTCAGCAGCAAATGGAGGCGTGGCGAGGACTTCAGCTAACAGAGCCTTGTCGCTGGTGGCGTTGAAGCGGGAGCGCTGCTCCGGCTCGTCAACTTCCTCAAAGCTCTTTTCCTCGGAGCTATCCTCAACATCGTCGGGCGCAGCAGCCTGTTGCTGCGACTCAGGGCCTTACACTGGTGGCAGGGGAGGGTCGTCTTGGCCAAGCTGAAGCGACGCAGTGGAGCCCAAGGTGAGTATCTCGCCGGTGCTGTCGCTCTCCATTGTCTCTGGTATGGCTGGCAAGGAGGGAGTTCTGAAGTGATTTGATTCGTTGCGTTGTGATTAGCTTAAGCGCCCTTTTGGAAATTCGGTACGAAATATTGGGACGAAGTTTTTTTTCGTTCTGAAAGACGCTTTGGTCCTGTAGCTTAAGCGCTCTATTGTATTGTGCCTTTCTAAAACGGAAAATGTACAGCCCATGTTTTTGGATTCGAGGTGGTTAGAGCACCTTTAATGCGACAGCACAACAGCACCGTTAATGGCGCCTTGGGCGCCATTAGTAAAGCAGCTGGTCTTCAGGTAGGAGAGGAATATATAGACTGTTGCCTCAGCTTTCCAAAGTCCGAAACGGGCGCTAACTTTGACTCTACGCAGCACGTAAGCCTGCACCTGGACAAACTTTTGGTACTGCCTACTTCATAGAGGTATGTTAGAGCTATCGAACGCACTAGCTTGTATCGGCGGAGTGTAAGTGGGCACTTAGCAGGACCCCCGCCTCCTCAGGGACTCCTTCGGGGTGCCCATTTCCAAAGCCATCAGGCCTGGAGGTCATCCCTCCTACACTTTAATGGCGCGGTAAAGTTAAGGGCGCCCTGGTAATCTGTGCAAAGTCTGTGTACAGAAGCAAATCTTTTCACAGATCAGAATAATAAGGGATTTGTATTGACAGATAGAATTGGGACGGGTGCCATGGGCTCATCTGTTCGCGTTGTGAGCTGTTGTGAGGACACGTTGCCACAGCAAGCAAACCTGCGCGGAGTGCTCGTAAAGCAGGTCTGCGCGGTAGGTCCTGCACGAAGCGGATGGACCCGTTGCCGCAACTCGATGCTAGTTTTCTAATTGCGGGGGCTGCTCCAGTACACTGCAGCACCCCAGATTCACCCCCTCTTTTTGACTTAAAGGCGCCGTAGGGCTTAAAGGCGCTTTAGGCAGATGTTGTGCGGTTGCATTAAAGGTGCTGTAACGCGAGTCGTTCGGATTGGAGGGGGTGAAATGGCCCGCAAATCTATCGTGATGCAGAGACCAAATCGGCATCAGTGGCGTTTGAGAAGCATGAACAACCCGCAAACGTAGCCCCGAAGCAAGGCTTAGGTCTACAGCTCCCTGCCTAGCGCTGGGCCGGCCTTCTAACGGTTTTAACCCACCGGCGACCGCTCTTATCCCGATTTTGCAGGTATAAGATTAATATAGAAATTTGTATACTGGCGGGATAGGGTAAGCGAGGTCCCCAGCGGCCTGCCCCGACTCTTCGGGTTCCACCGGCTGTCAATCTCATTGGTCAGAGTTATCCAATCAAAGCTTGGATACGGCCGTAATATTAAGCTCTGTCGAGATTTCGATCGAAAAAACCTTGGCGTAATTCGCAGGATAATGCGAACATTCGCTAAGTGAGTGAATTGTTCTGAGCTGAATATCGCGGTTGATGGACGTGCTCGGCAATCGCTGTGACACTATCCCAGGGCAAGCACGGCACGGCACATGAGGGACGCCTTCTACTGCAACGACGAGACGTACGAGGCACAACCGAAAGCAGAACAACTCAATCTCGGTACGATGCTCACTCTAGCCAGCCTGTTGCCCCATTGCTGACGTGTTTCTCGACTGCAGGCGAGGCGAGCGCTGGCGGCACAAGCCCCCCCATTCCATCGGCAGTACACCCGCCTGACTTCCTCCTTCCTCTTCGCCATGCAGGGCTACGGCTACTCGCAGTACCAGGCGCACTCGCCGCACCACCAGCACAGCGGCGAACTTCCCAAGCTCTACTACAAATCCCTGGACCACGGCACCAATAGCGGCGGCTTCAATGGCCCGGCGTGCATGAACTCCAGCAGCACGTGAACCCGAACAGCATGCAGGCCCAGCACCAGGCCCGACGCCGCAGCAGGGGGACTTCGACTACGAGCCCATCAGCACCCAGGCAAATACTACGCGCTGTCGCCCAAGGCCTATCGATACAACTGGGGCGGCTCTCAGAGCCGCTCTGTTGGGCTGCGGTCATACGTCAGCCCACACGGACAAACGTTCGCGTGAGGCGCCCTAAATGAAGGAGAAGAAGCGCGTGTTCAAGCTAAACGATGGCATCAACCATCACAAGACGCTGCAGGACGAGGCCGGACGATCAAGGAGTCCATCGTGTGATCTCGAATCAGAGTGCGGAGCGCGCCTAAAAGCAGGCGGATCGCCGAGGACCAAAATGGTGGTGGCTAAGGCGGTGACGTCAGCGATGAGGGCTATAAGCTGCCAAAACAGGCCCTCACTGCAACAGCAGCCTTTGCAGGCGGATGCAGTGAGTATGTGTTTTAGTGTAAGGATCTAGTATAAAATAAAATAAAGGCATTCCATAGAATTGAGCGACAGTCAAAATCAACCTGTCAAAAGTCGCGGTCGCTCCTCAGTGGTACAGTACACATCGTGTGGGGGGAGATCTTCTCCGAGAAGATCATGGCCGACGCAAGTATGTACACCGACGACACGGTGGCCGACAGCAGCAGCACTGTGGGCGGCAGCAGCAGCGATGACGACAAACGCTCGAACCAACAGGAGCTCACAGCGCGAGGGCGCTCCGAGAGCCAAGGGCAGCTCAGCGATCAAAATACCGACTTAGACCGCTCCTCCTACTTTGTTCTCTCGGACCCTAACTACACCTACGAGGCTGTCCCGGTGCGCATGTATGTCCTACTTGTGGTGGCTATTTGATATCTAACCGTCCTGCTTGCATACAACAGGCTTTCACGCCGGATGTCAACCGAACAGCCTCAAACAACAAGAAAATTTATGGCAAGCCGATGTCTGTAGGGGAGATACGTGCACGTATCTTTGGTGTTTCAGTGGGCGTCACGATGGCTCGATTCCGATGTATGCCTAGACGTTGGAGAGATTTCAATGGCACCAGGGGTTCCTTGACTTTCACACCCTCCAGCCAGTACGCAAGCCTTCACGCGATCGGGTGGGTATGCGAATTACTTGAGTCTGTGGCGTAGTCTAACAAATGTTATTATGCAACAGGTTTACGAGCCTAGATTCAGGTCTACCAACCATGTAGACGCATTTCTAGCCGCCCTTCCGCTCTACGAGATGTATGCACAGTTTCAGAATGACGAAGACTCGAGTCACATCTACGCGTGGTTGCAAGCGTCCCTGAAAGCCTCGAAGGTATTTCACCCGTTCTGTGGTGCCAGGTGTACTCCCAACGCTATCGTGCCATTGACCTCTGTGTAGATAACGCTGACTATGATAAACGCTTGTGCGAGTGGGATATTGAACGCTTAGACGCTTTTCCCGATTCCCATGTTGAACACCATATCGCAATGGAGGCAGATGAATCGCACGACGAGAATGCTATCCGGGAGCATACCAAGGAGGGGTTTTTCAAAGAGCTCGAGTATAAAGCTCGAGTCCAAGAAGCCGCTGCGCTCGAGTGGCTTGCTGTCTGGACGTATCAAACCGAGGTGATGTTTCCTCGTCTTGGGGTATCGTTGAGACGCTAGTACGTCGGAAAGTGCTTAGCCCAGCTTCACAGAAGCATACATATTTTGTTAGCGATGCTGAGATGTAATGAAGAAGCCCATGCCTACATATATTCCGTCATCGCTTTCTTATTGTAGCATAGATCTCAACGTTGACAACCAGCTTGGCCGCTGTCGATGCCAAGGTTGGCTCTGCTCTCCCTCACAGGCGTATTTGTATTAAAATTTGTATGGCAGATGTCAAGATTGACTTCGCAGTGAAACATAGATCTCAACGTTGACAACCAGCTTGGGTCAAAGCTGGCTTCGCTCTCCCTCACAGGCGTATTTGTATTTAAGTTTGTATGGCAGATGTCAAGATTGACTTCGCAGTGAAACATAGATCTCAACGTTGACAACCAGCTTGACCGCCGTCGAGTCAAAGCTGGCTTCGCTCTCTCTTACAGGCGTATTTTGTCAAGATCGACTTCGCAGTGAAATATTGACTCCCACCTAATTTTCCGACTCATTCTGCTGTTCGGCCCCGCTGAGCGTACATTCCACCGCGCCGAGCAGCTCCGCCAGCACTTCCGCCACGGCCTCCCGCTCGCTCTCATCCGGGGGCCTCTCAGTCGCAGTTACTCCTTCTTCATCCTGTCCTGCTGCATCTGCGCCTGGCCGCTCTGGCTGATGCACTTGTACCTCTACGTTTCGCGTGACACTTGGAACCGGTAACTGCGAAGATGACACCGAAGCAGCCCCATCAGCATTCTGAACATCGGTCTCGTATTGCCTTGGCAGTACAGCATCCGAGGAAGCTGTGTCCATCGTTTCCGCACGTAACTCCTCCTTCGACCGACGCATTCGGATCCGTCCGACCTTTTCAGAGTGTGGAAGTTGATCTCCGTTCTTCCATTTCGAGTACCAAATGTTAAAGCACGATACAGAATTACCATCGGATACGTGTCGCGCCTTGGAACACAAAAACAGTCTTCCTCGATCAGTGGAGCACTGCTTGCAGTAATGACGCGTTGTGCCGGGAGGTCGATTCGATCCAGGACTGCCAGCACCACCCAGTACCGAACAAACTTTGCACACGCGAAACTCGAACTTTCCCTTTGCTGTCTTGTCCGTCGACACCATCAATTGATGCTTCGAGCTTGCTAGCGAGTACGCCGTCGAAACTGGTGTCTGGTTAGTTCTTGGCTCCACCTCGGTAACAGCGGCTTCGGCGACTGGCACCGTTTCCAGGAAGTCATCATCTCCGAGAGCGAGTAGCTCCTCGTGTAGCTGAATGAGAAAATCCACGTGTGAAAGAGGTTTTTCCCCCACCGACTTCGCGTACTCACGGTGGGTGATAAAAACGTTAATAACAGCTATGTCGAGAAGCCCGTAGAAAACAGTCTTGTAGTATTTCTTCGGTCGCATGACTCTTTGAATGGAGTACCTAGTCAAAAGCATTTTCGGCGTAAGTGATGGGCGGCAGAACCGCAACAGAGCAACACGTACCTTTGCAGACGTAAGTGGTCGTGACTGTCAACACCCCCATGTACTTGATGTACAATACCACAAACTCCGGACACGGAATGTTTACCTGTGAGCCGTCCTTTTGCTTCTTCCGCACAATCGCACGTCTAGCGGAGGCCCCAGTCGCCACAAAGTAGCAATTTTCGAGTCAACCCACCGCGTCGAGTACATTTGACGATTCGTATTGTTCCGAGCAAGAATGTATGAGCCGCGCGGCATCCCTCTCGAAGCTGATTTTTTGTCGGTCTTCAAGTCTTCGGGGAAGCGAAGACGCGTCGTAGAAACCGTCCCGATATTGTAGTACCCCATGTCCATCAAACGAAACCCCAACGTCACCGAAGAATACTCGCGATCAGTGATGATGATTCGCTTCTTGGATCGATCCACCCGACGCTGTTCCCCACAAGGCTTCAAGGTTTCGAACCACAGCAGCTGGTCCACTTCTGGTGTCAACAAATTGACTGTTTTGTTTCTTACCGCAATAAACCTCGAACCTGAGCATGAATCCACAGCGTTCAGATACCGACTATATAAAATAGCGCAAATGAGCATACCTGGAGCAGTAGCGGGTTTTCCCGCAACACACAGCGAACAGCTTGGTGCCGAACTTGTGCGGCTTATTCTTCAGGAAAACTCGTATTTTGTTCCGCGAACTTCTTGAAGGGATAACCATCTTGTCGAATGCAACCCAGCGCCCTAGTTCCATTCCACCCTTGAAAGTAGTCTGTAACTTGTTTATCACGTTGCGAATCTTCCATGCCCGGTCCGTCTTAGCCTGCGGAGCCTGGTCGTTCGCAAAGTGGAGAAATCTGGCGAAGGACGTGTTAGTGGGCCCTTTATTAAAATAACGTGGAAGTCACAGCACCTGTTAATCTCCTTGAAACGCTTGCGAACCATAAATGGCGACCAAGTTCCAGCTGGGATCGCTCCACGGGCTCGCGTCTTCCAATGATCTTCCAGTCGAGACTTTATCGGGCAAATAGCCCTGGATATTACTAGGGCCAGAAAATGCATGATCTCCGCGGCAAGTACGTCTTTGAACGCGTCCAGCTCCTTTTTCTTTGCTTGAAACATTTCCTTGCGTTTGTGGATGTCGTCCGTCTTCTTTTCAATGGACAACTTCGCCTGTCGAAGTCTTTCCGGTCGTGTCTGACGCTCGTAACGATTAGATTCCTCGGCAATCTCCTTCCAGAGAGTCTTCGGCATGTAGTAAAAAAAGATCAGAAGGTTTCATCGTTTTCGCTGCCTCTATAGCCGAGGCAGTAAGTTAAGGAGGGTCCGTAAACACATCCGTAGCGCCGGACAGGTCCGAGTCATCCCGTTCGTCGGTTACCGGTAGCCACTCCCAACCATTGTCAGACATGCCTCGAAGCATTTCATCTGTTATGTAGTCCTAGGGGCCGGCAACCGCGCGAATTTCCTCTGCTGTTTCGACAATAAAACTTTCGTTTCCGGTATCACCCGCAATATAAAGCTCATCTGCAAACTCATCTTCAGAATCGTCGTCGGCACTCTCGCCAGAACAGCCATCCGATTCCAGCACCTCGTGATCGTCATCAATACCCACGTTCACTTCATCAGCAAGCATGTCCGCACGTCTTTTCGATTTCTTCCCAGATACTCGACTCCCGGGAGACGAAAGAGTACGTCGAGTTTGCGAGGGTGTTGCGGTTGTTTCTGCTGTCTGCCGGGGCGATTTTGTTTTTCTGGGAGCCTTGCCTGACCCTCTGGAATCTGCTCGCGGTACTGGCGTAGCGTCCGCATCCGCATTGTTTGAAATCCCGTCACCCCAAGGCTCAACACCACCACCTGCATTTGAGATCGCCTCTTCCTTGGTAGTCACGGGAAAGTAATCCGGGTAATCGTACTCGTAGTCATTTTCGGTTCGATCATCGGTTTGCCGGCTCTCGGTAGCCACATTGCAAGCATCATTGGTTACTCCCACTCCATTATTTTCTGGAATCGATGCTCTGCGTGCTTGGCGAGCTGTAGATCCACCGCTGGGTTTCTCGTTCTCATCGGTATCTTTCCGAGGGCTGTCATGGCCTACCGTCCCGGTAGCATCGGTGACTTCACCTGGAACTGGGTTTTCGAGCATAGCTTGACGTGCTGCTTTCTGGCGACGCCTAAACTTCTCCAGTTTGTCAGGGCAGTTCAGATTGGAGGCAGGCTCCCAGCTCGTTTGGGAATACCCCTTCCATTTCACCTCAAAGTAAGACAAGCCAAAACGAAAAGTTTCACGAAGAATTGTTTCCACTTCGTACACTTCCTCCACACCTGGGCACCATTATTAAAGTTAGAACATTTTTCCCAAAACCAACATAAGAGCATGTGCCAAACACGTGCTGCTTGTTACCTTCAGAACCCTCTTGGTGTTTTGCAGGGATTTTAGCCGTCACGTGGCTACCTCGGTCAGGCAAGTCCGCTTTTCAGGTTGTTTTTTTCTTCAACGCGCGTGCCTCTTGAAGTTGTGCTGCCTTGAACTTGTTGAGGAGCTCAGGACAATGCAGATTCGATTCCGGCTCCCACGACGTCTCGTCGTAACCCTTCCACTTCACATGGTACTTGGGCTTTCCACGCACGAACTTCATCTCGATGATCTTCTCGACTTCAAACTCGTCGTCTGCGGCATTATGAACGTCTACTATAAGATCGCTACGACGCTTTGCTAATGAAAGATGCGTTTTGCTTACCAGATGCCTCGGAGTTCACTGTCCTCGCTGCTTTTCTTCGCGCCTACCGGGGCGGCTGGGCGTCGCGCCCGCTGCCTACTCGGCGCTTCTGTGCCATCTCGACGAGTGACGGTGGAGAGGGGGGGGCAAAAGGCGCACTTCTTGCATCCGGATACGTGGGCATTGTTGACCTTGATCATACAACTATACTGATATTAAATTTCGAATCTAAACACATCCGGATACGAAGCACGACAGAGCAGATCGTATACTTGTAATATCTCGATGTTGAGTTGCAAGTGCCAATGTTGACATCGCAGGTGAATTGCTTAGCAGATTCCTTTGGCAATAACAAATAGACTGGTACGGTTAGGTGTCCTAAACTGCTTCTAGAGCTCCTCAACATTGTTTTCACAGTGATAAATACACGCTCCGCGTCGCACTCACCGTTCACGTAACCCGCTACATGGCAACGGGCATCACGACCGAGCTCGCGAGAAGCGAAACGACGGGCATGACGGCCGCACACCCACCCACGTGCATGTAAAGAAGAGGGATTTAACGTTGGGCTTGGGAATGTCAACATTGACATCGTGAGGCGCTGGAACTCCAGATCAGCGAGGCATCGAAGCTCACCAGAAAACTTGACGGCAAGCATAGCGGCACCCGGAGCAGCGACTGCTGCACGGCGAGCATAGCTGCGGCAAGCATAGTGGCGGCGTAGGCGACAGATGATCAGCGAGGATGGCGGCGGCGGCGAGTGCGAACATCAGGCAGCATTCCGATGAGCCCGGTCACAGCGTCACGGCGAGCGTAGCGGTAGCGGGGACAGCGAGAGCAGCACGGCGGGCATGGCGGCGGCCGGCATGGGCGACAGCAGCACGGCGAGCATAGCGGAGGCCAGAGTAAGGATCAGCAGCTTGGTGGCGGCCTTAGCGGCGACGGTCGATGCGAGCCGGGCGACGGCATAGTTGGGGAAGCGCGCTGGAGCAGTAGCTGGCGATTTCGGAAATGAGGTTTGGGATTGAGCGCGCGGAAACGATCTTCTGGCACGGATCGCAGCGCGAGCGTGATTGGCCGCGAAATGGCTGGTCAATTACACGTCGCAAATTCAAACGATGGGGGCGCTGATTGGCGTAGATACCGGAGCGAACCCACGGGCGAAAATCTGCGTGCTGCGCGAACTCAAAGCGCAAGTTGGAAAAGCGCGCGAAAAGCTGTGTGTTGCGCGAAGCTTGGTGGCTGAAGCCAGGCTGATACCACTTCGTGTGACCTTTGGATTGAGCCAATGCTGATTGGCTTATTAGCTTCAACTTCAACCCTCGATAAGCACTCCGAATTATAGTAGTTCTCGATTTAGTGACTACCTAGTACGAGGACATTTCTTTTGCAGTTCTATAGTAACTTACTTTTGCAAGTTCTTCAAACGGTGCCTGAAAGTCGCTCGCCTCGCTACCTAGGCCAGTGTGGTGTCCTCACAAAACGCGGTACCCGTAGATATGAAATACCAACCAATGCGTGCACACGATTTCTATAGGTGAGCGCTAGCACCATTGATCTTGTCCGTCGAAAAAGCTCTGCTTCTGGGTGGTCAAAAGCTCACGAGACAGCAACTAATTCCTACGCCGCGCTAGCTAAGAACACGGATGGTTGATGACCCCCCCCCCCTCCTATATTTTACTGCATTTTACTACATATAGGAGCCCACACACCGCTTGACCTCCCGTGCCGCGCCACCGTGCTCCCGGCTGGGAGGCAGCGATGCACGGTGGTGCGGCACTGGTGGTTGGGCCGGCCAAGTCACCTCTGACACCTCCAAGCAGCCCCCAAAGCTCCCTGGAGCGCCATTGCCAACGGACGCGAATTACCCTCGACTTTCGCCATACCACCGATACCAGCCACCCTCGGACCGCAGAACGCACCTCACTGGGCGAGGCGGCGAGCCGCGGTGGCGGGGCACGGGAGGCCAAGCGGTGTGTGGGCTCCTATATGTAGTACAATGCAGTAAAATAAAGGAGGGGGGGGTCATCAACCATCCGTGTTCTTAGCTAGCGCGGCGTATTCCTCGCTGAAGTCACTGGCGTCTATTCGTATCAGTGTTGTCGAGGAACAGGAGGGAATTAGTGTGCTGTCTCGTGAGCTTTTGACCACCCAGAAGCAGAGCTTTTTCGACGGACAAGATCAATGGTGCTAGCGCTCACCTATAGAAATCGTGTGCACGCATTGGTTGGTATTTCATATCTACGGGTACCGCGTTTTGTGAGGACACCACACTGGCCTAGGTAGCGAGGCGAGCGACTTTCAGGCACCGTTTGAAGAACTTGCAAAAGTAAGTTACTATAGAACTGCAAAAGAAATGTCCTCGTACTAGGTAGTCACTAAATCGAGAACTACTATAATTCGGAGTGCTTATCGAGGGTTGAAGTTGAAGCTAATAAGCCAATCAGCATTGGCTCAATCCAAAGGTCACACGAAGTGGTATCAGCCTGGCTTCAGCCACCAAGCTTCGCGCAACACACAGCTTTTCGCGCGCTTTTCCAACTTGCGCTTTGAGTTCGCGCAGCACGCAGATTTTCGCCCGTGGGTTCGCTCCGGTATCTACGCCAATCAGCGCCCCCATCGTTTGAATTTGCGACGTGTAATTGACCAGCCATTTCGCGGCCAATCACGCTCGCGCTGCGATCCGTGCCAGAAGATCGTTTCCGCGCGCTCAATCCCAAACCTCATTTCCGAAATCGCCAGCTACTGCTCCAGCGCGCTTCCCCAACTATGCCGTCGCCCGGCTCGCATCGACCGTCGCCGCTAAGGCCGCCACCAAGCTGCTGATCCTTACTCTGGCCTCCGCTATGCTCGCCGTGCTGCTGTCGCCCATGCCGGCCGCCGCCATGCTCGTCGTGCTGCTGTCGCTGTGCCGGCCGCCGCCATGCCCGCCGTGCTGCTCTCGCTGTCCCCGCTACCGCTACGCTCGCCGTGACGCTGTGACCGGGCTCATCGGAATGCTGCCTGATGTTCGCACTCGCCGCTGAGATCGTCCAGGAGCGCAACTGGTCCGGCCAAGATGTCGATGTTAACTATCCCAGGTCAATGTTGACTTCTGTTATGTGTGTTCACACATGGTCGGTGATATGGTGTGGTCAACATCAGAAGCAGCGGAATCTTTGAGGTTCGACGACATCCGACGTGTGAAAAATGGAGTTCAAAGCCTGACAAATCGTTGACGACTACCGGGCGTATTGGGAGGACTGCCGCGCGTATATGCAGTACCCGCCTCGGCTCTTCGTGATCATGAGAGGCCCCCCGGGCAGTGGCAAGACAACGTTTGCTCAAGAGGTCGCTCGTTATGCAGCAACGGTTGATTTCCGCGCATCGATTTGCTCAGCTGACCTCTTCTTCCAGCGCAGAGGATCCTATGTGTTCGACGCAAGTCGGCTTTGGGAGGCGCATCGAAGCTGCTACGAACAATGCAGAGAACTCCTGTGGCGCAGCCCCGACCGTGGCGTGGGTATCGTTATCGTCGACAACTGCAACCTTCGGATGGATGATTTTGAGCGCTATCAGGATCTGCACATTCCCTCGGACATGCTTGCGGTTGCTGCGTTCGAATGCCCCCCTGGCATAGCGGAAGCAACACAGCTCTTGGAACGAGCTAATCGTGTTGGCCACGCTATCCCTGGTCGCACTTTCGTGGAGTACTTCCACATCTGGAGACACAACGCACCGGAGGAGCCGCGCCCCGACAACGAGGTGGACACCGTCGATGAGCTGCACATCGATAACGAGCTGACCACCGTCAATATGCCGCGCGCCTACATCATCACGCTGGAAGAGTTTATGCGTGATCGCTAACGTGCTCCGGCAATGCCGAAGAGGTGACTGGTAGCTTCAGTAAATCTCTAATTTGACGTATCCACTCTTGTGTTGGCGCTTATCTCACCACTTCTGCATCTTTTTGTAAAGACAACCATGTGCATCTACTCGTACATCTCTCATTGAGTCATCAGGTCGACTACGACTTGGAACGTGTCTACGCTGGCTTAGACACTTGTTACTGAAGCCAGCTCAACAACGACTTATACCAAGTCAACGTTGACTTACAGTCCTCTTGATCCTAAATCGAATTGGTCCATATCAATTTATTTCAACTGTAGGATTTGCGGTTTCACTTTCTCAAAGAACCTTGACTGCAGCAAAGTGCTGATGGCGATGCTGATGGCGAAGCGATCTCAGGCTGCAGAGAGCGAGGGAACTGCTGGAGGTGCTGCTCGCCAGGCGCCCATGACGAGGAGCAAGAAGGCTGCAAAGGCGACGGACAAGCCAGCGACAAAGCGGACGAGCGCGCCCACTGACAAGTCAGCAAACGCTGCCAAGACCACGCCTGCCACCGGCAATGCCAAGCAGAAGCGGAAGAAGGGGGAGGGGCCAGACACTTCGACAAGCCCCCGTAAGCAGAGGAAGACTGCCAAGAAGACTGGCGAAGGATCCAACGGGACGACGCGCGAGTTGGGCGCCGCGAGTGCATCGGAGGACGAGGCGACGACTCGCGATGAAGAGACGACTCCCCTGGTACCCAAACACGCGCTCCGGTCCACGTGCTTGGCTCTACAAACGAAGATCGCAGACGAAAAGGGCGAGCACCGGCAAGGCTCACGGCGCAAGGCAGGTGATTACTACAAGATGGCAGACTACCAGAAGCGTGTGTGGGCGGAGAAATACACAGCTGCTAGGAACAGCGACAACGACTTGGACTACGAGGCTTTGAGCAAGTTGACTCAATTCAAGGCGTTCAAAAACAACCCAGAAGAGCTCCAGCGTCACGAGCCTGCGCTGCTGAAAGAGTTCTACGAGGTTTACTTAGCGGACCAAGCCCTGAAAGCAGACGCACACGCGCAGACCGCTGGATCGGGTTCGTCGAAGTTATCGCAACGTGGCGGAGCCGAGCACCTGGCGATCGAGCAATGCGACATCCAGGCGGCTCAGCAGCTTACCGCAGCCAGAAACCAAGCATCGCTAGCGTCAGACCAAGCTCCAGGGCCTCCAATCTCGCAGACACCCGTGGCCGTGCAGGAGGAAGGTGCCCCAGCTCGGAGCCTGCAAACCCACCCTTTGCGAGGGGAGTATGCGAATTTTGAACTCTCTATTTCGCAAGCACTGCAGCAGTTCCGAGAGAAGCTAGAGGAGGAGCAAGCGCGCTCAAGGAAATTAGAGGAGCAGTTAGCAGCCGCTGAAAACGAGCTGACCGAACTCAGGAATTTTGATCTCCCAGACACCGATATAACTATCGCGTTAACGAAGGAGTGGCGGAATTCGATTTTACAACTAGCCGAGGAGAAGGCAATTTCAAGTGGCTTGCGCAACAAACTTGCCCATGTGGAAACTGAGTTGAATTTGCCGAAGCAATCCGTCACCAAGCACGCAGACAATCTACTTAAGGCGCAGGTTAGCCATGCTAAGAAACTCCAGGATGTGCACGAAGACATGAATAACCTCACGAGAGAGGTGGATGAGCGCAAGAAAAAACTGGAGGATCGGGAGAACGAAGTGGCTACGCGAGAGAAGAATATGGAGAACAAGGAGGAAGAACTACAAGTCAAAGCCGAGGGGCTGCAATCTCATGAGGCCAAGCTCAAAGAGGAGGGCCGCCGTCTCCAGAACGTAACGCATCGCCTGCAACGGGAGCGGGAGCAGTTGGACGCGGTTAAAAAGAAACGAGAGAAGCCGAGTCGAGAGAAGCAACAAGGAGGCCGAATATCGCTAAGGCAGGCGAAGATTTTGAATGAAATGAAGCGCCAGACCCGGCTCCTGGAAGAGCAATTCAAGAACAACGGGTGCCCAGCTGCGTTTAAAGAGCTCGAAGCCAACCGCAACCGGATCGAGGAAGAGAGGGCGGCGATGCAAGCAGAACGGGATGGAGTGAGAACGCAGTTGGAATCGATAAAGGCTGCGCTAGAGGCGGTGAAAACGGAGAACAGCGGATTGCAAGACACCATCGCGAGGCCAGAGCTGTACTTGAGTATGTTCAAGCATAGCGCGGTGACCGAGAAAGCTATCGAAGAGTTCACAGAATGGAACGCCGTCATCCGAGATGGTAAGCCGCTTGAGTTTCTACTTCAGTGTGGTTTGGCATTGTATTGACTTCCATTGTGTCTGGTCTGAAAAAAAGGTAGGTAACACGAGCACAATGCAGAAGAAGCGCGACTTCATTCTGGGCAAAATGAAGGAGGCGTTTGGATCGAAGACGGCGGACGCTGAAGAGTTCAAGGCGCTTGCGGTCGAGTTCTGGGAGAAAAGAAATGAGTTGGTCCACGACAAGACAGGTACCGTCATTCACTCGATGGACCACGGCAGATACGCGTGTGTATGCGCGAAGATTATGGAAGCATTGGCTGCGTTTGAGAGTGCCATCCTGCTGTAGTTGTGTTTGCTGCTGCGTAACGATGAATGAATACACCTTTCCAAGTCACCGATGACTTTGAGCGAGTCAACTGTGACTCGAATACGCTTGTTATATTGATCGCGAAGTCAACATGGACTTAAACCAAGTCGACATTGACTCAAATGTACTAGTAATAGCGAAGTCAACGTCGACTCTGAACGAATCTACATTGACTCGGTCGACAGCGACCCAACGTTGACTTACAAATCCAAAAAAATAAACTCGGTTTCAGTATGAACCCCCAAAGGGTCGTTTTACTTGAGTTTGTATAGACAGTATCCGAAGCGAAAAATGGCTGACTTTTCAGATGAAGAGGATCGACAACTCGTTCAGCTCGCGGCGGTGTACGAGCAAGCGGGAAGACGAATCGAGTGGGTGTCAGTGGAGAAAGACACGAGGCCGTCAACATGGAGCGCAACCAAACTGCAACAGCGAATCAAGACGCTCAAGAAACGATATGGCAATAACGTGCTGAGTTTCCCCCCACGCTATTTCCGCCCGCCACCAGACCGAGCAGGACTGCATTTGGAAGCCAAAGCCGCGTCTCCTCTACGGTTTTTGCCTTCACCACATACCATTTCGATCCTATCACCGCAAGAAACCTACAACGCCACTGAAGGACTATTCTGCCTACTCACCAGGCGTGATGTGCGCGCGAGTGAACGTCAGCTAAATACCGGGGAAATTACAATGGCTGGGGTGTCCATGCTGATCGAAGAAGCGAATATTCAAGTGAATGACGTGTTTCTGGATGCTGGATCCGGCGTGGGAAATGTTCTCGCTCAAATCGCTCTGCAAACGCAAGCATTTCGTGTGGTTGGTATTGAGATCCAACGTGACCTGGCCGCTAAAGGTATGGAGCTGATTGCGTCTAGGGCATCGCGCTTTCCACACTTGCTCAAGATCAGCGTCGTCACCGCAGACATCCGCAATATTGCTGAAGGCAGCGATACTGTTATCAATGCTGATGCAGACTCGAAGTTGGCTCAACCCAGCTCCCTTATCAGCTCCGCCACCCTTTTATTTTGCCACGACACTGTGTAGAGTGTGTCCGCGGCATCGTAATACGTGCCGAAATCCGTTTTGCAATCGGTGGAAGTTACTGAAAACAATTCAGTTTCCGATGACTTACAGCAGCTCCCTTCGGGATTTACACCTGTACGCAGCTGAACCAAGATGGTCGATGCAGTAACTACGATCACTACTCTAACATTGCCGCCGAGAGTCAAACCAACAACTATGTATTAATTGCATGAAAATCAATCACAACTCTAATCAACTTCGACCTGCAGTTGAGTTTGACAGCGTAATGAAGCCACTGTCGCCCCATGAGCTGTCATACGAGGTCTAGAGAACCCAATACAAGATGAAGTGTTCGTAGCGGACGAGCTTACTCGAGTCGACGTACGGCATCGTGGGCTCCGTAACCAGACCCCAGCTGACCATGAAGACTCCATGCTTCAAGCCGCCGTTGTATCTGTCGTTCTTGGAGTCTTGCCACACCCCGCTGTCCCTGTCGTGCTCTTGGCGTCCTCCCTACCGCTTGTTTCCACCGTCGTGCCTTCGGCATCGCGCTTGGACATTCGCTGTGGAGTCGACTCGCGTTAGGGTGAAGTGTCAGCATCCGCATGGTTTCAGCGGTGGGGGCACGTAGCTTAGGTGGGCGCAGATGCACAAGATCGCCTCCTTGCTTAACTCCTGACGGGAGTAGCCGGTGAACAGCTCGTTCTGAATGTAATACGCCTGTCGACAACAACACCACCAGCATGAGCCCCTAGATATGAACGCCAAAGCTGCCAAGACCCGGCCTTACCTGGTGGGGGTTGAAGATGGTGTCCAGCTCGCACACCTACCGAGTCCACAACATCTCTCAGCGTCAGCCTTGCTTCTACTAAAGCTCCAGTAGCCCTGACGCCTCACGTACATTGCCGAAGTAGCGGTCGGGCTCCTCCACGAACAGGAGCGTCCAGGTCTCGATCGAAAAAACTCGGTCTTCGCAGTGGCACCGGCAGAGCCGTACTCGTAGCTCCTCGACCAGCGTACCTCACGTGTGTGAAGGCATCTATAGAAGCACAAATCCGAATGTTCTGCAAAAAAGCTGCATTTATTCAAATGCTAATCTCAACATACTGAGGAATAGCTGCCTTAAAGCTCCTAATTACAGTGCTTTCGGGGATGGCATCCCAAGCAGCAATCGTAGCGCGAACGGCACGGAGCCGCTTTTCTTTAGCACTGCCACCCGTGATGCCAGACCAGTTCGAGCGCAACTTTGCCTTTAGTGGCCCCATTACACCGACATTCAGCGGCTGGCAAACAGCCGTGCTGTTTGCGGGTAGAGGGACCACAGTAGCATTAGCAACTTCGGCAACGACCCGCTGCACCCATGACACTCAAAGTTGTCAAGAAGGAGGACAGCGGGTCCATCAACGTCGTATTTTAACAACTTTTCTACGTAAAAATGCCACGTAACAGCGTCCATCCAAGCGTTCTCTTGGACGGTGTAGAAGTGTCCTTCCGGATACTCTTCGAACTCGCTTGTGTCGATTCGACCGCCCAGCTTGCCACGCAGAACAAACAGAATCGGCAGCTTTTTCCCTAAAAATAGTATAACAAATACAAATTAGCCTTAAAAATAAAAATTAAGAGAACAACACAAAGGAAAACTTACCATCAGCTCGAATCGTGAGCACAGCCGTCATGCGGCCGGTGTGCTTGGACGTGTTCGCAACCCTCGCAGCGTCCCGCCGACCTCTACCCGCCCACATCCGAGCCGGAGGCATGTCAAAATGGATGGCAGTCTCGTCCACGTTGTACATGCCCTCCGGCCCGTACGCGGCGTGCGTCTTCCAGAAGTCCAGCGCGAACTCGGCGCGCGTTTGCTCTAACTCCTCGGTGCTTTTCTTTGCCGTTTGTGGCTTCTGGGAGGTAAAACCATGCCTAAAACACGCAAATAAAGGTAAATGTTAGGAAACTGATGGAGTTTTAGCAAAAACAAAATTATTTACCGAATTGCGAGTCTCTCGACCATGCGCTCAAGCGCCAGGATGCCGCTTCGCTTCCTTTGCAGGTAGTCCTCGACTCACTCGCTCTCGATTGCCCAGAATGCCACGTGTAGTGAGGGCCTGAACATTATAGCATAAAGTTTAACGGTTAAACGCTACAAATTATGAGATTCTAAAAAAAACAAACTTACCTTCTCTTCGCGCCGCACGTCCTCATGAAGGTGACGACCGCAAGAATGTCGGGAAATACTTCCCTGTGGCCCTGGCCCTTCAGGGACTTAGCGGTGGAGTGGCCAGTGAAGCTAAAAAGCTTTTCAGCTTGCTTCCACCAGCTATGGACAGTGCCCCGAGCAAGTTGGAGCTCGCGGGCTGCCTCCTCCACCCCTACATCTTCGACGAGGCGGGCCGCTTCGCGCTTCTCGCGGACGGTGTAGCTCTTCTGCTTCTTCTTGGGCGGCGGCGTGTCCTCCATGGCTCGAAAAACAGTTTGAGCGGCTCAGTCGACCAGCTCCAAATTAGGCAATGGCACACGGGGATTTACCAGAGCCATTCAAAAATTAAATCGCGGTGATTGGCTTATTTTTATGAATAAAATAAATTTGATTGGACAAAATCATCGCTTGTTTTGTATGGACATGTCTATGGAATGCCGGGTTTTGCGTTGCCGGATTTTTCCGTCGTTGTCTGTACGGGCCCTGGTACTAACTTTTATGAGGTCCTACGTAGGAGCAAAAGTCCTACGTAGGAACCCCAAATCGGAGGGCGTTTTGTCAGAATACCCCCAACCGCCAGTGATGGTCCTTTTTGAAGCCAGGTGACGACTCCGCTTGGCCGACGGCGACTGGCTTCGCCAGACCCCCACTCACGCGCGACGTGGTGAGTGCTGCAATGCGCCGAGGCACCCGGCTGTCCGACGGGGAGCGCTGCTGTTGAGCATTGGTGCTCGGCTCAGCCTAACCTCGAGCGCGAGGGCGTCCACGTGATGTTGCCCCCACGTTCTGTCTGTTTGACGTTGCCTTTGGCGCCAGCTGTCCACGCTTCCCTTGATCGTCCGAAACACGCCTACAACCCCGCGAAGCGTCGAAGCACCACCTGCCAGAACTAATTCCCCCGCCACATCCGGTGCATGACGCACAGCGCGTCGGCTTCTGCGACTTTTCGCATGGCCCCGCAGCAACCGCAAGAACGTGCCGCGGCAACTTCGAGCTCGCGAGTTCTCTCATTCTCCAATTGACGCCGTCGGCCGCAGGTCTTCTCGGGCGTCTACGCACTTCTACTACTACATACACTCCCACCTGGACGCGATGGCGAGTCGCTGCGCGCGCAAGAGCTCGAGTCTGCGGGCCGCCAAGCGCTGGCTCGCGGACGAGATGGAGATCATGGAGGCGCTGGCCGCCACGCGCCGCGTGCGCCCCATCGACACACAGGCCAGCAAGCAGAAGCTGCGCATGCTCAGCGAGTTCTTCCCCACCGTGGCCGTGGACGTGCGCCGCGACGTGCTGGTGGCCGCCAACTACCGCGAGGACGTGGCGGCGGCCATGCTGGGCGACCTGGCGCAGGAGCCGCCGTCCGCCGCCGCCGCTGCTGCTGCGCGCTCGCAGGACTCCCCCGAGCTGCTGTTCGTGGACTTGCACGCGGACGACGACGACGCCTCGGAGCTCGCGGACGAGGAGGACTGGAGCGAGGTCGCGGCCGCCAGCAACGGCACCGACGCGTGGGTCGTGATCCAGGACGACTGGGAGGTCGTGGACAAGGACGGAGAGAAGGTGCGCACCTTCGCCGACGTCCTGCAGACAGCTCCCGCTCCGGCGTCGCCGCTGCCAGCGACGGTCACTACAAAGCAGCCGGCGCTGCTGTCGCGTCTCTCCATTGTGGAGCGCGCCCCTGTACCCAGCCGCACGTTGAAGACGGCGGAGAGCGACCGGGCGCTGCCGGTCTACGAGCTGGAGCGTGGCGTCAAGTCATTCGGCGCGCGGAAGCGCCACCTGCTCAAGCACCGTCGGTAGATGCATCGGCGGCGATGAGTTAAAGTCTCGCCGCGCCGGGGCGACAACGGTAAATTGCCCCGGAGTATTTTTATTATTTTGGAGTCGGCGCTCCAGGTGACTAAAAGGCCAGCGACCGCGATTGAACTAGCAACAACCAGCATCGAACAGCAACCACAGCCACGGGCGGTGCAGACGGCCTCGCCGCCACCTCCATCGAAGCAGTACCATAAACTACCATAAAGAAATCACCCGAAATGGAAAGGCACATTGTTTTTGGACACCACCATGCAATTGCAGTACAGTATTGGCCCTAAGCTTTCCTGCACGTGGAGAGCAGTCGAGTCGAAGTTGCCATTTGATCATGCCCACTTCACTGCAACGGGACGATGGCGCAGCATTGAAAGGAGCTCGCAATCGCATCGCATCAACACGGTCCAAAATGACTTCCTGATAGTCCTTGAGCGTCCGCGTTCTATGCTCGAGTCCCACTGTTTTCAGTTTTGACTCGAAAGACGTATGGGACCTTGAAATGGTCAGCGTAATCGGGGCTTCCCGGTAACACGTCGTTACATCATCAGCTCATCTTCCCCTCCATCACAACTCCGATCATTATAAATACCTGAGCCGCAGGGAGGGGTCTTCACTGCGACACAACTCCCCTGCTCCTCGCCTCGCCGCCATGTTCAAGGTCTACGCGGAGCGGACGGAGCTGCTGCTGGAGGACTGCCGCGCGGGCGCCGGCCCGTGGCTGCGACTCACCGCGAACGCGACCTCGGGCGGCGTGGACATCGAGCCGCTGGCGGCCGGCGGCGGCGCCGCGCAGCCCAGCGAGGACGCGGCCACGGTGCCCATCCACGCGGTGTACGGCGTGTACACGCTGCTGAGCGGGCCGTACCTGGCGGTGGTCACGGACTCGCGCGTGGTGGGCTCGGGCCCGAACAGCGAGAAGATCTACTGCATCCTGGAGCTGACGCTGCTGCCCGTGAGCGCCGCGGCGCACCAGAGCTTCTTCAAGCACGCGAGCGCCAGGGAGAAGCAGGACGAGCGCGAGTACTGCCGCATGCTCACGTCGGCGCTGGCCTCGCGCACCTTCTACTTCAGCTACGACCTGGACCTGACGCTCTCGGCCCAGAAGCGCGCGTCCGCGTCCTCGTCGGCGGCGGCGCAGCGCCAGTCGCCGCTGTACGCACGCGCGGAGGAGGACTTCTTCTGGAACAAGCCCGTGCTGGGGCGCTTCATTGAGCTGGAGCTCAGCGACTGGATCGTGCCCGTCATCTCGGGCTTCGTCAAGGTCATCAAGAAGTGCGACGTCAACGGCCAGCGCTGCGATATTTTATTCTTCACGAGGCGCAGCTGGCGACGCGTGGGCACGCGCTTCAACGTGCGGGGTGTCGACAAGGACGGCAGCGTCGCCAACTTCGCCGAGACCGAGATGCTGCTGGTCAAGCCGTCCAGGGCCGTGTGCTCGTACGTGCAGGTGCGCGGCAGCATCCCGCTGTACTGGGATCAGATGGTCACGTTGAAGTACATGCCACGCACGCGCTACGCCTTCTCGGGCCACGAGAGCGTCGTGGACTGGAACGAGTTGGCCTTCCGCGCACATATGGACAACCTCATCCAGCGCTACGGACACATCACGTGCGTGAACCTCATCGACAAGGCCGGCAAGAGCGCGACGGTGCGCGACCAGGCGCAGCTCGGCTCGGCATTCGGCAAGTATGTCAAGAAGTACAACCAGCTGTCCAAGTCGGGCGACGGAACGAGCTCGGTCGGGTCCGCGGCGGCGCCGTCGATGCCCGCCTCTCCTGCGCTCCACGCCTTGTCACCTCGCCAGCACAAGAGCTTGTCGATCTCTCTGCCCTCCGCCCCCGCGTCCAACGGGAGTAACGGGTATGGCCCCTCGAGTGGGAGTGGCTCAGGTGCAGGATCACCCACTAGTGCGTCGGGAGTCAGCAGTGAAAAGGGATCCGGGTCATCAGGTACTCCGGTGCTGCAGTCGTCTGTTTCCATGCCTGTACGAGAGCAGCCGCCGCTTCAAGTGGCGATCCCGTCGGCGCCCACCTCAATCTCGCAGCTCTTTGCGGAACCCGTGGCGTACGTATGGTTCGACTTCCACCACGAGTGCCGCAAAATGGCGTGGCAAAACCTGTCCAAGCTGATGACGGAGATGGAGGAGCAGTTTACGCAGTATGGCTGGTTCGAGTGCGACGGCGAAGGACGACTGCTCTCTCGCCAGCGTGGCGTCTTCCGTGTAAATTGCATGGACAACTTGGACCGCACCAACGTCGTGATGAGTCTCTTTGCGCGACGCACGGTACTTATGGCGCTGCAGCTCTACCCCTTCAACACGGCTGGGAACGACAAGGGCAATAGTGTCCTGGACTCGCCGTACGACAGCTTCGAGGTCGTGTTCAAGAACGCATGGGCCGACAACGCCGACTACGTGAGCAGGATGTATGCTGGCACGGGCGCGTTGAAGACAGACTTCACGCGCACAGGACGACGGACAATTGCAGGTGCTCTGCAGGACGGCGTGAACTCTGTCACTCGTTATTACCTCAACAATTTTTCGGACGGTATTCGCCAGGACTCTTTCGATCTGCTTGTTGGCAACTTCACACCGGACAAGCGGGACGAGTCGCCGTTTACTTTCCAGCAGCAGCACAGCCTTCTGAACATGATGCTGGAGGCCACACTTGCTACGCTTGCAGTCGTCAGCGTGTCCCTCAGTATGCGTCCGGATCTGCCTGTGGCCGCACGCGTGCGCGACGGGCTCATTGCAACGTTCGTGCTCTTCGGAGTAACTGGCTACCTCATCATCAAAAAGGGGAAGTTCCGTTCCATTGGGCGCCGATACGTCTGCAAGCCGGCATTCAGCTCCAGCGGCTACATTCGCCGGAAAATGGTGTAGAAAGTGTATTGACGAAGATGAATTACAGCATAAAGAAGCAAACAAGAAATTATGACTTTGGCTCTAGAATGGCCACCCGTTCGTGAGCAGCTCCTCAAAGGTGCCGTTCAGCAGAGGCATATCGGCGTAGCCTGCGAGGCCGGTCCTCGCCACCTCCGGCAGCTGCTCCCAAGTGATGAGGTCCTGGTACCCGCCGGTCTTCTTCGTCGCGGTTAGCTTCGCTTTCGTCGTCCAAAAGTTGTAAGTGAACTTGCACTCGAAGCTCGTACCATCGATGTAGTCGGCGTCTACAGGGGCGTGCTTCTCCGTGTCGTCGTCTGTCTTAAGCGTTGCTCCAACAACCTCCGGTGCCCCGACACCCGGGCCGCCGACCCAGATGATCGCGTACATCCATAGGCTGCGGGGGCCCCCGCCATTGTTTGAGTTCTTGGGGAAATACCACGCGTACACAGTGGCCCACACGTCGCTGTGCCACGCAGAGCGAGCGTAGATCTGCGCGCCCAAGTCGGAACCTCCGCAGTTGTTTCGGATATGAAGTTCGGAATTCAGGCCACCGCTGATGTAGCCATGCGCGTCGACTGCGGCGTACGGGTGGCACGTGTTGGAGAGTTTTAGCTGCGGTTTGAACTTGACTGCGGCCTTCTCTGAAGTCGTGACAGGTTCGGGTTGAGCGGCTGCACCTGCCCAGGCTCGAGAGCGCTTTGGACTTGAGTCATGGCGAATAAGCTGACGATAGCAGCAGACAGCACGTGAAGCTTCATCGGACTTCGATCGATCGCTTGCCCTGAACTGGTCGACAAGTGCGCCCCGAAAGGAACTTAAGAAGTGGCGCGTGAAAACACACACCGACCTTGAAACTTTTTGACTATCCACGATACCTGGCATTCAATCATATTCACCAAGCAAAACAAAGAAGATAACTTTCAAACGGGTGCCACTCATGGAATTCTGAACAACCGAAATCCTTGCACCTACATACACAGGATGGGGTAAGGCGCGGTTGCACCTAAAACTTGATATCTATCAGATCGCGTATGACACGAGGAAGCGTGAAGGTATGGGTGCAAGAGTGCTCGGCGAGCAAGATGGCCACTACTCAATCCACCAAGTAACCACCACTACTTACCCATGGCTCCTCGCTTCGTGACCATGCTACTGTTCGCTGTGTATTTTACCACCACAGCGGCTGAAGTGGTTCGCCTGTTCGGGGACACGAACTTCGGACTTGGCTCTGGCAGCTGGTTGTTCGAGTTCAGCATGGCTCAGTTCTGCGTCAACACGGTGGCCTTCGATGACAAGGCCTCATCGGCGCAGTGGGGAGATCTGCCGCAGACCGGAAGCTTCCCCAACAACCAAGCCTTCATCGCCTTCTACACGGAGCAGAACTGCACCGGCACCGTTCGGACCTGGCCGACGACGGCAAGGAATTCCCAACGATCTTTGCGCTGAATGGCATCGACAACCAAATCTTGTCCTTCATGGTCTGGAAGACAAGCGACAAGGTCGGAGGCGTCGCGGCTGACCCCAGGAATCGTCACCCGCGGCTCTAACTTAGAGCCGCGGGTGACTACCGCCTCTAACAGAAACATCCCATCCCTCTGATTCCCAGTATTATTGATTTACTGTAAGTTGTGGCGGAGGTCCATCGAGACGCCTATCATTGCAAATCAATGCATTCAGAAATGTCTTCGGTCGGGGCGGCGCCGACCGTCGCCGCTAACCACAGCGCGTCGCTGGGGGCGACCAAGCTCATGTATGCGCTCACGAATGCCGGGTCGTCCTCAATATCTAGCTTCCTCACTGTGTACTACCAGCACACCGCGGGGTTCTCCAAGGTGCAGATCGGGGTTCTGCAGACGCTGCCCAACTTCTCGTCCGTCGTTGCCCCGCCCGTGTGGGGCGCAGTGGCCGACTACATCCGAGACCAACGACGTATCCACGTGCTGTGCATCGTCACGGGGACTCTGTTCTACTTCGGAATCCAATTCTTTTCCTGGTCGTTCGGCTGGACGCTGTTCATGGTGGTGATGGCGCGCTTCCAGAGGTGTCCGTCAGGGTCCCTACTGGACCACGCAGTGCTTGACGTGCTGGAGAAAGTTGGAGGGGAGTACGGCAAGCAGAGACTCTTTGGCGCAGTTGGTTGGGGGCTCGGGGCGTACGTCACGGGGCTGATGGTGGCGACGGGCGGCATCTACTGGTCCTTCTGGACACAGCTCGTCTTGTGGTATGCGTCGCTAGCCGTCCTACAGCGGATCCCTCCTGTCAAATACGGCGATGTTAACAGTGGAAGGCATATTGCACTAGAGGGGACGTCGTTCGTGGAGAGTGCGAAACTTCTGGCCAAAGAGCTGGATGTGTTGATGCTGCTTGGAGTGGTGTTCGTCATGGGGCTCATGTACGGTGTCATCGCCAGTTTCCTCACCCTGAACCTGTACAACCTGTCGGGCGGGGACCCTCGGATCGTGGGGATTGCAATCATGTGCCAAACCTCGTCGGAGCTGCCCGCTTTCTTCTTTGCGGACAGAATTATCAAGAAGATCGGAACGGTGAAAGTGTTCTTGGTCTCCATTCTAGGGTACGCTGTTCGCATTGCGTACTACGCCTCGATGACCAACGCGTGGGGCGCGATTCCGTTCGAGTTCTTGCATGGCGTCACGTTCGGATTGGCTTGGGCGGCGTGCACGCAGTACATTTATTCGGCGTCTCCGCGCGGGTGCGCCAGTACCGTCATGGGGGTCTTGAACGCGGTGCAGAACGGACTCGCGCGTGCAATGGGGACGCTGGTGGGTGGCTACTTCTACGAGCGCTACGGGCCGCGAACGATGTGGTTGGTGGCAGGGCTCGGCGTGCCTCTCTCGCTCATTGGTCTGGCGTTCTTCCGGCGCTTCAAGGGGATCAGCAACGTCGTTATTCAGGAAACGATGCTGCTGGAGGAAGCGGAGATCTTCACCCCGCACGGCGCCAACCCGCAACCGATGAGGTCGGACGGCTATGGCTCATGCGGTGAGTCTTCGTGATGGTAGTGCAAGCGACAGCGTCGAGTCGACATGGCATGGCAGAGCTGGTGGAGTTCAACATGCACCATCGAATCGATCACGCGAGCAGAGTTCGTAGCACTTCGACACATGTGCTTTTCTGACATCCCTCCTCTTTTGCACTGCACTCTCTCCGTTAGGCTATTCTAATTGGAAGGGGTGTCACGTAAACCATCTGAGCCGAGGCAGTTTCGGATGTGCATCTGCACGGGACCAACTTCATCCACGCAATCGCGGGCAGGCAGTGTGATACGGTAATGGTAGCTAGGCTAGGCTAGCTCGCTACAGGCGACCTCGACATGCCATCTCTCGTTTTGCTGGCACTCACTTGAGCGCTTCCCCCCCCCCCCCCTGTGACGAATCGATCGAAACGAATGACGGGATCTCCACCGAGCAAGCCGTCGCCTGCGTGGCACCACAGCCTGCTGTGGGAGACCAAGATCATGTACGCGCTGTCGTCGGCGGGAGGCTCCGCCATGTTCAACTTCCTGACGGTCTACTACCAGCACACCGCGGGCTTCTCCAAGGTGCAGATCGGCGTGCTGCAGACGCTCCCGAACTTGGCCTCGATGGTGGCGCCGCCGTTCTGGGGCGCGGTGGCCGACCGCATCCGCGACCAGAGGCTGGTGCACATCTTCTGCATCGTGAGCGGCTCGGTGCTTTGGTTCGGGCTGCAGTTCTTCGCCTGGTCGTTCGAGTGGACCATCCTGATGGTCATGCTGGCCCAGTTCCAGCGCAGTCCTGCCGCCTCGCTGCTCGACCACGCCGTGCTCAACATGCTGGGCAAGGTTGGAGGCGAGTACGGGAAGCAGCGGCTATTCGGCGCCGTGGGCTTTGGCATCGGCGCCTACGTGACGGGGCTGGCGGTCGCAGTCGGCGGCATCTACTGGTCCTTTGGTATGAGCTTCATGTTCTGCATGTCGTCGCTCTTGGTGCTGCGCTTGATCCCTCCCGTGCGGTACGGCGAGGAAGGCTATACGGCGCTGGAATCGGGCGAAGCGACGGAGAGCGCGGAGCCAGAGGCCCCCGCGTCCTTCATGGAGAACCTCCGCCTGGTCGTGAGCGAGATCGACGTGCTGGTGCTGCTCGTCGTCGTCTTCTTGATGGGGCTCATGTACGGCGTGCTGTCGAGCTTCCTCACGCTCAACCTGTACAACCTCTCGGGCGGCGACGCCAAGATCGTAGGCGTCGCCATCATGTGCGAGACGGCGTCCGAGCTGCCGGCCTTCTTCTTCTCGCACAAGATCATCAAGAAGATTGGCACGGTGAACGTGCTGCTGGTGTCCGTCGCCGGGTACGCGCTACGCATTTCCTACTACGCGGTCATGACGGACCCATGGAGCGCCATCCCGTTCGAGTTCCTGCATGGCATCACCTTCGGGCTGGCGTGGGCGGCCGTCACGCAGTACATCTACTCGGCCACGCCCAAGGGCTGCGAGGGCACCGTCATGGGCATACTCAACGCCATCCAGAACGGGCTAGCACGCGCCACAGGCACGCTCGTGGGCGGCTACTTCTACGAGAACTACGGCCCGCGCGTCATGTGGCTGGCGACGGACTTGGGCGTGCCGCTCTCGCTCGTTGGCATCGCAGTCTTCGCCTACTTCAAGTCCGCCAACGAATCCATCCACGAGGACGTCCCAGAGGAGGCCGAGCTGTTCTCCCCGCACGCCGCAGACCCGCAGGCTCTGAAGGGCGAAGGCCAGCTACTGTACGACGAGATTGAGTAAAACCTTATCACTCCCCCTTCAACCACGCATGCTTTGAAACAGTTGACTCCTTTGATTCGCGTGTTCCATGGATGGTCCCACCTCAAGACATCCCTCCTCGTACACCTGTGCTGAGTATACTCCGTAGCGTGGTGACAGAAGGTGTGGCACCTGCTCCAATCAAAGGCTGCTGGAAGCACGCAAAAGTTGTCAACCACGTGATCCTTTGCAGTCTTCCAGCAGAGCCTCCGACCCCTCGCATCGATCATGGCGACGTCGACGTCCCCAGCGTCAAAGGCTCCGACCGGCGGCCACCGCCTGCTGTGGGAGCCCAAGCTCATGTACGCGCTCAACTCGGCGTGGGGCTCCACGACCGCCAACTACCTGCCCGTGTACTACCAGCACACCGCGGGCTTCTCCAAGATGCAGATCGGGCTGCTGCAGACGCTGCCCAGCATCGCGGCCATCTTGGGCCCGCCCTTCTGGGGCGGCGTGGCCGACCGCGTCCGCAACCAGCGACTCGTGCACGTGTTCTGCATCGTCAGCGGCACGCTGCTGCAGTTCTCGACCCGGTACTTCTACTGGTCGCTCGGGTGGACGGTCTTCATGGTGCTCATCAGCCAGATCCAGAGCTGCCCCGCCGGCTCCTTGCTGGACCACACGGTGCTCGACCTTCTGGCGAAGGAAGGGGGCGAGTACGGCAGACAGAGGCTCTTCGGAGCGGTGGGGTGGGGCATCGGAACATACCTGACTGGAGTCGTAGTGGCGCTCGGAGGGATCTTCTGGTCCTTCGACTTGTGCCTCATTACGGGCTTCTCGACGCTGCTGGTGCTGCGCCTGATCCCTCCGGTCAAGTACGGCGAGGAGTATACAGCACTGGAGACTAGAGACGAACAAGGAGAGGGAGGTGTTGAAGTCGCGCCGTCGTTTATGGAGACAGCTCGACTGATTTCCAAGAAGTTGGATGTTGTGGCGCTGCTTGTCGTGGTCTTCATCATGGGCAACATGCATGGCGTCTTCTCCAGCTTCCTCCAGCTGAACCTGTACAACCTCGCCGGCGACGACGCGCATATTATTGGCGTGGCGATCATGTGCGAAACCTCGTCGGAGCTGCCTGCCTTCTTCTTCGCTGACAAAATCATCAAGAAAATCGGCACGGTCAATGTGCTCTTGGTGTCGCTCGTGGGTTACACGCTGCGTATCGGCTACTACGCGCTCATGACAAATGCATGGGGAGCGATCCCGTTCGAGTTCCTGCACGGCATCACGTTTGGTCTAACATGGGCCGTCTGCACGGAGTACGTGTTCTCAGCTGCCCCCCGCGGCTGTGAAGGAACTGTCATGGGTGTGCTGAGCGCTGTTCAAAACGGCCTTGCGCGCGCGTCAGGCACGCTCATTGGTGGGTACTTTTACGAGAACTATGGCGCCCGCGTGATGTGGATTGCGACAGGATTTGGAATTCCGCTGTCGCTGCTCAGCGTTGCACTGTTTGCATACCTAAAAGAGGACAAGGAGGTTGTCGTGGAAGAGGAGGAGGAATTACTCCTAGAGCGTGCTGCACTCTTTTCTCCGCATCGAGGAGACCCACAGGGACTTAAGTCTCCCTTGCACCAACAGGGACTCAAGTCTTCTGTTCATCTCACTTACGATTCCGTGCAGTAAGGTAAAGGAAGTGGGCCCCACGAGAATATATGGATGTAATGATGCACGTGAAACTTTTCGTTCGAATGAAATGCTCTACTACACATGATACCAGCATGGGCACTGGATTTACTAAAAGGCAACAACATACCGTGAACTATGTTCCCGAAACACCTTTTCGATACGAATCGAGCCTTGGTGACCAGAGTTTACCAGCCTTGATCAAGGAAGGATTCAAATACCCCGTCCTTTAACCTATGTAATTTCAAGATCGGCGTTGCCACTCCAGAAACTGAACTTGTGCAGGACTTTGACGCTCGTCCCATCGACGTATTTCTCTTCGAGTGGGACGTACTTCATCAAGCACTTGTTTGTAGACACTGTCGCGCCCAGAATTGCTGGGCTTTCAAGAGCGGGGTTGTCGATCCAGACGATAACAAACTTCCAGTCGTGGGTGAAATCCCACCCCTTGTCGGACCCTTTAGGGAAATACCACGCGTACATGATGGCCCAGACGTCATCGTGCCATGTCGAACGCGCGTACACTTGAGAGCCCAACTCGGAACCTCCACAGCCGCTCATGCTCCAGGAGCTAGAAGACTTCATACCAGAACTGGTGTAGCCGTTTGAGGACACAACGGCGTATGGATGACATGCGCCGGAGATCTTGAGTTAAGGCTTGAACTTGACGGCAGCCTTATCAGAAGTCGTGACGGGCTCTGGCTGGTCAATGGGCTTTACCTTGTCCGCATCGAAGGTGTTCCCTGCGACGTGAACTGCCCAAAGCAACAGGAGAGTGGCGATGCGTATGATTTGAGTGCTCATCGAGCGCTGAGACTGGAAGTTGATAACTGAGGTCAACGGCGCGGAACGACGCAGTGTCTAGTAGATACAAATTTATCCACAGATGGAGACGCGTGTTCAAATCCACTGCGACCCCAAGCAATAACCCGCGCGAAATCAAAACCCAACCTGATGGATAACTTGACTGCTACAACATATTTGTGTACATACGTGCACTGTACTTCACATGTCTGTACATCACCTGCGTGAAGACGTTGAAGTGCGCCGGGATTACTGTGCATGAGTCCACTCCGATTTGCAGCCTTTTCTTCCTGTTACGACCGCATAATACATGTAGATGGAGTGACTGTATCAGCCGAACGTATGCCTTGGGATCGCGTTCTGGTTTCGAGATTCAAACAGGCTCTCTCATCATTGATGGCACTCCGAGCGCCCATTTGCTTCGTTCATTTCTCAATTTTCTCGATCACAGTAAATCCGGGAGATCAATGGCGGTTCGTGTCCTCCTCCTCGCTGTTATAGCGATACTCCTCCCTACGCCGGCCCAGAGTGCAAGTCTCGAGCCCGACAAGGTCAAACCGTTCGCCGAACCGGAACTCGTCACGATCTCCGACTAGGTCGTCGTCAAGTTCAAGCCGCAGCTCAAACTCTCCGGAACATGCCACCCGTACCCGGCAGTTGACACGAACGGAGATATCAATGCTGGCATGAAACCTTCCTGGGGCATCTTCGACAGGTGCGACGGATCCGACTTGGGGTCGCAAGTTTACGCTCGCTCCGCTTGATACAACAATATTTGGGCCATCATGTACGTTTGGTACTTCCCAAAAGGCTTCAGCTATGGTATGGGCCATTCCAATGTGTGGGAGTACGCCATCATCTGGATCGACAACCCGGACCTGGAAAGCCCCACGATCAAGAGTGTGACCCTGCAATCGGATGAAGATACAACAGAGAAGCACGCCCCCGTGGACTCCAAATACATTGACGGCACCAGCTTCCGAGTCAACTTCGCTTACGGCGACAACGAAACAGGGAGGCTACCAGGATCTGATTACCTGGGAGCAACTCCCAGAAGAGGCGAGGACAGCTCTGAACAGCACTTTCGACTTTTCACCACTGTCCGATAGATATTTTACCAGGATCTTGGCGGATGGGTGGCCTCTGTAGGCATTACGTTCTTTCAACACGCATCACTCGTTCAGATAATCCATTCTTGTCTTCCTATCGAAGATTCCGTCTTAATCTGCACTCGGTCGTTGCTTCCGGCTCATTTTCCAGCTCAACGAGCTGCTCGTGTTCTTGCGCAAGTACGAGCGGCTGAACCACATCCGTAAAGCCGCTCCGCGTCTTGATGATCTTCCCCATGAGCACAATCCCGTGCTTCAGGTAGAACGGGGGAAGCACTAGCAGCTGACTGTTGACCATCTTTTCCAGGGCCCAACACCTTCGTACCAAACTACACGCACGGAGAGGAATATCCACCATCTTCTCGATTGGAAGGCGATCTTCGCCGTTGTCAGAAGTGTATGTTGCTCCCCTGGAGGATTGAGTCGACTCCTCTCTCGTCGGACTTGCAGGAGGCGACGCGGGGCGCATTAGAATACCGGCACTGCTGCTTGTCAGATCACTACCAATGTGAGATTTCCTCGTCGTGATCGGCTGAACCACGGAGACAGGAGCACCGACAGACTGAACCAAGCTACGAGATGGCAGTCCTTTACCGATAATGAACCGTGAAACCACAACAACACCAACGAGAAGCACGCTGATCCAAATCATGGCAACTAGCGGGCGATAAATTTCGACACCGGTAAATGCTAGCTCATTCTCAAACGTGTTGCCAACCGCAGTGATATTCTCAAAGGAGGTTCGATCGAGTTGACGTTTCCGCTCATAATGCCGCTGAGCACCGCGCAGACCCAAAGAAATACTTGCAATAGCGACCGTTGCACCAATGCTCATGATTTCAATTGGGATCACGCATGTCCCTCGGACGAACGCCAGTGCGCGTTTTTCGTCATAGGCGACGACCATATCCCAGGTGAAGTTGACAAACAAGACCACTAGATCGAAACACCGAATCAACGTCAAAAATACGTGTATGCTGCCGCTGCCAAGTTTGCCGTCACTCCACAAAATCAGGCTAGGAAGCACAAGCGTCCACGAGAGAAGCCTGGAAATAATTGTGAGCAATGCCACGGGAGTGCTTCGAATCAATCCAGCCTGGAGTACTCGGACGAAATCTTCAATCCCAAACCCCATTTTGCTTGTCCGTGCCGTGGATGTTTGGTACTCGGAGACTATCAGTGGTTTCCACAAGGGCCATAGTATTAGTCGAGCAATCTCCACAACACTACAAATATTCAGCATCAGTAAAGCTACGTCAGCCAGTATCATCAAGACATACAACGGGCCTGATGCCGAGTAGTTGAGCAACGACGCGTGTTCAAGCATTTGGCCACCACCAGTGTCTGCACCCCGCACTGTGAATACGCTGCGGCGATTCTCACGAATGCGGAACGTCATGCCCATGACCCGGATAGTCTCCGAGGTTAGCCACCCCTTGTCTCGCTGAAACTGCGCGAAGCTAGTAGTATCGCCTCCGATGAACACACTCCGATAGAAACTGGGACTTCCACACCCGTACGTGGTAGCAGAATAATTTCCGGGTCCTCTAAGCACGAATGCCTCCACGCACACAATGGCTGAAATTGGCGAGCTTTTGCTAATTACCTCCAGGAGCTCAACGATTGCGGTCTCGGCTTCACTGCCAGGCCTGGTAGCATAAGATTCACGGAGGCCGGCATTTCCAGATACAATTTTAACTGCGTCATTGGCCGCGGGCTCCACCGCGACTTCATTCTGGAAATTGTGGCGCTCTAGGAATCGTGTGACAATGGGCGAGTGGCAGATGGGGGGCTTGCGGTGCCTGTGCAGCAGTTCACATGCCGTCCAAGCCATCGAATCGACTGGGATGCTGCTAGTGAGGAGGAGCTCCGAAGCTCGAACGGCGCTGCTGCCTGCCCCAATAACGCAGTTCTTCCCCACAACATACTGGAAACCCTCGGCCTTATCGTCTTCTGCTAAAGGTATCAGCGCTTCACATTGCTGCAAGAAGGAGCTCCACCCAGAGGCTCGCTGGGACCTCTGATCCACATAGGAGAACGTCGTCGTAGGTATCAACGGAACGGCGTCGCCCCCTGGGAGAGATCTCGTCTCGACAGTCGAGAACGCGAAGGCGTCTCGAGGCCCCACCCAGCGCAGCTTGAACCACAGGTCGCGCGCATCCAGCAGCAGGAACAGAGCCGCCAGAGCCACGTCCGCGAGCAGCGGGAGCCAGCGACAGCCTCGGGCGAGCGCCATCAGGTGCATCAGGCGAGGAGCTCTTGTGCGCACGAAGCGACGCGATTACGTATTGGTCAAAACGGCGATTACGCGATTACGTATTGGCCAAAAAGCGACATAGAGAGACCTTCTCGAATAGCTCCGAGTGTATCCATTCCGCAACGTCAGCAAGAAGGCAGAATCGAATTGGCTCGGAGGAGGAGAGGACAAGGATAATACTACGTAGCTAGTAGTAGGATGGAGTTGGACCTGAACTCGCGCAACGCCAAGTGGAACCGCGAGCAGAATAAGCGGCGCGAGCAGGCCAAGCGCAAGATCGAGACGGAGCGCCGCAAGCGCGCGGCGGCCGCCAGGGCGCGCGAGGAGCTGGAGCAGCTGCAGAGGCAGAAGCGCGTGGAGCGCATCGCGGAGCTGGAGCGGCAGGAGCAGCAGGCGCTGGAGGAGCAGCGGCTCACGGGCGGCATCAAGTACCTGCAGCGGCTGCGGCCCGTCCCCACGGCCAGCGACGGCGACAAGATCTCGCTGCCCGTGTCGGCGCTGGAGGAGCTCAACCCGCAGAACGCTCTGGAGCGTGGCGTGTTCACGTTCGAGCTGTCGTTCGAGCAGCAGCAGCAGAAACAGGAGGAGGAGGAGGAGGCGGGGGAGAATGTCCCGTTGAAGAGACTGACGCACGCGGGAGTGCTCGAGTTCGTGGCCGAGGAAGGAACCGTGGGGCTGCCGCCCAAGGTCGCGGCGTCGCTGTTTGGCCAGAGCCGGCAGCTACCCGACAGCGTCCAGGTGCGCTTCGTGCGGCTGGAGAAGGGCCAGTTCGCCAGTCTGCAGCCGAGAGGAGACGGCTTCAGCGACCGCCAGATCGACTTCAAGCACATGCTCGAGAGGTCCCTCAAGGCGCACACGACGCTGACCGAGGGCGACGTGCTGTTCGTCCGACACGGAAGGGAGACGTTCGAGGTACTCGTCGCGGAGTTGCGGCCCGAACGAGCTGTTAATATTCTCAACACGGACCTCGAGGTGGATATCATCCCCAGCGAGGCCGTGGCCAAGGCGAAGGAGGCGGATAAACTTCGGGAGGAAGAAGCTGCGCGTGTTGTGGCGATGGCGCAGGAGAAAGAGAAGTGGAAGGCGGAAAAGACGACAAGCTTGTCACCTGAGCCTCCTCTTGAAGAGCGTCTACAAGTGAAGATCGTGCTGAGGATGACGGAGGGGCAGTCGACGCGTCGGTTCTTGCATTCGTCGCCGCTGCGAAACGTGTTCGACTTTATCGAGGCGCTGACGGGCGAAGACGCGAGGCATTTTCAGCTGGCGGCTACGTATCCACGTCGACTCTTCGGGGTTGATTCAGCTGATAAATCGCTACAAGAGCTGGGTTTGAATGGACGTCAGGAAGCTCTGTTCGTTGAGAAGCTCGCAGTGGATGAAGTTATGGCTGAAGCGGACGCTACCACATCTGATAATGCTGGCGGGGGCCAAGTAACAGTAGCGCGCCCACGTACTCTACTACCTGGTGTGTGGGAAGAAGCTCGGCAGGCGCTGGAGAAGTGGCTCGATGACAGTATGCACTCGACTTCAGTCCCAGCAATCCACGCCATGGAGCCATCCATGCCCGTGGCCCAGTCCGCAGACCAAGAAGTGAAGTGGCGCGCACAACTGAGCGAGCTGGAAGAGATGGGCTTCATGAATCGATCGCTCAACATTGAGGTGCTCGAGCGATATCAAGGTCGCTTGCTGCGCGTGGTAAACTTCCTGTCTGAAATGGAGTCACCGGCTGAAGGTGGCGACAACGGCGTCACCGTCATGGAAGACTAGACACCAGTAGCAAATAATACTACAGCCAGGTCTCGCAATACACAGCAAATGCAATTGATCTGGTTCAGTTCTCGAGTGTCAACTAAGGTAGGCAAGTTGCTTGCTCTCTATCTAGCCGAGGAAGCCGACGCGCTCGACCCTGTGTCCTGCCTTGGCGTCTCTATCTCTCTGCTCGCGCAGAGTCTCCTGCAGCAGTTTAAATAGCTCTTTGGACCGCGCGCACGCCTCGTCGATCATCTGCTGCATCTCCTCCATCTCGATGGCGCCCGTGCCGCTCTTCTGCACGCCGCAGACGCTGCCCTCGGGGTTGACGGCCACGCTCATCTGCGCCGTCGTGCACAGCTCCTCCTCCTGCAGCGGGTCCGTGATGAAGTAGTCGCCGATCTTGCTGAGCGTCACGCAGATGGGCCAGTGCTGGGCCGTCATGAGCCGGCCCGCGGCGGGGTCCGTGTCCACCTCGATGGTCTTGTCCTCGCCCTCGACGCCCACGAGCCGCACGGACGGGAAGACCGTGTCGTTGAGCGCCGCGTAGATGGCCATGGAGATGACGTCGGGCAGGTTGCCGCTGGACTCGAACACCATCACGTCGATGCTGATGGCCCAGACGCTCTCGCCCGGGATGATGCAGTACTTGCCGAGCTCGGCGCTGGGGCACGAGCACAGCAGCCGCGTCATGAGCTGCGACAGCTCCACGTTCAGCTCCTCCACGGCGCGGCCGTAGAGCTTGGCCGAGACCGACGGGCAGCAGGACACGGCCACCTGCACGATGCCCGCGCTGGGGGCCTCGGGCAGCGGCGGCGCCACCTCGAGCTTGACGCTGGCCAGCACGTCGGTGCCCGACGCCTCGAGCGACGCGCGCGCCGAGCCGTTGGACTGCGCCAGCAGCGACGTCTCCAGCGACAGGCTGCGGTACGAGAGGCGGTCGCGGCCGTCCGCGCGCACGTCGGCGGCCACGCCCTCGGCGATGTACTTCTTCTCGGACGCACTCACCTTGAGCATGGTACTGTAAGTATTAATAACACGTCGGTAACTGAGCCCGATCGAATGGATGCAATCGCAAAGGCGGATAAAACAGGGAATAAAAACAGACGGGACATTAATCGGGGTGTGTAAATCGGAGTACGACTTCAACTTGACCACGTATATCACTGCACATCTAAGGAGCGTATTTAGCTCTGCCAGGCCTGGGCGATGCCGTCGTACGCGGGCTTGCGCACGAGCGGCGTATTCTTGCCCTTGGGCTGGTACCACGGGAGCGGGGCCGACGACGAGAGCCACGTGTACGTGTCCACGAAGTCCCAGATCGTCACGCCCACGCACTTTGACAACTTCCTGCATGCCAGCACGGCGTTGCGGTAGACGACCACCTGCTTGTTCTGCTCCGCGGTGGACGGCGTCGTCGAGCTCGTCTTGACGTCCAGCTCGGTGAGCGCGACGTCGAGCTTCAGCGCCTCAAAGCGCCGCATGTTGGCGATTTGGTCGGACGCCGAGGCCGAGTCCGAGTAGCTCAGGTGCGACTGGAACCCCACGCCGTTGATCTCGACGCCCGCGCTGACCAAGGCCTTGACCATGTTGAACACGGCGGTCGACTTGGTGTTGATGACGTTGGTGTTGTAGTCGTTGTAGTACAGCTTCACCTTCAGATCCAGGGACTTCTTGACGGCGCTGGCCGTCTTGAAAGCCGTGGAGATGTACTCCGTGCCCGTCTTGGTGTACCAGAACGACTTGCGGTACGATCCATCGTCGCCCATGGCCTCGTTCACGACGTCCCAGGCGTAGCACGAGTCGCCGAAGTGCGTCATTACCTTGGTGACGTGGTTCTTGAGCGCCGCGAGCAGCTCGGCCTTGCCGAGATTCTGCACCCAGGACGGAACCTGCTGGTGCCACACGAGAGCGTGGCAGCGGACTTTGGCACCGGACGCCTTCGCGAGGTCCACGATCTGGTCGCCTTTGGTGAACGAGAAGGAGTTCTGCAAAGGCTCGGTAGCGTCCCACTGCAAGCAGACAGCGTTAGAGGTTACGAACAATGCTGATACACTGGAGTAGGAGGGTCCGGTCTCCGTACCTTCATGGCGTTGGCCGGGGTGATCATGCCGAACTCGCTGGCGTTTTTGAGCTGCTTGACATAGTACGGATCGCTCAGCTCGCCAATATCCGTGGCCGTGCCCATGTATCTGTCAGTAGCCTTGGCCAGATCGTTCAAGCCCTTGGAGCCCGAGTAGCTAGACTTGATGAACGAGAGTGCGCCGACGATCAGAGCAATGCCGGACTTCATCGTTCTTGTGGAAGGGGTCGATGCTGCAGGTGGCAAAATAAAGAATGGCGAGAAGATACATGCAAGCCTTGTGAGCTCGGTCTGTTCGTTGACATCCTGTGACCCCTGCGTCGATCGAGCGACGATCAGACAACATTTTTACCGTTCGAGTGGCTAGAGACGGGCAAGTTGCACCCGAGTGACTGATTGAGCCGGGTCTTCGTGCTTGCAATGAGTGCAGTCTGCAGACAAGCTCATGAGGCCGCATTGCTGCTGTCCTAGTGACCAGGAGCCCTGTCACGGACGTGGAAGAAGGAGCTGTACCTCCACACATACAGTACATACGTTTTCATTCCTCTATCGTGCCAAGCCTACAACTTTGGGATTCACACGCCGTGTTTGGCGCCCGCAGTCATGGGGTGTTGCTATCGGATGACACTGCTCTATGCGTTTGTGATAAATCCTTTCGCACTGCAAAACGCTGCAAGGATTCATGCCACGGTAGCTGCTGTTTGATCGGCCACCCAGCCAAGCCTCTACAGAAACCTACGAGCAACGCAAGCACCCGGAAGTAATGGCAGTATTAGCTACCAACGTGACAGATCGTACGTTGACGTTAAAGTAGTAGATTGGGCAAGAAATTGGTTCTTGCCACCACGGCATTCATTGTTTCTCGTACAGAAGCGCATGGAATCATAAAGCATGCTTTCGCTCCCTAATAACGCCGCGAGTTCGTGTCGACGTTGCGGTTATCATAGCCTCCATCACGATAGTCCCGCCCTCCGTAGCGACCCATTTCACGATGGAATTCATCCGGATGCATTCGCCGCCCGCGACCGTTCTCATCATAGCCACCAGCAGGGCCAGGGCCTCGAAAGTGTCGACGCTCATCGGGGTACGATCCGCCCCAGCCACCACCACCACCACCACCACCGCCACCCCGCCCGGGCTCAAACCAATTGTCACGCGGTCGCGACCGGGAACGCGATCGTCGCCTGTCGGGGCCACGGTTGAACTGCTGGTCGTATGGATACGGATGATAGCCTCGTGCAGGTTCTCTAGAAGGAGCAGGATACCCGTGTTGCTCGCGAGGACCATGCTGCCAGCCTCTGGGCGGGGAACGTCCGAGCGGTCTTTCATCGTGGCCCGTTGCGCTTGTCGATGGCACAGCCCCGCTGTCGATCTCGCCTTCTTCTTGCTCTTCTTCGTCACTCTCGACTTTTGGTACGTTCGTAGTTCCTGTGGTGCCAGCGGGTAGCGATGGCAGCTCCGTCGGACTTGCAGGTCGCGCCTGGGTATCTATACTTTCCGGCTCATCATTTTTGGCTTTGGCGGACGAGCCGTTCGCCCCACTTGCGCCGCTGCTTTCCATCTCCTTTCCATTTTCACGAGTCTTGCTCACTGTCTCAGACAAGGATGAGTTCACTTCTGCTTGTGCTGCAGTACCAGTGTCGATTGCTACCGAATTGCACGTCTGATCAGCCTTTGCACAGGAGTTAGACCTCGAGCTCGAGCTCGATCTACGCCGCAAAAGCGCGCGTGGCCGCATATCTTCGTTGATAGGAGATCCGCGTCGGCCTCCTCCTTCTGTCCTGTGGGCTGGCAGTGGTCTGCCAGATCTCGAGATTGGATAATCAACGTTGGTACTTGACTGACGCTCTTGTTGCCATCGAGGAGTATTACGAGCGCTACTGCTCTCCCGCTCGCTTGAGTATGAGCGCCGTGGCGTTTCATTATGTCCACGATTATTAGCTGGAGACGAGCTTCGACTGATCACAACACCCGCTTTATACTCGAGCTTCATCTCCAGGGGATTTCCAAGATCGTCTCGAAACACGTGCGAAGCGCGTTCAGCATCTTCGCGGTTGCGATAGTGCAAGTAAGCAGTGCTCGGCTGGCCTTTCATCAACTTCAGCCAGTTGTCACGCGGAATAGCACAGCGAGGAACGGACGAGTTGAACGTGTAGCGCTTGCTCAATGACGCTGCGAACTCCTCGCGGTCTCGGTCCTGGTTAAATCGGATGCCCGTCGACTTCCGCTCGAAGCGTACACGGCGAAGGATGAGCGTTGTCAATCCACGAAGGTGCTGCGGCACAAACGTTGTTCCATACATTCGACGCTGATAGAATCCCCTGTCTTCTGGCCGTTCAAACCGGAGCTCTTCGTAGCAGTTCATTTTCTTCCCTTCGTCACCAATGCACTCATCGACGGCTGAATCTGCATCTCCTTTCGCCACTGGGGCGCACAATGCTACCCCAAAATACGAAGCCGTAAACGAATCCCTATTCGAAGCCATTTCACCTTTCGTCGCGCAACTCAAACGCGGGACAAGATCAGGCAGCACCTTTCCGTCAATATCATACACTTCGTATCCAGCCATGCGCGCCTTCGTCGGCGTGCTTGATGCTGCTTCAGCCTCTAGCTCCGCCACTGCGAAGAAAATGGAGTTGCGCTTGCGCGCCCGACGCATGAGAGCTCGGTCCGGAGCTGAGAATATTGCCGTTTTCACGGGCACAACATTTTTCGTTCTCTTTCGCTGGACTCGGATCGGCTCCCGCTTGGAAAGCTGCGGACTTGGGAGAGCGGACGGCTCCAGTTTCACCTCGACGTCGACTCGTTCCAATTGTTTTCCATTGTCTTGAGGACGAGACGCCAAATTCGTCTCTGTAGCCTCAGCCGATTTGTTGGCAGACCGCTTGGGAATCACAAACGATTCTGCGCTTGCGGCAGCTTGGTTATCGCTGGCTGATTTCCTCGGGATGGGCATCATGTCCAAAAGCATGTCGTTCTTCGTGCTGTCATCGAGCTGTTTCACGAGTGCACCGACAAGTGGGGAGCCCACTTGTCCTTCTTCCTTGACGTCATCTTCTGTAGTCGTGGCTGGCCGGGGTTCTTCCTTTACTGCAAGCTGCGGTTGGGACTCGAGCAAGGTACCGTTCGTATCCACTTCGTTCTGAAGTCCGGAATTTGCTCCTTCAATCTTAACATCGAGCTTGCCTTCACCACTCGGCGATACTTCATTCCCAGAAGTGCTTTCGTCGCTTCTGTCAGCTCTGTTGGCTGGTACCTCTTCCCCTTCCTGTGGTATCTTGCGTCGTTTCCGAACTGGCTCGGCATTTTCTCCATGAGCGACTTGCCGCTTAGCCCCCAGAAGATGAAGCACTTCCTCTCTTCGCCTTCTTCGTTTCTCTAGCGCTATCGCTGGGCTCTTCAGCTTTGGAATTGGAGGAATGTTCGCTGTGGACGCGAGTTCTTCCTTCTTGGCCTTGATTGCAGCACGACGCTGGCGTTCCTGTACCCGCCTCCTTTCTTTTTCTTCCTCCGTCAGCACTCGTGGTTTTCGTTTACCACTGTCGTTAGTCTGCACGTCCGCTTGGTCTGCTACAGGCCGCTTCTCGGCCCTGCGCACTTGGCCACGCATGTTTCTCTGCAGCCTTGAGGCCTCCTTCGAGTCGTGGCGCTTCAGCTTGACGGCAACCAGTCGATCGTACTCGCCTGTGGCTTTCCTTCGAGCTTGCAACTTGTGCATCCGCCTCTGTCGCATGGCAGCAGCCTTAGCCTTGGCCGGGTCGAGCGGTGGCTCTGACTCTGTAGGCAGAAGGGCGCTCTTTGCCTTCTCCTTCTCCGTCGCTTCCAATTCGACTCGAGGTCGCTTCCGCTGCAGCGCTGTGGTGCTTCCTTTCGTCTCTGGTTCCTTCCGTGCTGCTTTGATGGATGTATCATTAGCTACCGACTTTGTGCGCTCCTTCGACGGGCGTGGCGTGCGGTCCAGCGCCAGACTCGGCTTGCGGCGACTGCGTGACGGCTCCAGCGCGTCCGCAGCGTCGTGGTTCTCCTGTGGCTGGCCTTTGGCTGCTCTGACTGCGTCTTGGCGCCCTGTTCCAGGCTCTGGGGAGCCCCCGCCACTGGCGTTTCCCTTCACAGGAGGAGCCGCTTTCCTCTCGAGGGGTTTCTCCTTCTTCCGCTCTCGGCCGGGGATCTGCTTCGTCGGCTCTGGGGTGGCGTCCGACGAGTCCGCGCCGCTGCTCAGGTCCATCTCGAGGGCTCGCAGCCAGCGCATCCTGTCGCGCGGCGCCGGCGCGCCCGGCTCGGCGCTCGACACCATCGGCTCACTCGACTCTTACTTGAAATTGTTTTGCACAATTCTTTGCACAATTTCGCTTTTAGGTGCACTTTTGGGTACTCTAGTATGGCAACAAGTACGCAAGCAAGTTACTTGCTTTGCTGTCAAGGCGCCGTCGACCTGGAAGCCAGAGCCAGATAGATGCATGCTCAGGGGCAACGTCGACCATGAGAAATATTTTACGAAGCACTAGATATCGATCACTCACGATTGTGTTGGGCTCGCTAGCTTTGGTGCATCGTGCACCTTCGAAACACTCCAAAGCTATATGTACTTGATCCACGCCACCTCTCCGTCATTTTCCAATTGGGGCATCACTGCAGTTCCAGCAACCTGGCGTTGAGAATCTCCCACTTAAAGCGCCTGCTGCTTGGTCCATCGCGGAGCGGCTCAAGCCATGGTATCCGGACTCATGACTACCACGTAGATTGAGAACTCGTCAGCAAAGGGTTCCCAATTGTGCCATCGACAATATCTCTCTTAAAATTATCCCGTCCATGCTGGAGTATCGCTCCGCCACCACCAATGCTTTCACAATGGGCGATGAAAACGGCAACCATACTCCGTTTTCCTGTGCAAGATACAGCCGAATTTCCCCAGCATCTACATCAGCAAACTCGTCAGCTGCCTCCTGCTGCTTGATTTCTTCGTTCAGGTCGTTGATGTGCATGGTCGTGTCGAGGTCCCAAAAGGACGACACCCTGGGATAATGCAGCGTATGATAACATTGGTATCACCGCGATTACGTGGATTGAGTTTCCAAGCGACTGTGGGGTATCTTGAATATGTACACCCTTCACTTGCCTGTTCGACGTTATTGGACACACCAATAATTCGCGCTCGCTGGAGCAGCGTCCACGCTCGAAGCGGCCAATATCCTCCGTATTTTGCGGGAAACCATTTATTTCCCCGCTCTGCCGGGTACAACCACCAGATTGACGTGGAAGCCACGTCAGCAAAATGCTCCTCCCGAACCACGTAAGCAAATGCTACAGCCCCTGTTATGATAGATTATTGTACGGAAGCCACCGTTCTCCTTCGTTGAATTTAGCCGAATTCGCTCTTGTAGGTTCAAAAGATCGACATTTAAATCTAAGCTATTTCTAGCAAGTGTTAATATAGATGTAAGGATCCACGCTAACCGTCCAGACTTCGCTCTTGGCAGGTATTAGATATGCAGACACAACCTTGAACCGGATCTGACTGTTCCCCCCCCCTCCATTCGTCCAAAAGGGCGATATCAGGAAGCACTGGTGTGATAAGCACTACGGTGTTTCACCTCGCGGCAAAGCAATTCAGGCTCGACGGAGCACCCGAGACTCTTTGGCTGAGCATTCATTACATGCCTCCCGTATCGGATAGGCGGCGTGGGAAGCAAACAACCGCCTGCAAGATGAGAAGGATGCTATCGTCACCACTGACCACTGAGGGGGGTCCCTATTAGGGACTTCGTTTAGGGACTCCCTAAACGAAGGCAAATACGACAAGTAACATCTTGGGCTCGCAGCTTTGCGCGGAGCGAGCGAGCTCGAGAGTCCGGTTTCTTTGGCAGATAGACTAGAGTAGCAAGGCGCACGCTAAAATGGAAGGTGTGCTTGGCATCGGCGTGGATGTGGACCATAGTTATGATATTACACCAACAATGACTTAAGCGCCTGTCGCTACGTTCTTGTTAGGGCCGTTCTCAACCCAGGAGCGAAGCTACTACGACTACTGTAGGGCTGCCGCCGTTTCGATACCTCTTGCACTACATTTTCAAAGATGTGAACTTCACTGCAGATCGAATAACCACCGACCGCCAAGGTCAGAGTGCCACTTTGATACGACAAAATATAGAAAGCTTTGGTCACAAGGGATATAGGGACGACAAGATAGCCCAGCGGGCACAGCTAAGTAGATAGAGATATCCATAGCTAGCGAATTCACTTCACCTAGCGCGGGTGTGGAGTCCACGGCGTGAAGCCAGGGCGACGAACGACGCCGGTGGTCGCTTATTGACACAATATGCATCCATGAAGATACGAAAAGCAGTCCTTCAACCAGATGACAACGCTCGCTCACTCGGCCCGAAATCTGCAGGTGAGGCGGTCAAGATGACCAGTCCCGAGCTTCACCGCCTAAGGTACGGTAAAATTTGGCACGCACGAGCTCTCCATACTACGGCTTTCATTGCGTCGGTTTTGGTCATCCTACAGCTCGAATCGAATGCATGTATATCCGATACAGCGACGCTTGCAAAGAGACGCCGTCACTGCCGAGTGGTCAACATTTGCTTGACATTTGTTTGGCCAGTCGTTGACAGATGACCACTCGTTGACAGCTGCAGCTATATGGGATTTTTCGCTAAAGTATCTTACCGTGTTAGATGACCAGGTACGGCATGGAGCACTGTTCGGGCTCTCTATTTCCCCCATACGTCTCTAAACATTCAGATTCTACTCGTGCATGCCAAGGGAAACACACTACGACACTGTGCTTCCGGTATAGATACCGTGAAGCACGTGGTCGCTACGCCAAGTGGATTTCTCGGGAACACCAATAGTCCCCCGCAAGAGACCGCAACACTCCGCTCAGTTTTCAATTTGCTTCTCAGTTGTAAGCGATCCAGCTACACAGCGTCTAGTGTTTTTCAACGTTTGTCGAGCCCAGTCAAGTATTCCGTCTAGTTCTTCAGTGTCACTGTCCAAGATGAACCTCACCAAGATTATCGCGCACCTTGCAATTATTGCTGCCGCCATGGGCTCGTTTACCGAAGCTGGCAAATTCGGTCAGCTACCGCAGCAGCCTGGCATGTCGAACGACGACGCGTTTGCGAGGTCGGCCACCCCCGCGCCGACGACGAGTACACCCACCGTAACTCCTGCACCTACGCCCGCAGTGCCAGTTGCCGCCCCCACTCCTGCGCATATCACCGGAACCACCACCAGTGCGAGCCACAACGGTGCGGCGACTGTAAGCGCCTCCGTGTCGGGCGGCAACGCGAACACCAACACCAACAACAACAACGGCAACGGATCGGGCTCCAGCCACGGCATCGTGTCGAGAGGTGGTACCAACAGCGACCACAACGTGAGCACCAGCGTGTCTGGCAACAATAATGCGGCGACTGTGAGCGCCTCCGTGTCGGGCGGCAACGCGAACACCAACACCAGCAACAACAACGGCAACGGATCGGGCTCCAGCCACGGCATCGTGTCGAGCGGTGGTACCAACAGCGACCACAACGTGAGCACCAGCGTGTCTGGCAACAATGGTGCGGCAACTGTGAGCGCCTCCGTGTCGGGCGGCAACGCGAACACCAACACCAGCAACAACAACGGCAACGGATCGGGCTCCAGCCACGGCATCGTGTCGAGAGGTGGTACCAACGGCGACCACAACGTGAGCACCAGCGTGTCTGGCAACAATGGTGCGGCGACAGTGAGCGCCTCCGTGTCGGGCGGCAACGCAAACACCAACACCAGCAACAACAACGGCAACGGATCGGGCTCCAGCCACGGCATCGTGTCGGGCGGTGGTGCCAACAGGTACCATAGCGTGACCACCCCTGTGCCAGGCAACAATGGTGCCAACGCTGGCTTGAACGCGGGCGCGGGTCTCAACGCTGGAGCTGGCCTTGGTGCGGGTGCCGGCCTGAATGCTGGAGCTGGCCTCGGCGCGAACGCTGGCCTACGCGCTGGGGCTGGCCTCGGTGCCAACGCAGGCTTGAACGCGGGCGCGGGTCTCAACGCTGGAGCTGGCCTTGGTGCGGGTGCCGGCCTGAATGCTGGAGCTGGCCTCGGCGCGAACGCTGGCCTACGCGCTGGGGCTGGCCTCGGTGCCAACGCAGGCTTGAACGCGGGCGCGGGTCTCAACGCTGGAGCTGGCCTCGGCGCGAACGCTGGCCTACGCGCTGGGGCTGGCCTCGGTGCCAACGCAGGCTTGAACGCGGGCGCGGGTCTCAACGCTGGAGCTGGCCTTGGTGCGGGTGCCGGCCTGAATGCTGGAGCTGGCCTCGGCGCGAACGCTGGCCTACGCGCTGGGGCTGGCCTCGGTGCCAACGCTGGCTTGAACGCGGGCGCGGGTCTCAACGCTGGAGCTGGCCTTGGTGCGGGTGCCGGCCTGAATGCTGGAGCTGGCCTCGGCGCCAACGCAGGCTTGAACGCGGGCGCGGGACTCAACGCTGGAGCTGGCCTTGGTGCGGGTGCCGGCCTGAATGCTGGAGCTGGCCTCGGCGCGAACGCTGGCCTACGCGCTGGGGCTGGCCTCGGTGCCAACGCAGGCTTGAACGCGGGCGCGGGTCTCAACGCTGGAGCTGGCCTCGGCGCGAACGCTGGCCTACGCGCTGGGGCTGGCCTCGGTGCCAACGCAGGCTTGAACGCGGGCGCGGGTCTCAACGCTGGAGCTGGCCTTGGTGCGGGTGCCGGCCTGAATGCTGGAGCTGGCCTCGGCGCGAACGCTGGCCTACGCGCTGGGGCTGGCCTCGGTGCCAACGCAGGCTTGAACGCGGGCGCGGGTCTCAACGCTGGAGCTGGCCTTGGTGCGGGTGCCGGCCTGAATGCTGGAGCTGGCCTCGGTGCCAACGCAGGCTTGAACGCGGGCGCGGGTCTCAACGCTGGAGCTGGCCTTGGTGCGGGTGCCGGCCTGAATGCTGGAGCTGGCCTTGGTGCGAACGCTGGCCTACGCGCTGGTGGTGCGGGTGCTGGTGCTGCCCACGGCGGAGTTAGTGCTAGCGCTAGTGCTCACTAAGGCCTGTGGTTGTAGCAGTCGTTGAAGTCGGTGAACTGTGGTTTGTTTAGCGGTACTTGTAATTCGAACGTGAGAATGTTTAAATTAATTCAACGCAGTTCTTGACGAAGGCCTTAAAGTACCTCTACTGCGTGAAAAGCAATTTCCATTGCAATATGCTCTGCTAATGAACATATTTTATGGTTGATTTGCATACCCACATCAACGCGTCACTATGGTGGATGCTGTTTGAAAGTTAGAGCGTATCGCTTTCCATTTAACCCGATCCTCGTGCACTGCAATTGTCCTCTGGACATCTTCAGCGCGACCCACGTCGATGCTTGCTGTCGGCGAGTAGACCGTGCCGCAGGAGCTGAACAAGCTTCGTCGTGGTGATGCACCCTTCAATGTTGTTGAAGAGCGAAAACAGCTTATTGGACTCAGTATCCGTGCTCACCTTTTAGACTGCGATGCTGCAACGCAGACTGAAATCTATGCATATCGAACGGGCAATAAAGCAGGCCGTCCTTGGTTGCGCATTGTGAACATACTCTTGGTTTAACCTACTTCGAGTTGGTACCCTTGCTTGTTTTGCTCGTATTGAGCGTTCTGTATCAAATTTCCACAGGCGGTTTGCTGAACCGGGCCACTGCCTGTTTCATTTGAGAGTATTGTGCCTTTCTGTCTTTTTTGCGTGTCCTCCATCGGCACTCTTTTGTCACAATTTTTAAAACTAGCTGAGACTGCGCTTCCTCGCTGCTAATTTGGGGTGACACTAAATATTGTGCTCTACACAAAATTTCGCGATGCCCCCCCAGAGCCGATCGAAACCTTTTCATACAAGAAAGCTTAACAGCCTGATACGCTGAGAAACAGGGCTGTGGAAAATATGATTGCGATTGTAATATTGTCAAGATTGTCAATCACAATAATTGATTGTTCCGTGATCTCAATCGACAATCCCGTTCCCATATTGTCCCTTTACTGATTTTGAGCCTTTGCCAGTGATCCGGTAGAGCAATATGCAACACCAAGCCCATGGAACCGGTCCTAGACTCATCAAAGCCTTTCTGTGTCTTCTGCTACTTCGAAATGCGGAAGTGAGGGGTCATTGGGTGCCCTCACGGGGTACACGCTCAACATGATGAATACAAGACTCAACATTGCTTTTTGCCAAGGCTTTTGAAGGTTAACACGTATGCAATCGAATAAGCAAAGATCTTAGGGCGATACCGCCGCCAAACGAGTAAATATATGAACCTAGCAGAGGAAATACAAGCGAGAACTTAGATTGCAATCTTTTGTTTTTGGGATTATCGAGATTGCAATAATTGATTGTTTCAGATCTGAGTCGCCAATCAATAAACAATCTATATTTCCACAGCCCTGGCTGAGAAATCATTTAATTTGCCGTCAAACTTCATTTAGTTGACCTGTAGTGCTAGGAGTAAGCGAGTGTATCGAGATTGTGTATCAACACTTCACACGCATGCCTCATGCGCAGACCTCTACCAATACGGGAGTTTCCGATTTTTTCCTATATCCTGGCGATCACTGACAGAATATGGGAGAAATTTTGAAGGTTCTGCATCGTTTGAAGTGCTTTCTTGGAGCTATCTGCCAGTGTTGATAGTCTGTTCGATTTGCTTTATCTGTAACTGTTGTGTTCTTTGACGTAGCTGCTTTGTATAGCAAGCTGCATCAATTGCTTGGTCGGTTTTGCGGTCCTCCGCTGTCTAATCTTCTGCTGATCGATTTTGATAACCTGACATTTTCCGAGCCCTGGAACTCTCGGTTAATCTTACCTCCGCACAAAAGTACGCTGAAAATAGTTTTACTTTTGAAAACGAATAATGGTAGGCAATTGGGTAGCAACAGGACAACAGGAATAATGTTTATTTCTCAGCGCTTTAGCAACACTTGCATTAGCAATCCTTTCGTGGCCAGTCGGTATCCCCGAGTTGACGTGTATTGCGCCTTTGTACCGCTTTTTGTTTAAGATTGAGGCTCTGTACTTTCAAGAGGTTGGATCAGTGCTTATTTTATTAATGTCTTAGGGAAACCTAACGAGATACCCCTTCGAAAACTATTTCATGAGACGCCCTTCACGGCCAGCACTAACCATATGCCCCTCATTTAAAATTCGCCTCATTGGAATGACATACAAAGTACCACTGAAAGTGGTGAGAACGTAGGCAGCTTACTTTATCTCTCTGCTGGAGATTATACCTCTCCTTCACTTTCATAAAAGAGCTCGGTAGAGCATTTTTTACCATCAGGTTTGAGTCAGGTTTGAGTCAGGTTTGACATCAATATGACCTTTCCGTGACTTCCTTTTCGAGTTTGCAGCTCTCTCTCTCTCTCTCTCTCTCTCTCCCTCTCTCTCTCTCTCTCGGACATAATGATTCCTCAACATGTATTGATATTATTCATCTCAAGTCGACCACACCACTAACAACGCAGTATACATCAAAAAGACATGTATCAGCATTTTTGCCGGGAACTTATGAGCACTTTTAGCCGGGAAGCAACCTGCGGCATGCAATAGCAATAGCTAAGCAGCAGAGCTATTCTAAGTAGACCTTCAACAAGCGCATTTACCCCGATCTCCGTGCAATACGACGCTAAAGCAGGGTCAATACTTCAACAAAGCAGAGTACCCATTTAGCTAAAATAATGCGGTTTTAAGCCAAATCCACTTTAGAAGGCTCACAGCCCATAGATACCCTATTTGGAAGAGGCCTACTAAAAGACGGGCCTCAGTTTAATGGCTTTCGCACCCTTTGCTGTAGGCTAAGTCCCTGAACTTCTATGAAAAGTCACTCGGAACCGTCGGACATTGAGCCTGAAAGGATCTTATACAGAGGTAAATTGCTGCATTTTTGCCCCCGGGAGAGGCAACCATTAATCCTTACCCTAGCCCTATCCATAAATTCATCGAAAGAAAGCAAATCAGAGCGATAAAACAGAGCGATTTCATTATAGGGGGGGGGGGGGGCTTCGCCCCAAAGAGTAGACCACCGGCTGAAAACGTGAAATATTCGCGAGTTATTACTGTGCAACTTAGATATCAGTGCTATTTCCTGGACAATTCTGAGTTATTGCAATATTTCGACATAATTATTCTAAACAGTGATATTTTCGACTCACCTTCAGTGCAACTGATGTGCATCAGCACATGCCAGAAAAACGGAATAAATATGAACTATTTCGCAAAATCTCCGGCTGAACTTAGTGATACGCATTCTAATCCATATATAATACAACAGTTCGCTAAATGCTAGTGCGGTCACTCGAAATTATTCAAGCCTGGAGCCCAGTCGGCATGTTCTAACGTGGTTTACCAGTTCATGACCTCTGACCAGTTCATGGACTAAAGCGACTATTATCCAATCCAATCTTCTTATTTGGACTAATATTGCTCTGATTGGCTCAATACTTTTTTAACCAGATCTTGGCCCTCACTTTTCCTTACGCTGATCCCGTCAGATATCCAGCCCCCTCGAGTCGAGCGTAAGATGATGGCGGCCTTCACAGACAAGCAGCTAGAAGAAGCTATCGACCGCGTCCTCGCAGGAGAGAAGCTCGCAGCCGTGGCCGACTCGTCACCAGTGTCGTTGTCAACACTAAAGCGCAAAGTCGCCGCGCGCATCGAAGGTCGATCTATTGAGCGCCAACGGCCCGGACCTGCCCCCCTACTGCCTCCCGAGTTTGAAACCGATCTAGTGACATGTTATGAATCGTCTCCGGTTGCAGCCGTTGGCGCGCGCGGTGGTGCGTTGGCGCATCGGAGGAGGCGTCGCAGGAGCGAAAGTGTGGACACCGCCCTGGAAGGAGGCGAAGGAAGGAGCGACGAGGACGTGATAAGAGGACAGCAGGAGACAGGTGTTGAAGAGTTCGAGTGGTTGGCAGAGTAGCTGTAGCCACAGTGCATTGGGCAAGTAGGAGCTCAGTCTTCATTCGGCAGGGTCAAGCGCAAGAGGGTGAAGACAGAGTGAGCAAAAGGAAACAAGTTGTGTATTAGTGCATTTACGCAGCTTGGCTACTCTATCTTCCTTATCAGCAAGAATCGAGCGGCAGTCCTCGAGGAAGCGCGCACACCGGATCGCCCGGACCTGGATCGTAACATGACATGGATCGCTGCAATGCAGCGTCGTCTGGTCCGACAAGCAATGGTGCAGGAGCTGCACTCCAAGCCCGTGACAACAATGGCGCCGAAGTGCCTGCAGTGGAGCCGCTGTTCATCATCGAGAGCGCGACGGTTTGAGTTTGGTATGAGACTTTGTATAGGATCGCGTCGGTCCAACATCTGGTCAGTGCGTCATAAAAAATAAATTTCCGCTTTGTTTGCTTCGCTGTTGCTTGCTCATATTTGCTCATAAATTGGTGCGAGGACCCTCAAAATTAAGCGTGCCGACTGCTTGTATAAATGCTAGCGTTGTAGCATCGCTGCTCTAATATTGGTGTCGTCATCGACGATTTCGCATGAGGTGCTGCTGGCGGGTCATGAATTGGTAAACCACGTTAGTCGTTTGTGTTGAATTCGTTATCATGAAAAACCTGGGGTTTGATAGCGTTGCGCATGCTGTCGACCTCCAGAAGAAGTAAATGGTCACACAACTGATGGAAAAATCCTTTCAAAATATATATGTTTAGGAGGCTGGATGTGTTTTCACAATCCTTACAAGTCTACGGCATGAGGCGGAGCTGTCATTGGTTCCGAGACAGATATGTATTCGAATAGACTCTTGTAGTGTGCCCTACATCCACTTTTTTTAGATAATACACAAATGTATAGGAAATATACCTGAACTTCGTTTAAAGTAGAACTTTTGCAAGACTGAGCATCATCCGCTAAGACAGACTTTTTGCGACTGTTAACTAGTGACAAGTGATATGGTAGCACTTAGAGAGGAAGTACTCGGGAGCCGAGATGCTGTGTTGAGTACGCTGGAAAATCGAAACTGAGATTGAGTTTAGCACCTTCGTCCTAATCCTCCTAAACAATTCTAGTCCTTGGTGCCTGTAACTTCAACATCTAACTTCAAGCACATCGCTTCCTAGATCTTTAACTTCATCCAGATGACTGCGTTGCACACGGGTCACACAGCTTACTGCAGCTTGATCTCCACAAAGTTGGCAGATCGTTACCCATTTTTGCGCTCTATGTGTTTGTAGTCGATAATATCGTGACATTTTTAAAACAAAATCAAAATTGAAGGGAGTACTTATATCTTAGGATTTGAAAGTAACGGTTATTTTACGAATAATGGCCGGTCTTGTATTTACCGGTATTTGTAGCCTCCTAATTGTTTAATTGTGATCGGCTTAGACATGGGTCTACTATACGAAAGAGGGCTACTATTGCTTGGGATTTTAGGAGGAGCCAAGGGCGAGGACGAAAAAGAGGTTTCCTGAAGGGAAGGTCACCTTGCTCAAGTGTATGTTTGTATTAATGGGTCTCAGTTCTGGCAGCAGCAAGATAGCGCTCTTAGAAAACCTCCAAATTTCTCCCAATCAGAGACGGAAAGAACTGAGACCCCCTTTGTAGTTAGGCAGCAGCAACATGCCTCATGCGTGGTCTTCTTGCTCATTTAGCCTACTGCTCAACGTCATAGCGCGCTCATGCATGTATAAATGTTACAGGTGCCCTGCAGCGTGCTGCGGCTAGTTGTCGCATGCTTTCGATGCAAGGACGCACTGCTAGGTTGTCGGTAGAGATCAGATTGACCCCGCGGCGGTCGATCCGCTTGACCCTGTGGTGTAGCGGGATCAGCAAAATCTGCGAGAATGCCAATCCAACTTCCCCACTGCGTCCGAACACCGACTTACGGAGGGGGTCCCCCGATGATCCGTGATCTGTGTGCTGAACTTGGTCACCTTGTGTACCCGTCGGTAGGGCTGGATCTTGCTCCTCTGGTGTCTTCCGAAGCGTCCGAGCCTTGAAGAGAGAACAGTCTGGGCGAGACGCGGGGATGGGGGTGGAGCAGCGCGCAAATCTTCACTCTGCTCGCGGTAGTATTCCAAATCTAGTAGTCTTGTACTCAGATCTGGCGGCCTGGATCTGAATCCGGCCGGGTTGTTGCCTTTCGAGGTTGTTGTCCTGTACGTTGCCTTCGCAGGTCTTCCGTGGTCGTGTTTGCCGCCCCCAATGACGGTGTCGTTGACAGTTGAGACGAGAAGGACGCACCGGCCAAACAGATAACTCCGGTGGATCTTGGATCTGCACTTGCAGGTAGTTTACTAGGAAGGTCTTGGATCTGGCCAATATATTACTCCAGTCTTACAACCAACACTAGGTCTGCTACCGCTAACCTCTCTACGCCGTGTAGGGCCAATGTCGTTCCCGTTTCCAGGCGAAGGAGGAGGCGCTTGCGATGTACAAGGCAAATTCTGGTCTGATTTATGCTTAAGTTCGCTCCTATCCCAAAGTTGTATCGCCATGTGGCTCCTATCATCCGATCTGTACCTACCGACTCTATGGACTCCCTTTACCTTCATTGCGTGTCAGTTGCGTGCCCGTCGAGTCGTGTCCACAACTTCCTGATTACGCCTGAATCCAGAGGATCTTGGATCTCTGTCGACGTAGATCCCGATCCATCTGAGTCCGGATCCAGATCCATCTGATTCGTGGATCTTGGATCTTGGATCTCCGTGGGCGTAGACCCAGATTTATCTGGATCCATCTGGGCCTGTCACTCTTCCGCATTTGTGGCGAGGTCCAGATCCATCAATCGTCCAATTACTTGCCAGTACTCATTCTTGGGACTTGCGCTTCTCCACAATCACCTCCTGACCGTAGTTGCTGCCGACCAACGGCATCACTGCGGGCACAGCTACCCACTTTTTCGCCTCCCCAGCTTCGCGGACATGTCCGGCCCCGGCCGCAGCCCCTCCCGCGCCTCGTCAGCGCGCAGCGATCGTCACACGGATCGGTCTTCGCCGGATCCACCCGGTCGAGATCCTCGCGATCCTCGCGGGGAGGAACTGCGCGCTCTGATCGCCTCCCGTGATGCTGCAGTTCGCAACCAAGAAGAGGTCGCCGCTCTACTGCTGTACCAGACGGGGGAGCTGGACGCGGCTCAAGCGTACATACAGCAGCAGAACGCAGAGCTGAGCAGCTTGCGATCGGAAGTCGCTGTCCGTCGCAGCCGAGAAACTACTTCTGCGGCTGGTGTGGCGCGGGCTCTCCAACTCCAGGGCCAAGTCGACCAACAGGTGAACAAGATCCGGGATCTCCAGCGTCGCATCGAGCAGATTGAGCGTGAGCGGGATCGCTTGCAGGAGAATAACGACCACCTGGCTTCCGAGGTCAGCTTGGCCACCGCCGAGATCCAGCAGCTTCAGGATCGAAACATCGACCTGGATCGCGATTTGGAAGACGCCAACTACGAGCGGGACATAGCTGAGCAAAACATGGATCGAGCGCAGGAGGAGCTCCTAAGGGTCGAGGCCGAGCTCCAAACAGGAGATCAAATCACTTCGGCGGATCTGCAACAGATTGCGACCCTGACGCAGGAACGGGATCGCGCTCACACATCATTGGCCGAAGTCACGCGGAATCTCATGAAGGCGCGAGAAGACCTGCTTGCCCACCAGCGGATGCACACGGAGGCTCGTGACAAGCTGAATCGCCTGCGAGCTACCCACAGAGCTACCATGGCGAATCTGGATCAAGCTGTGCGGGAACGAGACAACCCGGAGCTAACTCGTCTGCGGAATCTCCAGGAGACGACTGTCGCGGGTCTGGCGCAGGTATGCCGGGAGCGGGACGCCCTTCAAGGTGAAGTGGACCAAGTTCGTTCGGAGTTCAATGACCTCCAATCCAACTTCGATGCGTCCGAGCAGACCGAAACTGCAATGGGGCGTCGGATCCAGGCGATCGAATCTGAAAGTCGGTTGCTGACGCAGGATCTGATTCGGATGAGCCATGAACGGGACGTGCTACAGCAGGACATCTCAGTCGCGCGTTGGCAGTTGACCTCCATCACCACTCTGGCGAGAGCGCGACCTGGCGCAATCGAAGAGGTTCTGGATCCGGCCTACATCCTCAGCTTGATCCGTATTGCGCCCCCCCCCGGATCTGCCGAACAGCAGCCTGCCGGTGAAACTTCCGACCCCGCTCAGCGGGATCCCGATCCAGAGGCGGATCCAGAGTTGAGTCCGCAAGTAGACTCCGGCACTTCGAAACGGGATCGTGACCCGGAGACTCCCGATCCAGAACCAACTCCGGCCGTCAAGCGTCGCATTTTCTCGCCGCCCTCCGAGCACGATGAAGCCATGAACCAGGAGGGTAATCGCGCAGCTTCCGGCTCTGCCACCGAGCGAGAGATCGACGACGATGGGCGCGGTAACCCGGAGGAGGAGGCGGATCGCCATGACCCTGAAGGGAAACGTCACGAAGATCTTGAGGAGAAAGGCGACGACAACCCGGAAGAGAAAGATGATGGCGACCAAGAGGAGGGCGACGGCGACCAAGGGGACGGCAACGACCATGAGGAAGGAGAGAATGACGAAGACCACGAGGCGAGTGAGGAGACCAACGACGACGACGCAGAGACTGAGGTCATGGCGAATGAGCTGTTTGAAGCCCAGACTCGGGAGGCGTTATCTCGGTCGCGATCCGACGAGAGACGGCGACAGCACGCCTCTCCTCGTCGTCAATTGCTTTCGAGCGCTGGTGGTGCCCCTGGCGATGATGATGGATCGAATCCGCACGAAGATCCTGATCCAACTCCTCCGCAAGATCCCGATCCACGCAGCCTCCGTCCGGATCGTGCCCGTCGACCACCTGTACAAGACCCTCTGGCTCCCGTTGTTCCATTCGCGGCGGACTCTGACTGCATCCCAGGTCGTGAGCATGCACATATGCCGGTTTCGGCCGACTGTCACCCTTGGCTGGTGGATCGCCTGAACGACGTGGCCATGGTATCTATGCTGATCGACGTATTGTTCCCGATCCTGCCCACTGCTCCAGGCTGGTTATTTCCCTACTTCGGTCCTGCCCAGGGGCGAAGGCCGAAGATCCAACTCAGTGACTACTGCTGGGAACTCCTCACAGAAGAGAACGTGCGGGCGCTATTGGACACCCACCTTTGGGAAATCCTTGAGAACCCGGGCGATGCCATCTCGTTTGAAGTCAACGTGGGTGGTCGACTTGGGATCCTGATCCAGGAGTACGGGATCTTCGAAGACACTAATCTCATGTCCTACTGGGAGTCGACCCACCACTTCCCGATTCCCGATGCGATGGCAAAGAAATATCCGTGGCTGATAGTGTTCCAGAAGGAACGCAGTAACCGTAGATCCCACGCGGGCCGTGCGTGGAAGCAGTTCTTGGAGTTGTTGATCACCGTCATGTGGTATTGGAAAGTGGCAGTTTCCAACGCTGTTGACCCGCCAGCCCGACAATCAATTTCAATCAAGGGGCAATCAAGGCGAGGTCAAGCGAGAGACGGAGATGGCTACTTCTGATTGGATGATGACATTATCCTCCGTAGAGTGACAGTCAGTGGCCGAAGACTCGTCGGGTCCTAATAGAACCCCGAACGAGGCTTCACGGTACCCACTTTTAGGTACAAATGCATTTAGTTACGTACTTCGGCCGCACTTATTAGTGTAGCCGCGGTCGTCATTTGATGTGTCCGGAATCGCCTTATTGCGACCGTTCACACTAGATATTTGTATAGGGACATAGGACTCATCATAGGATGACCAGAACGAGGCCCCAGGGCCTCAGAAAAACTCAGTAATAAAAAGACAGTCTTCCCCCAAAGCCAACAAGGGTCAAGTCCGACTTCGGTAAGTGTAGCTAGCTTATTGTAGTGCCTGGACACGCTGGCTGCGTGTGGATGCCTGTCGGGGAGCTTATCGTGCATTGACCGAGAGTTTCCTTGGTAGCGCCAAGAGTTGGCATGGCCGGAGAGGCAGGAACGGTATTAGAGTATCGTTCAGTATATATTTGTGGGATTAGAGTGTCCCTGAGTACCTACCGAGGTTTTACCTTGGTCCCCCTGTATAAGGCCTAACACGCCGGTACCCTTCCTTTCTGAGGGACTGCAGTGGGGTTGCGCGAAAGCGCTACATAGTATCCTAGCCTTAGCTCGTGGCTAGCGGTACAGGTTTTTGGGTTGACTGAAGACAACCTAAGGTGCCCAGAGGCGCTTGCAACCGACCCGGTGTAAGGGATCGTTCCTGGTCTTCAGGTTTTGCTCCAATAAGCGCTTACCTTTGCGGGTTAGCGTGTTGTTGGTGTCTCTAATACCTTTTGGTAGAGGAGGATTTTAGTGAAATTACCACACCACAACTGGTGCCGCGACCCGGGATTGGTGTGACCTTCTGTGTGTCTTGGTTGATGTAGGTCTCTACCCCCAACGAGCGAAGAGGAGAAGAAGAAGAAGAAGAGAAGAGAAGAAGAAGAAGTGTGATGATGGCGAAAGGAATCAAGTCAGCGGTACCAGCGACGCCGGTCAAGTCGAGCGGAACGCGCAACGAGGCTTCGGTGCGCTCCGGAAGCTCGTTCTCGACCCCAGCGACGGATCGGATGGAGTCGATCGACGAGCGTTCGGCGAGCTACGACACGGCGATTGATTCCTCGGACGCCAGAGAAGACGATGAAGATGATGATTGGGATGTCAGGACTGTGATGTCCGAGACTTCGGAAGCTGCGGTTGTGTCGGCAGCCGCAGTGGAGGGTCGAGGTCGATCACCCGCGACCTCTCCGAAACGTTCAACGACATACCGGACCCCGAGCCCGCCTACGACGCGGATGACGGTGCGACCGAGGGTTTCAAAGCCTCGGTGACGGTAGGAGGGGCAACCTCCAAGCCGGTTGGCGCTCGTCCTCCCCTCAACAGCGATACCCCTGCGGCCAAAAAGGTTCTAGGCCGATGCCTGGAGCTGATGAAGACCAAGAGCGAGTGGATCCAGTTGTTCTCCCCGAAGCAGGTCCGCCAGGCCATCTGGATGGATCTCGGAGGAGCGTTGGCCACGCCGATCAACTCAACGGGCACTAGGCAGGTCGCTCCGAACACGGTGGACCTCCTGCGGGCGATGGGGTGCGAACCTCAGATCCTCCCGACGGAGGCTGCTGTCGCGAGCTGGACGCCCACAAGCGCCGCCGCGGCGCTTACCAAGTGGAGGAAGAAGTTGCGCGACGCCTTTGGAGTGGCGCTCAACGAAGCTTCGTTCAGCCTCGGAAGCGGTTGACTCGTCCAAGGTCCCGCTACCAGCAAACCCTCGGAAGCGGTTGACTCGTCCAAGGTCCCGCTACCAGCAAACCCTCGGAAGGCGGCCACGGATGACGGAGTTTTCGCAGCCAAGGGTGAGGCATCACCTTACATGCAAGACTCGCACATGGTAACCCCGCGATCTACGGACCGTAGTGAACGTTTGGCTAGGGAGACCGAGTCTTCGTATGCTACGACTGGTACGCGCGGGGCGGCCGGTCGTCGGTCCAGCCGCCGTTACGACCACCGAGATGACTCGTCGGACAGTGACGACAACCTCGGGTCCGACCACTACGAAGGCGACCTGCCAAGCGAATGGGCTCGTCAGGTGCGCGAACTGAGCGCCACTGACAATCAGAGCTCAACCCCGAAGCTCGAGATTGCCACGAATCTACCCCTCGCCAACATCAAGCCGTTCTTCGGGACGCGCGACAAGAGCGAGCACTCCATGCAGTGGCTCCGAACGTTTATCTATGAGATGAAGGGAACGCACGCTTCACCCAACGAGTGGTGTATGCGGTTCGAGCTTAAGCTCAGAGATGGAGCTCTGCACTGGTACCGCCAGCTCCCACGCAAGACGAGACGCTCGTGGAAGTTGCTGAGCGAGGCGTTCATCAAGTACTACTGTTCGAAGTTTTCCCAGTCTGCGAAGGCTCGGTATTACTCGGCCAAGCGAGAGGACAAGGAGCACGTATGTGACTACCTCAACCGGCTTAACGGCTACGCTCGCAACGCCGTCGTGCAGTTTGAGAACGGTGGACGTGACGCGAAGGACCATGTGGAACACTTCTTAGTTACGTGTGATGACCGAAACTTAGAAGACAGTCTGTGCCACGTTCGGGTCAAGAGCATTCATGACCTCGAAGACATGATCAACGACATTCTGTGTCACCGCGACCGAAAGTCGACCCACGAATCATCGTTCCGCCGCTCCCGCAGTCAAGATGACGGTCGCCGTCGCGACACGCGGTCGAACGAGGATTCTCGAAGTGGTTACCGCCGTGAACGACGTTACCGCGACGATGACCGCCGCACCGATCGTCGTGATGACGACCGCCGCCGTGACCGACGTGACGGGTCACCGCACCGGTCGAGGGTGACTTTGGTCGATGGCCTTGGCGATGTAATGGCGGAATGGAAGGTCGGAGGCTCGGTCGGTGCACGCAACGAGGCTCCATACGCCCCCGACGTGATGCTGAGGCGAACGAGGATTACTTCGAGGATGAGCGCCAATACTCGGACGACCAACGCTCGGACGAGGATTCAGACGCTGATTACGACTCGGATGGGTCTACCGGACATGTCGCTGCCGCTAACGATGCTGAGCGCAGAGCCGCAGCCGAAGGAACGTTCGCTCGGTCTGATAACCGACGCTTCAGGAACGGAGGAGGCCCGTCCTACCGTGAACGAGATGGTCGACGCCAGTATGGGCCGTGTGCCGCGTGCGGAAGCCCATCCCACTCGGTGCACTTCTGCTACCGGCGGTGCACACTGTGCAAACAGGTGCACGACGCTGGGAAGTGTGAAGCACTCGACGAGCTCACCAAGCTCCTGAAGTCCAAGGTCGACAAGAAGGTCCTGTCGCCAGAGCTGCAAAGCCTGGTGTATGGAAGCCATTTAAACTAGGCAGCCCGCCAACTGAAACTGGGTTGGTCCCAATCGGGCTGCCACCGTTAGCTGAGCCTGCTGTGGATGCGGACTATCTGTTCGCGTTCACGGGCGAAAGCAAACGGCCTGACGACCTGAAGAACAATGAACGTGTGAAACCGACGGAAAATGGAGAGAACCTAGACGCAAGTCTCGTTGAGATTGGTATTGATGAAGATGATGATGATGAACGTGATGGACACCCGACCGAGGCTTTGATCACAAGTCTAGCCCAGATTAGGGGACCACCTCGGAGCCTCGTTCGGGCGGTGAAATTACTGCCCGGTGAGGGGCTGGGGTGGTGGTCGTCCCAACGATACGACAAGAGGAAGCGGATGAGAGCAGTGGTCAATGGCGCTGTGGACGACGCGCGAACGAGGATACTCCTTGACACTGGAGCAAATGTTAGCGTGATTTCTGCCAGCTTCGCCAAGCGTCTACGTGTGCGAGAAGTCCGGGACCACGGACGAAGTCTCGAAGTCCGCGGCATCAACCCAGGGGTGATGGAGACCCGGCGACGGACGCTCGTCAAGATCACCCTCGGGTGGGAGCAGGTCTACGAATTTGAAATGTGGATAATGGATCGCAGTGCCAGGGTGGATGTGGTCCTTGGGATGGACTTCATGGTCCCGGCTGGAACCAGGCTGGATCTATTTCATGGCACCGCACGCCTTCCGGACTAGGTCATGGTGCCACTGCTAAAGTCGCAGTGTTGAAGATGACGAACCTTACGGCACGCAGCCTTCGTGTGGGCCGACCGAGGATTTATACGTACCCGGTCGCGAGTGGCGAGAGTTTCGACTGCCGCGCCAACGGCTACCTCGTTCGGAGTACGATTTGTGGGTACGACGCACGGACAAGCTCGTGCCGACCGTAACGAGGTTTCGACGGGGGCAGCCGACGTGGGTACGGATCACCAATATTACGACCACAGCGGCACAGTGTGCCAAGCATGACTCCGTGGCACTGTGGGTACCGCATGGTGAACTACCGCGAGAGACTGGCTACGCGAGGGAGGACTCTAACAAGTACAAAGAGTGGCAGGTGCTGGCCTATTCAACGCGTCGTGATGAGACTCTCCAAGGACGAGAACGTCGCCTCTACGAGCAATGGCTAGCTGAACAGCCACCTGCGGTCGAGCGCCGAGCCTATCCTACGCCGCGGAAGATTTTGCCGAGACCACCGGATGCCCCGCCATGGGCAGAAGGCCGTCAACAAGCACCGTTGGATGATGAGTATTCGTCACCCGATGTACGTGGCTACGACGACGGCCCCAGGGTCTGTGAGGGCTCGCTCGAGGTCGCTCGAGCTGATACAACCGATGTGGAACGTGCAGGTGGGTCGAACGATGGTTCGGACGACGAGGCCAGCGCGTCGGATGACTCGGACGTGTCCGGAGATTCGCCGCCCAGCCGAGCGGGTTGTCTGCCCGTGAATCCGAACTGTGGTGCTGACTCTACCGGCCAGGGAGCGACATACGCACATCGGAAGCCAGTGATGAGCTGAGGGATGGTGACAGCGTGACGAACGACGGTTCGGAGGATGACCGCGACGTGGTAGCAGTGGCCGAGACAACTACATGGGATGTCCTGCCAACAG